CGGGCTCTTTGGCTGTGTTCTGTACGACCAGTGGCTTGTCTGAGCCCTGATCTCCTCAAACATATCAGACAATCAGCAAATATTAGATTCTTCACTTCTTTTTCTGCATTAACTCAAAGAGGCAGAAACTCGCCTTCCAGCATTGTCCCCGGGGCCTTGGAGCTGACTGCCGGCCTGAGTGTGAAGCCAGCTGCTGCTTAGCAGTTTAAGGACCTTGGGCAAGTTGTCTGGCACCCCCAAGCCTCTGGGTCCTCTGCAGGAAGAGGGAGCTGATCCTTGCGTGCAAGGTTGCTGAGTGCATGGATAGTAAGGTTCTGAGAACCATGAAGCTCTCACTATGGCTGACCCAAAGGAGGTGGGACCTCTGTGTTAGTTTTCCCCTTTCCACGGAGCATGGCAATTATTCTGTATCTGATTGGGCATCTTTTGGCTGCAAAGTACAGTGAGGGAGGTAGTTTTACTTGGCCGGCCAAATGAACCTTGGTGGGTCTGTGATCTCTGTTAACTGGAAGCAACACCATGTTTAATAAAGGCTCTAGCAGCTTTGTTCCCTCCATACACATTTCCAGCTCCAGGGTTATTGCCAATAAAATGCAGACATATTGTGAATTCAGTTGACAAGACTCCTGGGCAGATTCCTGGCTCATCGAGTGTATCAGCACTTCTCTTCCCTTCTCCCAGGAGCGTGACTGGATTTCTAACCCCTTCGGCCCCTTGGGCCCAAAACACTTTGAAATGATCAATTCTGTTTGTTTACAATAACAAAACTTTCCTGGCACTTGGGGGTGTACCTAGAAGAGGACGTGGGTAGAGGGGAACACGGTGAAAAGGGAAACAGACTTTTGTATCTGAAAGACTGTGGTTGAAACACAGTACTTCCACTTAGGAGCCATCGGACTACCAGCACAGGATTCCACCTTTGATCCCTGGGCCCTGTCTCATATGATGGGAATATCTTTGTCTTTCCCAAGGGATGCTTGAGCAGGTAGAATACCAAACATGCTGCCCCAAAATGGAGGTTCCATAAGTTATACTGTTGGAAAGGAAAAATATGTTTTCTCTACCCTCTTAGGTTCATGGACTAGGGCCATGCAAATTGAACTGACAAAAGACATATTAACAGGGGGAAAGATCTATGTCCTATGCATATGGTGGGCCTCCCAGAAATGAAATGAAAAGATCTGGTCAGGCCCTGAGGCTTATCATTTTAACAGAAGGATGATAAATTTGCGGGGAAGTGACAAGGAGAGGAAAGGGTTTTGAGCTCCTAGGGTGCTAAATTGTGGGAAGGTAAAGATAGAAGGAAGCAAATGGAAGATAGGAATTATTTTGGTGTAAGATAGTTTTTGTGTGTGCAGGCCCATTTTGGTGTGAATTTCCAGGGAGAGGGGTTTTATGACAGTCCTCATTTTCAGAAGTTTGTGGTCTTGGGGCACTTGGGTGACTGAGTTGGTTAAGTGTCTGCCTTCGGCTCAGGTCATTATCTCAGAGCCCTGGGATTGGGCCCCATGTAGGGTGCCCTGCTCAGAAGGAAGTCTGCTTCTCTGTTTTCTCCCTCTGCTGCTCCCCCTGCTTGTGCTTTCTCATTCTTTCTATGTCAAATAAGTAAATAAAATCTCAGAAAAAAAAAGTTTCTGGTCTTAATCAGATAAGAGAGGCTCTTTCTGCATCTGCTCATTCTCATTGGCCTTTGGTGGCATCTTTGGGGGCAGCATATTCTGATCTTTGCCGGCACATTATTATTTTTGTCAAATTGCCATATGACTAGCTTTTCTGCCAAAGCCACCGAAGAAAACAATGATTCCTGAATAATTATCCAGTAAGAGCCACGGGGAATGCACTGAAATGATAAGTTAGTTTGAGGTTAAATTTTTGGGCATCTGATCCAGTCTTTGTAGGATAGAACTTTGAAGACTGTATTTCTGCCGACTGAGGAATCTGATCTGTCCTGCTGCTGGCATGCCGTCTTTTAAGTACCACCACTTCTACTGGTTAAACATACACGTGGTGCTTGTTCTGTGCCAGACACTGTTTACTATGTTTTACCAATAACAGATTTTAGTTCTCAGGATAATGTTGGGTAGAAACTGAGGCACAGAGAGGCTCAGTGACTGGCACAGCTAGCAAACGGCAGGGCCAGGAAGCAAACCCAGACAGTTGGGCTCCAGGGTCATGCTGGTCATGCCCTGCACTCCGCAACTGCTTTTGAGTGAACGAAGGTCAAGTGCCTTAACCCAGACAACATCAGTCAATGGCCAACTCAAGATTAAAATCAAGTGTCTATGACCTAACCCCAAACCCACCTTCTGCCCTAGAGGGGCCCACGGTGGCCTGGGCTCCCCAGGGGGCATCCAGAGAGGATTGACCTTCTTAGTTTGGCTTGAAAGGCAAAATCCAGCCAGTTCTGTTTGTGTAAGTGATAGAGTGAACAGAGCCTGCCTGGCCCCATGAACCACTGTACACAGCCTATGTCTCTTTCCATCTTCTCATTGTTCCTTTCTGGGGTCCGATGGGGCTAAAAGCAAAGAGCAGCTTAGATGGGGCACTCAGCAATGTGGAAATGCTTGAACAAGGAGAGAGAGCTGTCTGCAGGCTAGAGGGTGTGATACTCACAGTTCTCAGCTCATGTGTTCAGTCAACGAACTCTGTTTCGTGCAGCAGAGACGTCCCCAGACAGTACTCCTGGGTCAGTGTCACATCCAGTCTATGGGAAAAGCAAGTTCTCTTTAGTAAAACTCTCCCACTTTCCAAACTAGGGTAGTTCCAAATATTGCTTGAGATATATTAGAGAAATTATTCATCATTTATCTTAAATTCAAATGTAACTGGGTGTCCTATATTTTCATTTGCTTGATTTGGCAACCCCACCCCAAACACATAGCTGATTGAGCCGATGGCCAAAAATAAAAAACTAGACAGAAGGAAAAATGCATTTTTCTCCAAGAAAAAAAATCAATAAAAAATGCATCCTTAAGGTAATAACTGTTAGTGTATTTACTCTTTGTAAATGGAAGACAGTGGTTAACACAGTGAAGCAGGAGTCAAAAAAAGGAAATGTATCCTTTATATAGATACAGATAATTATTTTTCAACTATATATTTGTACCTTTCAAACCTCTGCTACCAAGTGGGGCCCCAGATAGAGATGGGGGAGAGGGAGGGAGAGCAAAAGGAAAGAGAAAAAGATAAGAGAACAAAAAAGGAATTAAGATTCCTAAGTATCTACCCTAGCCCAGAGATTGTGCTAGGGACCATATTTCTTGATCTCATTTAATTTTCATGAAATATCTTCAAGGTGGCTATGACTCTGTCCATTTTACACACAAAGCCCAGAAAGGTGAGGTGATGTTTCCATAGCAGTCGAGGTACAAGGAAAGAATCTTCACAGAGTTTCCCATGTCACCTGCCCACCTCACCGCCATACCCCTTTGCTGGAGAATGTGCTAAGTCCTGGACTCACCAGTTTGTCTGTCTCTCTGTCTGTCTCTCTCTCATCCTCATTATAAATCTCTCTGTGGAGAACGTAGCTCAGTTGGCCTTGTGTGTGAATTAAATGCTCATGTGTCTGTCTCCTCTAAGCTATAGATCAGCTTGAGGAAAAGGGCATGTCTGATCTGTCCTTGTGTCACCAGCCAGCACACAATGACTGGAATATGTATTGAGCACCTACTATGTGCCTGACGCTGGGTAAAATGCTTTGGACTCATTAGCTTAAATCTTCACAAAGACCCAGTAAACTAGGTTTTTTAGCCCCATTTTGCAGATGAGGAAAGCAGATTCAGAGAGTCAACTGATTTATGAGAATAAGAGGACTCCTAGGAAGCCCTAGTCTCTTGCCCCCTGCTAAAGACTCTCTCTGTCCAGGGTGGCATTTAGAAGAAATGCCATTCTAGTATCTACCCGTAATTCAAAAGCATTTTAGATGTTTACCAGGATGTTTCAAGAAAATTCTGAAGGTGATTCCATCCCGAACGGACAGCAGAACTTCTTCAAATACATTTTGCTAAGAAGATGCTCAGTTCCTGGGACATTTTCCCAACCCCAGGACGTTTTCTCTTGACTTTGCTCTTTCTCTCCAAGGTCTATTCCTTTGTCTACCAATGGCAAATTTCTGCTCTCTTCAGAGCAAGTCTGTGCAGTCCGTATGTTAAATGGGCATTACATGAATATTTATACATGCAGATACTGCAATTACTAAGTGGTAACCTCATTTGCATGGGGCAGCATTCTATGTGGTGCCTGGCACACAGAAAGCACTCAATAACTTTTCATCATTATTCTTATTACTCTCAGCTTTGCAGCTTAAACTATCATGCCGGTTCTGTAGAGCTAATGCCTGTCACACTGTGCTGCAGACAAGGAAGGAAAGTGAATACTCTCATGCATTTGTATATTATTTTCCTATTTATAAGGAGCAGTGATGCTGTATTTAGAGGGTATTTCCCAGCTAAACAGCCAGAAAACCCATGGAAGATACAGTGATGGGTTGTGACTATGCATACATCCTCCTCCCAGATTCTCAAATTTCTGCAGTTATGCAGGATCACAGGAATAATTCTGGTATGGGTTCTAAAAAAAAAGTGAGTATGTCACTTCCTTCCAGAGCATATAAGAGTTGGTGCATAATCTTCCAGTTCTGTCCATTCCACAGCCACAATGAACCAATGACTAAGGAGCCCACAGGGACCACACAGAGAACTACAAGGCAGTGAAGCTCCATTAACCTGGTCCCTGAGTGACTGTGTGGAGCAGAGTTCCCCACCAATTTGCAGAAAGGGTTAATATAAACAAGAAATCAACTTCTGTTATTAAATTAAGTCAATGAGATGATGGAGTTAATTTATCTCAACATAACCTAACCTATCTTAACTATCGAAGGCCTTCTACAGATTGTATTTCTAATGACTCAAGGACATTCTGCATTAATGTGCCTAGCAATCCAGCCTGTTTCCTCCAAGGGCTTGCTTGCTTGCTTCTAGGTGGACCAGAGTATCACAGACATGGCAGGCTTCCTGGTACCCTGTCCTCCAGTGAGGCTATGCGTGGGTCTTACATGTGTCCTGTCCCTTTGGAACACAGGTGGGTCCACTCAGTGTTCAAAAAGTGTCTGTTCCATATGATGAGTTTGGATTTTCACAAGGCTTCAGAGAATGGCAGCAGCCAATGTCTCAGGCCAGAATCCTAAATGAGTTTGATTAAAATGGCAATGATGAATTCCCCATTTCTGATTTTGTCCTCTGACTTTTTAAACTTGAGTCCCATTTTTGCAACAGAATTATCCTCACCTCCACTGCTACAACTCTTGTCCAAACCTCTGTCTTCTCTTTTCTGGATCACTAAGAGAGCTTTCAAATCAGCCCCTGCTTCTCCTCTTGCCTCTCCATGATCTATTCTCCCCTCATCACCTTGGGTGAGCTTTTCATACATCTCATTAGGTAACCTTCCAGCCTTCTCCTTCATTCCAACCACCCCAAATTATGCAGTGACTTCCTACTTCTCTTTGGACAGTATCCCAAGTCCTTCACATGCTGTGCAAGACCCTGCCCACCTTGCCATCACCAGTTCCTACAGTACCCTGTCTCCTCCATTCTTTGTGCTGTATCACTGTTGGCCTTTGCTCAGTCCTTTAAAATAATTGTGCTCACCTCAGCCTCTGGGCACACACTGTGATATACACTCTGAATCACCCCTCAGCTACTCACATCCTATCCAAATACTGTTCAGGCTCCAGATCTCAGCCACACATCACCTCCCACGGCCATGGAAATGAATCAGGCTTCTTGTTACACACCCTCAAAGCCCTCCAAAGTATTCAACATCATTTGTAGTAATATCTTTGAGTCTTCTTTTCCTTCATGTCTGCCTTAGACTGTAAGTTCCATAAGAATGGAATCTGTGCCTACTTGTTCATCATCGCATCCCCAGCACCTAACACACATAATGCTTATTAAAATCCAGCTGCCAAACAACAGTCAATCATTAGTGTTGTTAGAGTTGATCAGTAAATATTCAATGACTAAATTGAATGAACAAACTATGTGTGGGATTGTAAGCAAGACATATCACCACTTCAGATCATAATTTTCTCATCTTTAAAATAAGTATCTTGAATTAAACACTTTCTGATGTCAAATTTGGGTTATAATTCTCTGATGAACAATCTCTTCTTTTAGTGTCTGCTGTTAAAGGAGAAGCCAAGAAGGAAAAGTTCATGACCTTCCTTCCTACAGCAGGTAAAGGGACAGGTGCTCCTGCCCAGCTCATTCTGTCTTGGGCAAACTCCTTGGCTTCTCCTGGTCTCACTTTTTCTGTCTGTAACATGGAGATTGCATCCATACCCCAAACTCTGTCATAGGAATAGTTCCTGGGAGTTGTTCTTGCCTTATGGTTCATGGCACACCTGGATTCTCATGATCTTATTAAATCCACAAAGATCATGACATTCTATGAACAGAGGAAGATTTCATAATGGGAAGTATTGTCATGTGCCATCATCACCTTAGTAATAATTTTATCTTTCTTCATCTTTTCTTTTTTCTTTTTAATGGTATGAAATTGGCTTTACAGCAAGACAATGAATGCACTGCAGTATAAGGAACACATAGGAGGTGGGGGCCTGGTTGCTTTTCCTAACTTGGTGAACAAGGAGGATAATGGGGGGGCGGGTTGGGAGATTACTCTTCATTTTTAATTTTTTTTTTAGTAGAGTTCGTGAGACAGAGTGTGAGCAGTGGGGAAAGGCAGAGGGAGAGACAGAGAGAGAGAGAAGAAAAAAAAAACTTTAGCAGGCCCCATGAACAGCACAGAGTCCGACTTGAGGGGCTCAATCTCAGAACCCCAAGATCATGACCTGAGCTAAAATAAAGAGTTGGATGCTCAACCAACTGAGCCACCCAGATGCCCCTAATTTTTATTTATTTTTAACTAGTACATTCATGTGGTTCAAAAGGCAAAAGGTACAAAAGTGTATAAAGTTAAAATGGTCCCCAGCCAACCACTTCCCTTCCCCAGAGGACACCAGTTGTACCAATTTCTTGTGTATAAGCAGTGTAATTTTCTTCTTTTTAAAAAGATTTTATTTATTTATTCATGAGAGAGAGAGAAAGAGAGGCAGAGGGAGAAGTAGGCTCCCCATGGAGCAAGAAGCCCAATGTGACTCAATCCCAGGTCCCCAGGATCACGACCCGAGTGGAAGACAGACACTTAACTGACTGAACCACTTGGGCACTCCTAAATAGCATAGTTTTCAATAAATATTTCCCCTATTTGAGCCTTCAATTTCCTCCTGTTTATATGGGGGAATAATTTCTGCTCCACAGATAATCATAAAGGATGAAAGGTGATTAAAACAGTAAGCATGAAAATGTATAAAAAGTAGCAACACCTTCTATCTTAAAGATACTACTATGGTGGTCTTTTTATACAGAAAGAAACCAGTAGTTTTGTATTCTCCATCTGGCAATTTCTTTGAAAATTGCTTCTGTATGACATTCCATTCAGAAATTTCTGCTTCAGGGCTGTTGAGTTCACACTTCAAATATCATTAGCAAAATCCACCCACAGGTTTGCAATTATAAAAAGGACTGGTGGGAATGATGTTTCCCTGGTGGAAGGAGCCATATTCAATGACAGTTCTTGCTTAGGAAGATTGCACAAGGCCTGCCATCCGGGCTTTACAGGTGCAGGAATCCTGCAAGTCTCGTAGCCTAGAACAGCAGCCCTGTAGCCTGCAGCTTCTGAGCCCACAGGACCCCAATCCCTTACCTGCAAGGAGGTGCCTCCTTCTTGTCCAAGTCACAGGTGAGATCAGTGTCTGCCACAAATGTCACTGGGGCTGCGGCATATAGACTGCTCAGGTGCAGGGCCGCTCACAGCACCAGACGGGAGAGCAGGTTGCATGCCAGCCTTGCACCTGCTTGATCATAAACATTTGTCTCCGAGTTCCTCCTGTTGTAACACAACCCACCTCCTCCAGTAACCGTGTCGGAAAGGAGAACCATAGGTCCCACTTACCTCTGACCCCAAGCCTCCGTATTTAACCAGGAAGCTTGATACCTGCTGAAAGGCCGAACTGGCTTAAGCAGACAGAAGTTAACTAGATCCAAGTTCCCACAGTCTGCTTGAAAAGCTGGGGAACACCCTAAACATCCATCCACAGAGGAATGGATAAAGAAAATGTGGTATGTACATACAGCGAAATACCATTTGGCCGAAGATAATCGGGACACCTGGGTGGTCCAGGTCATGATCCAAGATCCTGGGATCAAGTCCCGCATCAGTGTCCTTGCTCAGCGGGAAGCCTGCTTCTCCCTCTGCTTGCTGTTCCCCCTGCTTGTGCTCTCCTTCTCTTTCTCTGACACATAAAGAAGTAAACATAAAAGAAAAAATGAAAAGAAAGAAAGATAATCTTGCCATACAGAACAGTGCGGATAGAGCTGGAGGACATGAAGCTAAGGGCAACAAGCCAGCCCCAGAAGGATGACTACTACACGATGCCACTTCTAGGAAGTATTCAAAATAGTCAAACTCTTAGAAGCAGAGAGTAGAAAGCTGGTTACCAGGGACTCTGGGGAGGGGAAACAGGACTACCAACTAGATATGGGATGTAGGTACATCACTTCTCTTTCCTGGGCCTGAATCTCCACATCCTTCTAAGGGAATGCTGGACAAGGTGACTTGTAAGGTTGTTATAAATTGTGAGGCTGTGATTTCACGACACTATTTCATTCATGAGAACTTTCATCTCAGAATCTGGAAACAGAGTCGTTAAAAAGGAAAAAAAGCTGTTGTCCTCACTGTGACAGGTAACTAGGCCAGCCTTCACTCCTGACTTGCTCTGGAACTCTGGAACACATTTTTCAGCTTATCTCTGCCTTGGTTTTTCCATCTGACAATGGACACAAAGCACCTGCTCCCCCAGAATGTAACAGGAAACAGAATCATGGCAACAAGAATAGCAACAAATGCAGGATGTTCATAATGCCCCCCAGTCCAAAACAGCTGAGCTTTCAGGTCACAGCTTTCTGTCCCCTCCACAGGGAAGCCCTCCCCTCCCCACTAGATCAGGTCAGGTGCCCTGACAGAGGAGTTCCCGGCATCCCACCATGCCCTCGTGTGCAACTACACGTGCCTGTCCCTCCTCCCACCCGAGGCATAGACCCTAAGCCCCACAGAGGTGGAGACTTGCCCCTTTCCTTCAATCTCTTTAGACCTGACACCCAGCATGATTGCTTGGCCCTCCATGAGTGTTTGTTGAGTGAATAAAGACTGAGTGCATGCTTTAGGCATTTCAAGATTTCCTATGGTGTTTTCTTTGAGAGCACGAGCCGCACTGAGTGGGCAGGTGGCTCCATATCTCGGAAAGGCCACTGCTCTGCCGCTCTTAGGAAGCAGGTTCAGTGCTCTCTTGTTTAGGCAGGTTTTGTCCACTCTGAGTCTCGGTTTCCTGATCTGGGAAAGGGGTGGGGTAGCTTAGATCCCCTGCCTGAGGATCTGAACCTGCCTGTTTATTAAAATGTAGACTTCTAGGCTTAAGATCAGTCCAAGGAGACTAGAGTGTCAGGAGAAGAGGCTGCCTTTTCATAGGGCCAGTGACTCTGACCTTCACTGAGCCCAAGGCTGCCGCATAGAGGCCCCCAAGGTTTCTCCTCAACTTAAGCTGGAGGTTGCAGGCTCCCATGCCTCCCATGAAGCCTTTTCTCTCCCCAGCATCTGGACTTGGAGAAGAGAGGAAGGAAAAAGGGGTGGCTTTTCTCGATACCACAGGTGAGTCCCCTCGTCCCTCAGGGCTCTGTGGGTGGCCCCAGCTGCCAAGGGAGTTCCCCCACTTCTCCAGACCTCCACTCACAGTCCCCACACCCTGGTGCAGCATGTCCCCAGTCTTCATATTGTGTGATCCACACAAATCTCTGCACATTAAGTAAACATTGAAAACAACCATGTAAGTAAAAATACAAAGAGGAGCATTAACCACTATTTCCACCTTCTCAACTGCTCTACGGGATCTTCTGGGAATTGCTAGGAGATGGACAGATTTTTAACCTAACAGTGTCTCTCCACTCAGCTGCCCACTACAGATATCTGGGAGACTGATCAATCGGTTGATCGATTGTGGTGGAGATGTCTGGGCCACATCCCAGACCTATTCAACCTGAATCTCTGAGTGCCCAAGCATCAGAACTGCACAATAAAGAAAAAAAAAAATTCTCCCAGGGATGTCGGTGCCCAGTCAGGGCATTTTCTTTTAGATAATGTCATCATTCCAAATACAGTGCTATTGAGAACTCGTGCCATTTCCTTGAACTTCCCATTACACGAGAGCATTTCCCACCCATCCCGAATGCCTCCAAAGGCAGAGACAAATTATTCACAAAGTTAAGTGTCCCTGTCCTTCATGTGGACATCTCTTATCTTAACTTGTCATGATGTATGCCACTGGCTGTCACCTCCTGAACGCAGGCAGTGACTTTCATCTTTGAACTCCTTGTGCCCAGCTACGGATATGAGTTCAGTAAATGTCCAAAGAGGAGGCACGTCTGCCTGAATGTCAGAAACGGGAAACTTCTGTTGTGAGAAAAGCCTGCCGGTGACATTTTCTGTGAATCTCTTCCAGAGCTGCCTGCAAGGTCGGTCAATCTGTCCGCCCTGAACCTGACAGAGCTGGTGAACGGAATGCTGAATAGAGCTTTAAAAGGTAACTTTTTTTTTTTAATTTAAATTCAATTAAATTCAAACTTAGAGTACATCATTAATTTCAGGTGTAGTGTTCAATAAACTATCAGTTGCATATAACACCCAGCGCTCACCCGCCTTAATGACTGTCACCCAGTTACCCCATCCCCCACCCAACTCCCCTCCAGCAACCCTCAGTTTCTAAAAAGCACAATCCAAACCCACTTCCTCCTTGTACCCATTTCACTTCTGCAACATGGTCAAGACAGGTCAGGTCTCTGCACCCCAGTTTCTCGGTGCTCAGATGGAGAATGCAGTGTCCTACCTGACACCTGATGAGACTGAAAACGTACAAATGAAGTTGGGGGCTTGGCAGCATCTGGAGAGCAAGCTGCATTCCAGATGTGGCCTGTGTGCAGGCATTTCTGATCACAAGTACACTGTGGGAGAATTGTTAGGGCTTAGGGATTGATCAGGAAATAGAGTCAAGTGACACATACTTCTGTCATTTTCGGTTGCTTTTATGTGATTTTTGTGTATTATTTTCAATGTTTGGTATTTTATTATTTATTTTGTTATTTACTTTTATTATTTGTTCATCGTATTTTTTAAAAGATTTTATTTATTTATTTATTTGATAGAGATCACAAGTAGGCAGAGAGGCAGGCAGAGAGAGGGGGGGGGGAAGCAGGCTTCTAGCTGAGCAGAGAGCCCAACGTGGGGCTTGATCCCAGGACCTTGGGATCATGACCTGAGCCGAAGGCAGAGGCTTTAACCCAATGAGCCACTCAGGCACCCTGTTCATTTTATTTTTAGTTTCTATTATCTGTTTACTAATTGATGGTATTATGATTGTCAGGAGGCATCTGTCTGACGGCTTCTTTTATCTCAATATCTGTGGCAGATACCAAGAAGTTCTTCTCCTTGCTAAGCATCACTTCATATAGCTCCTTTGCCTTCCACAAGTTTTCTGTGTCCGTTTACAACAGTAAGTGCTGCTGGACTCTTCTTGGTGGCCGTGATGGTGAGCAATGGTCCTGCAGGGCCAGGCTCCTTGTCAGGACAGCCCTATGGATCCTGTCTCTTCACAGTTTCCAACCTGAAGACTGTGGACCCCACCAAATTCCCCACCCGGTACTGCTACTGTGTGAACAACAGGACCAATGACTTATCAGGTGGGTGGCGCTACCCGCCAGGCTTGTGGCTTTCCTGATTTTGCCTGTCCCCTTTCAGATGAGTTTGACTTAATTTTTTTCTCCTTAGAGTGAAATAAGAAAAGACAGTGGTATCTATTATGCTTAGCTATGTACCCATCCGCTGTCAAGAAAGTTCTTTTCTTGGTTTTTATCCTAGAGAAATTGTTATGTCTGAACAAAGGGACAAGAACAAACTGTTCATGCAGCATTGTTTTAACAGAAAACTCTGAGAACCACGTAAATATCCACCATTAGGAAAATGGTTAAGTAGTCTATACTTCGGTAAATAGACATAGGCCATGCATAAATGAATGGGTGTGGCTAGATTTGGCTTACATCTGGAAATATTTCCATGCCATTTTTAATTAAAAAAAAAAACAGAGTTACAAAGTAACGTGTGGAATATACTGTCGTTGGTAAAGAGATACGTATGTGGGCACCAGGTAGGTGTTCACCCCTGAAATATCAGGATGCATGTTTTGCGGTGGACGAGGGCATCCCTCGGATCCTTCAACGCTAGGATACTCCTGTATTACTTTTACAGTTGAAAGTTAAAATCATTTGATGTTCCTTCTATTTAGAGAATCCCAAAAAGTAAAACTGAAAGTTAATATTTCACTACGAATCCACCCATTCAATGGTTCTTTACTGAGCACATAATATTAGCCATACTCTCCTCTAGGTGTGGGGGTACCACACTGGGCAAAAAGGACACACGCAGTCCGCTCTCATGGACTAGGGTCTATAGGAAGGGACAGAGAATCAATGAATACACCAATAATACATGGTATGTTGGCTACTAACATGACCATGAGAACAATAAAGCAGGGGAAAGGGTGAGGAGGGAAGTGGTGTTGGTCATGGCTGCTGTGTGTGGGATGGTCAGGGAAGTCTTTGCTAATGAGGCAGGAAGTGGAGAAACAGCCCTGTGGTACCCAGGGCCAGAGTGTTTCAGACAAAAACCCAGGCAGCAGGGTAAGGATGAGAGAGGCCGGCATGGCTGGAGCAGGTGGGCCAGGGCTGATGGTCATAGGAAATGAGCTCAGAGTTGTGGGGGCAAATCAGGGAAGGTTCTGAGGATCAAGTAAAAGTTTATAGTCCACGGCAAGGATTTTGATTTTCACTCTGAATAAGAAGGAAGCCAAAGTGATTATGCACACAGAGAAGTGGTGTGATCTAACTTATATTTTAAAAGGATCTCTTTGACTTTTCATTTAAAAACAAATAGATTGTAAGAGAGTAAGGAGTGAAGGTAGAAAAGCCTCCTGGTCTTTTTCTCACTTGACCCAACCTTAAAAATATTTTCTAGGATATTACAAACTCTGCAAACGTTTGTAATGACTACATAACCTGGAAACAACAGCATTTTCTTAGCCATATGCTGTTGACTTTTGGGTGGATTCTAGGTTTTTCTTAACATAAAAATTCCTGTATTGGACATCTTGGTGCCTAAAACATTTCCCGTTTTCAGATTACTTTCAAAGGATATATTCTTTGAAGTGGAATTTCTGGAACAAATATTGTGAACATTTTAAAGAGAGTAATTAGTAATGTTTAATGAGTACTGTATGCCAGTCCCTGCAGCAAGTACCTCACAGCCATTACCTTTTTTAACTGGTCCTTCAAATCTTATCAACAAATTACACGTGGGCAGACAAATGTTGTCCATAACCACAGCTTCCTCATCCTCTCATTAGTCCCTGCTGGGGGCCCAGTTTAGAATGGGCACTGAGTCCCTGCCCTGAGTGCATAAAAGATAAAAATAAAATGTAAAAAGTGGAGTCGCATCTGTAGGGAAAGAGTTTCTAACTCCCCTCGGTGAGCTAAAGCATATTTCCAAACACTTGAAATGGTTATTTGAAAATAATTGATCCATTCATCATTACCACTGATAAAATAGTGCGCTGCTCCTTCTGTAAGCCACGACAATTTTTTTTGTGACACATCACAAGGTGCTGGTGTCTACTCGCCTCAGATCACTGCCATGAGAGGCTGCACGCAGGCTAGCATCTTACCATTGCTCAGTCTCTGGGGGAAGTTATATTTGTGGATACTCTTCAGACCTGGATCATTTTCACTTGAATAGTCTCAACTCTGACGTAAAGCCCCCCCTGTGAGGGTGAACTTGTGTATTTTTAATTTTTCTATATGAAAGTAGCTTAAATTTTCTTGATTAAAAAAAATGTATTATGATGTCAAAATGCCATACAATGGGGACAATATAATAAAAAAAAATCAGAAATACCTAAAATCCCAATATCCATAGGTAATCCCATTACCCAAGGTGGTGTAAACCACCTCTCTGATCTACCTACCTAAACCATCTGTCAACTAGTCATCTAACCTACTTGTCTACTGTCCCACCTGCCCCATTCATCTGCCCATCTATCTACCCATCCTATTCTGTATTCTCTATATAATTTAGAATATAAGCCAGGCTATTATGACAAAGGACCTCAAAATAATTTGTCTGATGGAGGGTAGAAGGTAAAAGTTTTTGTGTGTGACCATCTGGGTAAACCTACCAGGGCTGCTCTGTTTGATGGTTAAGTGGCCCAGGCTCCTTCTAGTTTGTTGCTCTGTCTCCCATGATGCACTGCCCTTGTTCTCATAGTCCAGAATGGCTTGCCCCCACATCTGCATTCCAGCCACAAAAAAGAGGAGAAAGGAATTGATGACATTCCCGCCCACTATATAAACACACACTTTGGAAACCTTCCACATGGCTTCTTCTCATGCTCTATCACCTAGAGTTTAGTCATATGGCTTCACCCACCTGCAAACACACTCAAAAATGTAGTTTTGTGTTAAGCCACCATATGCCCAACTGAAATTTCATGTTCTCTCACTAAAAGATAGGAGAATGGATATTGAGAGACAACCAGCCATATCTGCCACATTTTCCATGCAGCTTTATAATCCATCTTTAATCAGTGCATCTTAAAAGCCATTCTATTCCAATGAATATAAATATGTCTCATCCTTCATATGAATTCATAGTATTGTTGAAAGAATGTACTATAATGTATTTAATTTGTCTCTTCTTGATGGAAATTTAGTTTATCCCCAGTGTTGTTATAATTATAAGCAATGCTATGATGAATACCTGTGTACTTGGAGTACTTGGAGTACTTGGAGTACTTGGAGTACCTGCCTAATTATGCTGTAGGATACAATCCTTGAAGTAGAATTGCTGTCTGACAGGGAAATAATTTTGTAGTGATTCAAATTACTAAAATTTCCTCTAAGACATCTCCCATAAGTTTACACTTCTACTAATATTGTTTGAGAGCACATGTTTTCCACACCTTTGGCAGCACAAAGTACTAAGACACATTCTTCAATTATTACCAATTGGATAGGCAAAAGGCTTTTCCCCCTATTTTCTATGCATATATAAAAGTAGTCAGAAATCACTCATCAATTGCTAATATTGCTAATAAATTATATAATTCAAATTTTCATCAAATCAAAAATGTTTCTGAGGTAATGATAGCTGGTTTACTTCCAAGCTGTATAAACAGATTGTAAAAGCCATTCTGAAGGGAGAGTTCATACAGAGTGTTGAGTAAGACATTGCTTGAGCAGCAGTGGGAACATTAGGAAGAGTGGGAGCTTTGGCCCAACATAGACCTCAGTTCAAATTCAAGCTCTACCACATCCTCTGGGACCCTGGGAAAATTCCATCATCTCTCTGAAACTTGGGCACAACCCAGACTCCATTTTGGTGCCCTGCCTCCTGTGCCATGGTCTTGGCTTCTGTGCAATATTAGTAGCAGATTACAGTTTACTTGTCTGCTTATGAGCTTCCCTGCCTCCCACCAATCTCAGCTTCTGGCAGGCAGCGATGGTGTCTCACATAATCCTCCAGTACTGAGCAGGTGTCTGGTGCCCTGCAAACACTCAATGAATATTTATTAGATAAATGAATTAATGAACAAAAAATACATCTGATAAGTAGGAAGAAATAATGAAATACTATCCTTCCTCAGTTTCTACAATATGACCAAGGACAGACTAGAAAGGAGGACAACCAAGTTGGCATCCCTTTTGCATGGTTAGGTAGCCACACCTGCATGGTGTTCTAAAATGCCTCCTCTCCCGGAGATCGACCATGTATCTATGCAGGTGTGATAAGATCACACCATGGCTCTGGTTCCATAGACAAGTGTCCACCTCCTGTTGGCCTCCTGTGCTGCATGTTTCATCGGTTGCCATACATGGACCCTCTCTGGGCCCTGCATTTTCAGTCCTTTGTGTTCTATATTTTCAAATCAGCTTGCCCCCAACCCGAGCTCATAGTCCCATTGAGTAAAAGAAGTGTTTTCACAAAGCACGACAGGAAATTATCCAGATGACACCAGAAGCTTCTTCCTTAACTCTTTGGGGCTACTAGAATTCACATCCTTGTTCTGGAAGCCAAAAACACGTTGGATCCTGGAAAACCATAAATGAACACTGGACAAGGTAGCAGCTGTTTGCCTGGAGCTACACTGGGAAATTTCATTGGTCGATGGCTCCCACCATGCCAAGCAATGGCTCTTATTCAAACCCCTTTCAGAGAGAAAGTTCACAGAGATTTGATAGCCTGAATGTGAAATTCTCCCAGTCTCCTCCCATCAGCCTTCTTAATAAGGGGGACAAGAACAGGGGTTTCTGGTTCTGTTTTGCGTAGGGTTATAGTCTCTTGGTAACCCACCACTAACATTGACATTACATTTTGAAAATCCAAAACTATGTAAATTCATGTTGCGTAACTGTTAGGTGGCTTCCTGTCGGGTGGACTTGGTATTCTAAAGCAATTGGAGGAGATAACAGGGGACAACAAATGAGAAAAACCATTATTCAGTAATATGGCTTTTCACAGCCATTTGGTGTTGGCACAGAGTGATTTGGAGGGAGAGGGAAATGGGAGGAAGGGGATTATGACTGTGGATCCAGAAGTTTTCTCCCTGCCTGGAAATAAGACATCTTTATAATTAGTAATATTTCTCTGTATGATTGCTAACATTCCTCAACACACTGAACAAAATCAAACTTATAAAATCTACTCTGAAAAGTCCAAATACACTATGCTTTTCCCCTCAAGTCTCTGGATCAGAAATTTAAATCTCCTCAATCCTTCTTGCAGATTTCACGGCCCTACTGGTGGATGTCATTGGAAATTCTACCAGATACCTCACAGAGATTTTTAAGTCAACTTCCATCCTCTCCGGTGTGTTCATCTTGAAAATGTGTGGGATATTGGAGATTTGGCAGATTTGCAAAATTTAATCAAAATCAAAATATTTTCAAAATGTAATCAAAATATAATCAAAGCTAGTGGACCACCTACCCCAAGCCCTGCCACAAAGTGGGCTGCCAGGAACCTCCATGTAAGCTTTATTTAGACAACCAGTGTGGTCCAGTTTCAACCACTAGTATTTGAAGGCTCCATCTTCCAGTCAGAGCTATTACTGGTATCTAAAAAGTTAGAGGAAGAATTCAAGGTTCAGAGTTACCGTAATCTAGACAGACTCAAGTAAACAGCTTCTACTAGATAGCTATACTCACATTTTAAAGATGAGAAACTGAGATTTGGAGAGGTTGACTATTTTGCTCAAGGGCAGATCAGAATTTAGCTTTAGATCTATATGCAGCCCAAGCCCATGTCCGATGTGCAGTTGGGAAAGATCTGCCTCATTCACAAGGTGCCTTCATATAACTCCCAAGCCGGTCGCCTTCCCCAAGAGACCCACTTTGCAAAGCGCAGATCTAGTCAATTGCCCACACATGGCCTCATCAGAAAGATGGAGGGCTGCACAATGGAGCAACTACTGTGTTAGAAACAGGGAAAGGAGAGAGAAAGAGTAGTAGATCTCATCAGCTGCAAGGACTCTTCCAGAGGCTGTCCGTGTACTCCCTCACTGGACCCTCACTACAACCTTGTGGAGTGATTACATATTTATCCCAATGTTACAGGTGGGGAAACCATGGCACAGAGAGGTCAAGTAACTTGCCTAAGCTTATCCTGAAGAAATGCAATTCGAACCCAGGTGATCTGGCTCTAAAGTCCATGCTCTTGCTCACTATGCTAATATATATAATAACAGGCCCACATTCACAGTGATAATTATCATTATTATGACCATTTACTGAGCTCTTCTATTTGCCAGGCACCATACACATTATCTCACTGGGTCATCATAGCTATCCTTTGAAGGACGTGCAAGCAAATGTCCACATTACTTTGCGCAGCATCTTTTTTAATAATTTTTTTGAGAGAGAGTGTGGTGCAAGAAGAGGAGGAGGAACAGAGGGAGAGGGAGAGAAAGAATCTCAAGTAGGCTCCATGTTCAGTGTAGAGCCAGATGTGGAGCTCGATCTCATGACCCTGAGATCCTGACCTGAGCCAAAACCAAGAGTCGGATGTTTAACAAACTGAGCCACCCAGGTGCCCCGCTTTGGGCAGCATCTTAAGGGACAAGTACATTTAGTAATTCATTCACCTTCAGACTTTGGCAGGTCTCACAGGGCATCTATACCACAGATGATGGAACATCGCCATCAATGGCTGCATGCCGTAATCAAACACACTCATTCATTTAGCAACATGGCCCTTTACACTAAACAGGTCTGATAAAGACTATAAATAGCCTCACATCTGTCAAGTCAGGTTTCCCACCAAATAAGTTTTGGTACCAAACTCACACAAAACCTTCCATCTTACAGTGATTTCAGAATTTGGAAATCTCAAATGAGGGACTGTGGAATTTGAACGGTCACCATTTTATAGATGGGTAAACTGAGTCCAGAGACATCAAGGAGTTCGCTCATGGCCACATAGCTAGTAAATGGCAGAGTTGATGTTGTAACACTAGAAGCTGACCCCACAGGTTGTGCCCTTTGCCATTACATTATACTGTATCCCCCCCCCAAAAAAAACAAACCCAGAAAATCAGGGCTCTCTTAAAAGTAAGGAGTTAGCCTTAAATTTCTCTATAACATCCTGAGCTAAGGATTTCTAGCTGAATTTTCATTTCAGCCAAAGACCTATAGCTTCAGACCCATTGCTAAGTCTTGTGTACTGGTTTGTCTTATAGTGAGTCAAACAAACGAATCGGACTGCATCTTCATCTGTGTGATGACAGGAAAGTCAGGTGAACCATCAGACAAGCTCTCGGAGCTGAGAATTAAACAGAACCTCTAGCAGGTGAACCCAAGATTCGATCCTGTTGGTGTGGTTTTTGTAGGAAGGGATCTTTCTGACTTCTGGGAGATGGCGGAGAAATCTCCTGTTATCAACTACACATTCACCAGCAGCTTGTCTGGTGTTCTAGGTGAGTGGAAACCCCCACACTCCTACTATAGTCTCCAAACCAGGGTCCCAGCTAGCAAACTGAAGACCGAATGCTGCCCTCAGGTATTTTATTTAGCTACACTGTGCTAAAACCAAAGGATTTCACCATTAAAATTAATCTCTGGATTCTCTTACAAGAGAAGATCTGGTGACTCAACGGGAGTTGAGTAGGCCTTGCTCCCATCCCACCCATTAGGAGAGACACCTTCCTCTTTTCCTCTCTGCTCCCTATCGCCTGACACTTGTTTCTCATATTAACTACCTGGCTTTTGTAGGTAATTGAATTAGTGACCCTGTTTTAGACATTGCCACTATACAATACCCAGACCCTACCCAACCATCCTCTACCCCTCTGCACACACTCCCACCCATCTGCTTGCCTTTTCCATGGCACAAGTGGTATTTTTGGAACCACCTTTGAGCTCGCTTTTGCCCCCTACACTTAACTGTCACTTTAAGCTGAACAAAGTTTTTGGAATCTGGCTGGTCCTCCAAGATTATTTGCTGCTGCTGTGATTACCTTAGTAATCTACCAGTCCTTGTCATCTACCTTTGACCTGAGGTAGCCTCTGAACTAGTCTTCCTTGACCCAGTTTCATATTTCTTTAAAATGTCCATCCATTGCCACAAGAGCATTAGTCTTTAAAATACAATTGGGTTTGTCTTCTCACTACTCAGAGCTAAGTCAGGAACAGAGGGTCCAAAGCCCTTAGCCTGGAGTATACATTGCTCTGTCAACATGCCTAGCCTCATCTGCTCTCTTTTTCCTTGAATCTTCTGCTAAAATGACATTGAAGCTCCTGTCTCTTTTTGCAGATGGCATCTCTCTGCATGCCTGTGCCACTTCACTCGGCCTGGAACTCCTTCCCTATTTTTCCATATTTCAGAGCCCCGGTTTGTCTGTCAATCACCAGCTCAGAGGCTGCCTCCTCTTTCCTAAAAATCTCCCAGTCAAAATTTGTCTTTTGTCGTCTACGACTCTATAACGCGACACTAGTCCATCATTCGGACTTGGTGTTACTCCAGGTTGGAACACAGGTGACCTTCCCTGTGTGTCTCCTCACTGAATGGTCCTTGAAGGCAGACATCCAAACTCCTTCAGCCCCCCAATCTGCTTCCCCTGGGTGTCTGCATGGGACTCTGTGTGTAGTAGGTTCTTAATTAGCGTTTCTTGGAGTAAAGTGAACTTCACAATAAATCTCCAGTTCCACTTCAGTGGGCTGCCTTGATTTTAGTTTGTTGGAATTACATTTATTTATCTTAATTTACCCGAGGAAGGAACCTCAACTTGCATGGAATGAGGCTGCTTGATGTGGAGATGAAATGGGCATTTGGTGGGTTCCCTTTACCTACTCGATTCTGAGGACCGAGCTGAGGATTGAGTCAATGTCATTTCTTTAGTCTTCCCGTGACCTTCCCAGGACAGTCCCAATTGTACCTCCCCTTGGTGCTCCTTTATGAAGGACAAATGCCTGGGAAGAGAGAATACTTGACAAATGGACACGTATTTGTCGGGTGGGTGTGCTTGATAGCCAGTCACTTGGCTGAGTGATGGTTTGATTGGGAGGGACTTAGCCCTATGTCCAGTTGATTTGGAAACAAGTACCAGACCTCTCGGGCGTGTGGGGACTACTGATCCCATAAGTGAAGCAGGAGAGAAGAGATGAGGCAACAGGACACGACTTGTACGGGATGTGCCCTGCACAATGATCCGCCAAAGGGGTAAGTAGGGCCTGGAATCCACTGGTCTACAGGCCAGCCCTGGTCAACCCAGAAGAAGGGACCCATGGGCTCATGGGAGCCTATCATCCTAACATGCATCTGTCACCACTAAAGGCTGCCCAAAGGAAGCTAGAAGCTCAAATGAACACTTGAGCCTCTTCCTCCCTGTCTTCATGGAATGTCCAAGGGCACCGGCTAGATCTCCCTCCAAATTGAGCCTTCCTGTTATCTTGGCTGTGACCTACCTGTCTTTCAGACAGCTTCTGCCCAGCAGCTTCTGATGCCCCTAAATTCCGCTTCTGGTCTCTAGTCACATGCACAGGGCACATGGAGCCACCCTGTCCCTCTTCTAGGAAAAAGTGCCATCAAGGGGCTGAGGGCTGTGAGGTGGGCGAAGGGCCTGGATGGATTCGGGTTCTGTCAGGAAACATGTCGAATGCATGATACTTTGCTGTCTGACAGCTTTGCATTCTGTTCACAGAGCTTCCCTGCATAGTGTTTTTGGAAATTGGTATTTTAGCTTCCTTTGCCGTTCCAAAAGAATCACTCCTCTTTGGTGACATATGGTATTGTTCCAAGTAAGGTCTAAATTTCTGTGTTCGGTCCGTTTGCTGTCCAACAATCTTTCAGTGGCTTGACCAGTCTGTGCTCCAAGTGTCAAGCACATAAAATCTGCCTTTGACCATCTCCCTGAATGTACAGCTCCCAGGGGCACGGCTGTGACTTCAAAACTCATACCCACAAGCCAGCAGACACTACCGAGGACAAGCCCCCTGCACAGAGCCCAGAGCACCAGGGCACCTGCTCCAGGGACCTTTCCCTGGACAGAGACAACTCCTCCTGCAGAGGGAGAGCCGGCCATGAGCACGATCAGGCTTTCCAAGCTCCACGCCAGGGCCACAGCCATGGCCACGCAGGGTGGTCCCTCTCCCACCCTCCCAGCATTGGGTAAGAAGATGACTCGCCCTCTCCCTTCCTGTCCTGCTTCTCCCTCACATAAATAAGTGAAGCCCTTCCTTTATCCTTTTTCCATCGACCCTTTCTTCTTCAGCATCCCTGAAATTAGAGATTGACATGAGCCAGTGTGAGTTTGATACAGACAAGCAAAGGCAGTGAGCATCTTTGGCATAAGATCCTGCCAACATTTATTTGTATGATTTTTTTTTTGAAATAGTTTAAGACTCACAAGACGTGATAAAAATAGTACAGAGAGCTCCCTGATCCCCTGCACCCAGAATCCCCCAATAAGAATGTCTTACATAAGTGAAGTGTATTGTACCATGATGTATTTTTGTTTCAGCAAAGCATTTAGCAATGTCTCTCCTGAAATGAACCCTGTGTGGTGGAATGGTGGTGGGTATTGAGGGCACATATTGCATGGAGTACTGGGTGTGGTGCATGAACAAGGAATCTTGGAACACTGAAAAAATAAAATTAAATTAAAAAAACATTTTATGATAGAGTTAGGTGAATTTGTAGCTGGCCAGATAATGATGCCAAGAGTATGTTAATGACTTGAAGCTAGCACGGAGAGCCACCACACATGGCGGGCCAGCCAGCGAGTTCCTCCTTCCCCACCATCTTTGTGGGCTCCATCATTAATGTTGTCATAGAAGATGAAAAGACATACTCATGCTATTTGGAAATAAGATACAACGGAGATAGCACTTTTATTAAAAGCCAATACTGTCTCAATGAGTTCCGACAAGGGACCAGAGTCATAGAATTCATTCATTCAATCATTCACTCATCGAGACATGAATTTAATACCAGACTCCAGGCTAGCTGCTAAAAGCACAGCTCTATCAACGTTCCCTTTCGTTCCTGAGTGCGCAGACTGGGGAGGGAGACACGAGCAAGTAAATTGATAGTTATAATCTAGCCTACAAAGAGCTGTTGTCCTGGAGAGCCCAGCAGGGGGCTTCCTGGAGGAGGTGAGAACTCATGGGAGTCCTGCAGGCAGGAAAACAAGAATGCGGAAAAACAATCAATGTCACTAACCAGAAACCCCTCAGTACACTCCAGTATCATGACTGTTCTGCATAATTAGAAAGTTTCCCAGAATAATATGAAAAAAATACCCAAAAGATATGATTGCTAGTGGCAAGAAAAATCATAGAATAGTTAGCTATATGCCTAGCAGGAAAATTGTTGGGTTTTATATATGAAAAACTATAAAACTTTAGGGAGAGTAATAAGGCATATTTAAATAAATAAAGCGATATACCACATTTTGGAGGAGAAACTTGATTTTTTAAAAGATTTTATTTATTTATTTGACAGAGAGAGAGAGAGAACACAAGTAGGCAGAGAGACAGGCAGAGAGAGAGGGGGAAGCAGGCTCCCTGCTGAGCAGAGAGCCCTATGCAGGGCTCGATCCCAGGACCCTGAGATTATGACCTGAGCCCAAGGCAGAGGCTTAATCCAGTGAACCACCCAGGCATCCCGAGGAACTTGAATATTTTAAAGATGGCAATCGTTCCTAACTTAATATATAGATTTAAAATTTTCCAAGGGGGTTAGTTTTAAAAACCTGAAAAAAATTATTTTCATAATTTTCATTCTATGGAAATGAATGAGAGAACCTATAGAATTGTTTAAAAGAGCAGCCAGGGAAGATTGGCCTTCGTCCCAATCCTGTGATATTGTATTATTGTTGTTAGCATTATGATCATCCCCATTTTAAGGGGAAAGCTAAAAAAAAAAGTGAAGCCACTTGCCCCTAAAGTCACAACATGGGGGAGGCAGGAACAGTTTCCCCTCTGGTCTCTTCACCTCAAACCCTATAACAATTTCACTGGGTCATTTGATGAGAAACGTGCTCTTAACTTTAAGAGAGCTTGCTGTTGGATGTCTAAGGAATCTGGAGGTTTCTTTTTTAAAATAAGTAGTTAGGAAAATAAAGTTTACTTTGGCCCATTTATTCTAGCTCAAGGTAGAGCTTAGGTCCCTGAATTACCTGTTTCATGCATGCACAAAGCATTTGCCCTTTGATAACATTTCATTGTTTTGGTAATTTTATACCTGAATCAAAAGGGTCAAGAATGTAAGTGCTCTTTTACTGTCCCATGTGCAGCTACCAGGAGGGTGGCCAGGACCCCATGGGTGACAACCAGCAGTCAGGCGTGGACTCCCACACTACCCATGCCCTGGGCACCTGCAGGGCCTCCCTGGGAAACACTGTCCTCCACACCGTCATCTCCTGCAGAGGCCACGGCCACAAGGAGCCTGCCCAGGCCTCCAGCTAGGACATCGGCCACCCACGGCAGCCCCTCCCAGGCCCACTCAACCTCAGGTAAGAGAGGATGCTCACTCCCACCTCCCCCATTTGTAAACTCAATTAGCCCTGTCTGTCTTTAAAACGTTTTCTAAATTTTTGAAGTACAACGCACAGAAAAGTTGTAAAACCTAAGTTAGCATCATAATTAATAATCATAAAGTGAACTCGCTCTTCCTTTTCTTTACTCCAACCCTTTTCTTTCTACCTTGAATGAATGAATGAAGGAAGGAAAACTCCCTCTTTGCAGGAATCTTCCACACCCTTTCTCTGCTACGTGCCCTCTTTTATGCGCCCATTTAGAAATTTCCGATTTCTTTTTTTAATATATTTTTTAAAGATCTTACTTACTTATTAGAGAGAGAGACAGAGAGAGCACAGGCAAGTGGAGGGGAGAGGGAGAAGCAGACTCCCCACTAAGTAGGCAGCCTGATGAGGGACTCGATCCCAGGACCCTGGGATCAGGACCTAAGCTGAAGGCAGATGCTTAACTGACTGAGCCACCCTGGCACCTTAGAAATTTCCAATTTCTAGGGGGAACCTGGGTGGCTCAGTGGGTTAAGCCTCTGCCTTCGGCTCAGGTCATGATCTCAGGGTCCTGGGATCCAGCCCCGCATCAGGATCTCTGCTCAGCAGGAAGCCTGCTTCCCCCTCTCTCTCTGCCTGCCTCTCTGCTTACTTGTGATCTATCTCTCTGTCCAATAAATAAATAAAACTTAAAAAAAAAAAAAAAGAAATTTCCAATTTCTTCTTTTCCCTTTTTCACTCACCATCAAACAAGTGACCACTAGGAGCCAATACTGTTCTCTCCAGACTGCCTTTTTGGAATAGTATTAGTATGTATTAATATTATTACATTAATTGCATATACATGGTGTATATGCAATGTATTGTAGCATACCTGTTAATTACACACACAAATATAATGATATGTACATTAATATGTAATCATGTACTATAAGGAAAGCCTGAGTTATAAAAAGCAAGAAAAAAGTTGTCAAATGTGATCCCAAGTCTATGTATCTATGTGTATTTACTTGTGTGTAATAAATATACACAGAAAATAGAAAGTAAAACAAAATAAGACTAAAAAGAAGTTCACAACATATTAACCTTGACTATATCTGGGAAGTAGATAAGATTTTTACTTTCCCTCACTCTGTATTTTCTATTCATATAATCAAACAAAAAAGCTTTATTGCATTTGTTTTTAAAATCACTTTCTCTGGCACCTGCAGCTGGAGGCCCTTCTTCCAAGCTCACCGCAGTCAGTAGATCGTAAGACTCCTTATTACTGTGCTTAGTGTCCATTCCCTTGACCGTCCTCCCTCTCCTTAAGAGCCTGAGTCTTTCATCTCCTGTTCCATGAAATATAGCAGGCATTCAGGAAACATTTGCTGAACCACCTAAATTTCTTAAGAAATAGAGGGTATAAAGGCAAAGTCTTGACTCTAGGCTCAAAATCAATTGCACCAACAGATCTGGGAATGCAATTTTGACAGCTGTCATCAAGGAAATACCTCACATGTTTACATAGGAAAAGTAAAAGCTACCACATTGGGGTTTGGCTGGTAGGATATCAGCGGCCAGCACAGCCCTGAGGCTATGCACTCTGGTCTTTATTCCAGACACAGCAAGGTTGAAATCCTGACTCACCTATGCTGTCTGTCCTTGGGCGGTTCTCTTGATCTCTCTCAGTCCTGGCTTTTTCACCTTCAAAAATAGGGGAGGTGATACCTACCTTCAGAGTGGCTGTGAGGATTGAATCAGGGGGCTTCAATAAGGCATTCAGCTCAGCACGTAGCACCCAGGACACCCTGAGTCCATGGCAAACACCTACCGCTCACTTGTCTGGGGCTTTGTTTATGGTCTTGGCTCTGCTCTTATGCTCTTTGTTCACCTTTTTCTTGTTTCTTGTGTCTCAGAGATGTCATCTGCCCCCAGCCTCCATCTTCTCCATCCCATGCAGGTCGGCCTCACCCCTCTTCTCCCACCTCACCACACGAGTGAAATGACCTGTCCCATCTCCCTCTCCCTCACCCCTACAAGGAGGCTGCTTTGCTGGTTTTGCCAGGGACCAGGATCCTGACAGCAAAGGTCACGTCCTGAAGTGGTCCTTAAACCAGGACTTTATGAATGATCAAAAGAATAGCTGAGATGAGCCCATGCTCTATCGGGAAGATGACAGTTTATCAGGGTGGAGATAGAGTGAGTGTGTGCACTGACTCAGATGAGTGAAAAGCCTCATTTTCCTCACTGAGCAGCAGCTGTGCTTGCTCCTTGCCTGGGCCACACCACGCATCTCCCATGCATTTCATCACTTCTTACAAGTATTAGCTGATTTCCAGTGGCATCCGACACAATGTATCACAGCTACCCCTGGGACTTGCCGGTTTCCTCCTCTACTTGATGAGCCTCCACTGCAGGTTTTATCTCTTACTCAGTTCTTATCCTCACCTCCCTGCCAGGTACCTGACTTAATAACCAGCACTGGTTAACTAGGGTAGGACTAGTGGCATGGGGCTTCCTTTCCCCATAAGGCACCCCAAGAAAAAATCCCAGGCTTACCTCTCCCTCACTTCATCCCAGGAACCTCCACCCGTGGCACACGAACCCCGAGTCCAACCAAGGCACCTGCCCCGAAATATCCACAGACAGGTAAGAAGGTTTAGCTGGAAAGAGAAACCCAGTACCTCATGGCTTTGGTGTAGGGGCTCAGGGTAGAGGGACAAGGGTGCCAGGAGGCTGACTAAGCTGGGCATTGGACTTCATTGGTTCTAGTAGGGAAAGAGGCAGGCAAAGTAGTTTAAAAGCCTTGCTATGAGACAGGAAACAACACTTGTTGGAGGGGATGTGGAGAAAGGGGAACCCTCTTACACTGTTGGTGGGAATGCAAGTTGGTGCAGCCTCTTTGGAGAACAGGGTGGAGATTCCTCAAGAAATTAAAAATAGAGCTTCCCTATGACCCTGCAATTGCACTCCTGGGTATTTACCCCAAAGATACAGATGTAGTGAAAAGAAGGGCCATCTGTACCCCAATGTTTATAGCAGCAATGGCCACGGTCGCCAAACTGTGGAAAGAACCAAGATGCCCTTCAACGGACGAACGGATAAGGAAGATGTGGTCCATATACACTATGGAGTATTATGCCTCCATCAGAAAGGATGGATACCCAACTTTTGTAGCAACATGGATGGGACTGGAAGAGATTATGCTGAGTGAAATAAGTCAAGCAGAGAGAGTCAATTATCATACGGTTTCACTTATTTGTGGAGCATAACAAATAGCATGGAGGACAAGGGGAGTTAGAGAGGAGAAGGGAGTTGAGGGAAATTGGAAGGGGAGGTGAACCATGAGAGACTATGGACTCTGAAAAACAATCTGAGGGTTTTGAAGGGACGGGGGGGGGGGGGGGGGTGGGGGGAACCAGGTGGTGGGTATTGGAGAGGGCACGGATTGCATGGAGCACTGGGTGTGGTGCAAAAACAATGAATACTGTTATGCTGAAAATAGATTTAAAAAAATGATTAAAAAAAAAAAAAGCCTTGCTCTGTTGTTAAATTACCCCATGATTTGCATAAAGCTCTTCCTTTTCTTGGCTACAATTCCCTATAGACTTTGAGAAGGCTTTATCCTTAAACTGCTCTTATTCCTTCGTCCTGTGTTATCACCCAAGATCAGTTCATGCTGACTTTTGCGCGGCCATTCATGCCCCTTGCAGGTGACCTCCCTACAACATGGCCACTTACCCCTAAAGAAGAGCCAGCCTTGGTCCCGGGACCCCACCAAGTCTCGAGTAGGTACCGACAGCCTGCTGCTCTGTTGCTCTTGTTTGTTTGGAACAAGGTTGTATCGTGAAATAAAAAGAGGTTTGTTTGATTAAATTTAGATTCAGACTGCTGGGATTAAATTCTAGCTCTACCATTTACTGGGGAGGGGGTCTCCGGCACTCCGCTTCGGGAATTCAGCTTCCTCAACTGGGAAGCAAGAATAATAACAATTATTGTGGGCACTAAAACTGTCTTTATTGCCCCACGGCTTTGTATTGAGTAAGATAATGTGTGTGGAAGTGATTTGGAACTACAGAGCTCCACATAACTTAATCCAATCAGCGATTATCAAGTGAATACCTATTGAGCAAGGCACTGTGTGCTTTGCAAACAGAGGCTGTTCTTTTCCTGAGCCTGATGTCAGCCAAGGCAGCAGAAGGAGGAACGGATGACTCCAAAATTCAGTCCCCATTTGCTGGGTGCATTTTACTTTTGTTGCATTTTATTTATTTATTTTTTAAAGATGGTATTTATTTACTGGAGAGAGAAAGAGGGCATGCATGTGTGGGAGTGGGGGAAGGGGCAGAGGGAGAGGAAGAAGCAGGCTCCCTGCTGGGCAGGTAGCCCAATGCAGGGCTCCATCCCAGGATGCTTAGATCATGACCTGAGCCAAAGGCAGACACTTCACCCAATGAGCCACCCAGGCACAGCTACGTTTGTTGCATTTTAAAGGACACCCTGCCTTCCCCGTCCCTGACACTTAATTTCAATGGAATTCTAGAGGAAACCATGTCCTGGGTTTATGGCTGGGTTTTTGAGCCTCCTCACAGAGGCTCAAAAAAAATGCTGCTCTTTTCTTTTTTTTTTTTTTCCCATTTTTGGATGCTCTTCCCTCTCTTGCTTTCTGTCCCAGAAGACAGAAATTGATACAGAATGAGTCCTCCAAAGCTGGTTGAATCCTCAGGGCCCTCCCACTCCTGGATGCCTTTCTATGCCCGTTTCCTGAATGTTCCTGCGGCATCCAGGAGTATGTCAGCAGGGCATTATTAAATTCCTGGAGACTACACAGTCCCTTTTTCATACAATGAAGATTTGCCTTAGCCCCACTCTCAACCTGCAGTGAATGGGCCTTTCAGACACAAAGCCATGATTATACTGCCGAAAGATATTATAGCCATTTTTCCTCCAGAGGTTGGTGGTGCAGAGGGGGGGCATTTTCAGACCAAGTTTTGGAAAAGAAGCTGAGTATATAACTATCTGTATTTATGTCTACTTATACGGCTCTATCTATTATCTCTCTCTCTCTTTCTGTCCATCCATCATCTACCCATCTATCCATCCAATAAGAAATATAAGTCTAAAAAAAAGGGTTTTGACAACTTCCAGCAAATGATTCTTCCCATTCACAAAGAAACAATACCACAAATCCTTTGAGACTGACTCATTCATCCATTCCGTGAATATTTATTGAGGTCCTACTGTTTCCCAGGCACTATGCTAAGCCTATTTTTACTCCATAATAATTCCACAAGGTAGGTAATGTTATCTTCATTAAGCCGTTTCAGTGAGCACTACAGTTAAAAAAGTAACTAAATTTTGAGCCTTCATTTGTCTAATTCCAAAGCCTGTGCTCACTCCACCCTTGTATGCTATCTATCCCAAGATTCTTCATTTGTACAAAATAATTGCAATTTGAGGAAGAAACTGGTAATGTTCTTAAGAGAAAAGGCGGTCAATGCTATGTGCAGCCAGAGGGGAGGAGATTAGCTCCATCTGGAGGGACTGTTCAAGAGGTTTTCCTTGACGAAAAGAGAGGCATCTGAGCAGGGTTCCCTCTACATTTCAAGCAGGGCCACAGCTTATGCAAAGGCACAGAAGCAGGAAAGGACTGATGTTTCCCAGGAGCTGAGAAATTCCTTGTGCCTGGAATTCTGGTGCTACAGGAAGGAGTGATGAGGAGCCAGGGAACAGAAGCTGGGGCGGGGGGGCACGTGGATCCCCAGGATGATGGAAGAAGTGTGGACCTCTTCTGAGACAACTGACATGGTCAGATTTGTGGTGCAGAAAACTTTCTCTAGCTGCAGAGTGGAGACCAAAGAATGGAGGATAGGAACAAGGACACTGGCAAGGAGACTGCTGTACTAACCACAGCCAGAGATGAAGGGAGCTGGAACTAAGAGTTAGTTGTATGAGACTTGACTCATCAGGGAGACTTGGATGGTGTTCAGGAATCAAGAAATGTGATGGTGGAATGATCAGCAGGAGGTAACCAAACATCATGCCCAAGTTTGAACAACTGAGAGGCTAAGTGCCATTTCCTAAGTTGGAGAATGATGGGAGAGGTTGGGAAGGGGAGAGGGGCATGGAAATCAAGCATCAGGAATGTTAAGCATGTTCAAGTAGTAAAGCATGCTAGTATGAGCTCCAGACTCAGACCTTGCCAGAGTCACTACCTGATCAAACCACAGTCACTCAGACCCTCAGTGTCCTTTTATATAAAATAGATACCTACATTACATGATTTTATGAGAATTAAATGAAATCATGTTTGTAAAGAACTTAGAAAAGCACCTAAGTCCAGGTGTGTAATAAATGTTAAAGTAAAAAGTCATAGCATATTTACAAAAATTGATAAATATTCTGGAGGTTTTACTATTCTAACTGGCTCAGGATAGAATTCAGAATACATTTCCGTCCTACCTTTTTTAACTAATTCTATCTCTAACATATGAGCCCTCTCTCCACTTTAATAAATTTATAACCGATAGATGAATGGATAAGGAAGATGTAGTATATTTACACAATGAAATATCAGTCACTGAAAAGAATGAAATCTTGCCATTTGTGACAACATGGACAGAGCTCGAGAGTTTAATGCTGAGCAAAATAAGTCAGTCCGAAAAAGACAAATACCATCTGATTTCAAACCTATGTGGAATTTAAGAAACAAAACAAATAAACAAAAGGGGAAAAAAAGGAGACAAACTAAAAAGCATACTCCTAGCTATAGAGAATAAGCTGCTGGTTGCCAGAGGGAAGGTGGGGGAGGGGGAGCACAGATGCAACAGGAGATGGGAATGAAGAATGTACTTGTGTTGGTGAGCCCTGGATGATGTATGGAAGTGGCAAATCACTACATCGTACACCTGAAACTAATATCACACTGTAGGTTGACTATACTGGAATTAAACATTTGAAAAATAATAGTAATAAATATAAAAATAAGTAAATAAATCTAAAACTGCTCAATTATAATTTTCAAAAAGGTAAGAAAATGATTCATAAAAATATGAAATTAGCACATGTCAGAGATACTATTCAATCATTAATGAATGAATGAATGAAGATTGGCTCCATGGAGATTTTGAGGAACAGGGATTTTTATAGTTAGTCCTAGGAATTTGGATATGAATTTACTGACTGATATCCCACAGCAAAGAATTCTTTTTCTTTTCACTAGACAAAAACCAATTGCATCTTTACCAGACGAAATTCATTCACGTTGCTCACCGGCAGGAATTATTTGTGTTGCTCTCAGATAAGAGTCATTGAACGTCTTCAGAGTTGCAAAACCACCAACTCAATCAATCAATCAAAGATACACACTCTTATGGAACCAGAAAATCCCCACAGTATGTACTAGACAGTACCCAGAACTTATTTCCAGGTTTTAGATAATTTTTCTTGATAGTAAGTAGTAATGCTTTGTTGGAAGATCATTATCAACATCCTAATATAACCTTCAAATCACTAGAAGTTGCACCCTGTAAGAGGAAGCCTCTTTTCCTTTTTTTTAAGGTTGATTTATTTATTTGAGGGAGAGAAAGAGAGCAGGGGGAGAGGGAGAGGGAGAAGCCCTAAGCAGACTCCCCACCGAACAGGGGGGATGGGCTTAATTAGAGGACACCAAGATCATTACCTTAGCTGAAATCAAGAGTCCGCCACTTAACTGACTGAGACACCCAGGCACTCTGTCTCTTTTTCTTGTGTTTATGAGTTGTATCCTTTGGTCTGTGAGTGCCCAGCACGTAGTGAATGCTGAATACATTTTGTTGAGGTGGGGCAGAGTGGGGCAGAGGGAGAAGGAGAGAGAGAATCCCAAGCAGGCTCCACACTGAGAGGGGAGTCCACCATGGGGCTTGAACCAGGACCCTGAGATCATGACCTGAATGGAAATCAAGAGTCAGACATTCAACCAATGGAGCCATCCAGATATCCTGTTCAATACATTTTTTTTTAAAGATTTTATCTATTTATTTGAGAGAGAGACAGCGAGAGAGCATGAGCGAGGAGAAGGTCAGAGGGAGAAGCAGACTCCCCATGGAGCTGGGAGCCCGACGTGGGACTCGATCCCGGAATCCTGGGATCACGACCTGAGCGGAAGGCAGCCGTCCAACCAACTGAGCCACCCAGGCGTCCCCTGTTCAATACATTTTTAATAAATCAGTAATAATAACTATTATTTGTCATTTATCCCATAGCAGGAAGTTTGTTTTGCAGTATGCTTTGTATACATTGTCTCCTTAAGTTCTCCCAGTGATCTTCAGGCAACTCACACCCATCTACTTGCACACAGCCTATACATATGCCCTCCACACATGCAAAATGCATATATCCATGTGTGCACACACTCACACATATGCATGCACACATATGTCTGCACACACACACACACTCTGTATCATCTAATTATTCTCCATTGCCCTATCAGCAAACCGTCCCCTTGCTTGATGCTAGGTGCCCACATACTCTACCTCTTCCACTGGAAATACCTCCACCTGACCCACTTCTGTCTAATGTTTTAGATCCTTTTTTAGGATTTGCTGTCAGTGAGACCACCTCTGATTTCCCCCCGGGAACTGGACCCCACCTTACTCCACCTGTCTCTCGGACTCTCACAACAGCTTTCCCGGGCACTGAAGAAGCAACGTTGTCTGTCTGTCTCCGAGCCACCTGAGATCAGGGCCAGGACTCTATCCAGCAAGCACAGTAACAAACAGAGGGAAAATGCTTGCTAAATCCTTGTTGATGTCAGTGGTCTGGGATTGCATCTTCCAGGGTGTCCTGAGCTGCTCCTTGAAGAGGGGGCCATCACCGCCACTCCCCTCACCCTGGCCATCCAGAAGTTCAACCCTTGCCTGATGGAGCTGTGCCGCTTTTTCCAGCAATGCCTCTGCATGAGCCAGAAGAGAGAGGCTAGAGCAGAGGCCATGAGGTAACCGGAACCAGGTGTCCCTTTCCACAGTCAGCATTTTGGGGCTGCCTATGATGCGTGGCTGCTCTGCAGGCCACAGGTGGCCGGGAACACGCAAGTGATAGGGGTACCTCAAGGAATAGACTCTCTGGAGGGTCTTCTACTAGACCATCACCTCCTTGAGAGCCACGATGGAACCTCATTTATTTCTGGGTCCCCGGAAACCATTTCAGGGCCAGACATAGCAAGTGCAGCTGAGTCGAGTGGAGGTCAGCTTAGCTGATGTGAATTGAGCCCAGCTGAGTCCTACCTGGTGGAGTGATCACACAGGACTTCCGGTGGTCCTGGAGCCCTCTCAGCCTCAGCCTGGTGACATCTGCCAGAACTGAGTAATCGGAGGACATGTCCATCTAAACCCCAGTTCTTTCTAAATCCCTAGAAGTCATTTGCTGGTCAAATGAGAAGATCGTAAAATGAAATTTAGAAGGCAGACCCTGCTTTATATTAGAAGTTCTAGGCATGGTAATAGTTTCTTGCCCTCTAGTGCAGACATTCTTTTCCTTCTTCTGCAGTTTGTCTTGGCTATAAACACAGAACCAAACAAACATAGATGACCACTTCTGCTCCAGTGGTCTGGGGCCAATCTCCCAGATCTTTGATATTCCTTTCCAAGTCCATTCATGACTCTTCAGCTTTTCAAACCTCCCTCATCCACTGGCTCTGAGCCTCAAGTCCAGGTTTGAAACCACTTTCCATTACATCCTGGTCTTGGACCTCTCAATCAGTGTTTGAGGGAGTGTTTCCTCCTCCCAGAGAGGGAAATGAGAAAGGTCCATAGACCCAAGGTGTGAGCAAGTGATGTGGAAGCATGTCCCCACCACGTAGGCTCATCCTAAAAAAGAGAAAATTCTTGCAACATGATCAGCCCACTATCAAACCCTCCACCAGTAACTTTTCAAATCAATGATGAGTTAAGTCTCTCCTGGTCACCTGTTATACACAGTGCTGAGCCATGGGAATTGAGAGTTGAATCAGACACAGGCCCAGAAATTGAAGATTTCATAGTTGGGAGGAAGAAATGGTCATAAACCCAAATTAAAATATGACATCATAGGGGACAGAACTGAGTCATACCCAGAGGCAGTACCTATTCCTAGTATCCCCTTGGAGAAAAATCACATTTAAAAAATATATATTGCAAATGCTAGGGGGAAGGATAAAATGGGTAAGGCAGAAGTTTCCGGAGAGGAGTTTTAAGTTAAAATTTAGAGAAATGAAGCATGGAGGAACCTGAGCTTATCCCTTATCTTCCCTGTATTTTACTTAATAGTGAACTGCTCTATAATCTCATACTAAACATGAGTACAAGCTCAGAATAACAGAGTGGGAGACTGGCTTTACTCAGTGTGTATTGAATAGCACAGCCCCTATGATCAAAAAATCATGCTTGAATGGGAAAGCTGGCCACACAGAGAAATTCCGAAACAGCAGGGCAAGCACTGTAGCAGATCCCAATATGCCCCATGGGACCCCAGGGAACTAACTAATAGGGCCTGATGGGGGAATAGAAGCTTCCCAGGCAGGAAATGGGAGAGGCCACTCCAGGCAAAAAGAACAGCAAGTACAAAGATGAAAAGTGAGAGGCAGCCTGGAATGTCAGAGGTCCACTGAGATACGCAATGTGGCTGCAGCGAAGGCATAGGTCTGTTTTCAGGAAAGCCTTGCTCCTTCAAGCACCTGGCGAGCTCTTGCAAACAAGTTTGGACTTTTCCCCCTAGAGCTTCAGCTGCTCTTCCCGGCTGTGCATTTTCTCCTTCATTCAGAACAGGTGGAACCCATATTCCCCAGGGTCGTTTGATATCCTCTCTGTTCTGGAAGCTTTCTAAGCAATTGGTCTGTGGGTCTTAGAACATCTTGTCACACTTGCACACTTCGGGCTAGGTGAAGGGAGATTAAGGATTAGGTCACAGAACTGGGATCTTAAAACTAGTGGGTAGCTTAGTATACTGTATGTGGGATAAGCTGAAACCAAGTCGACCTGCGTTTAAATTTAGGTTCTGAACTTACAAGCTCTGTAGGCTAGTCATGTAGTGTCTCTGAGCCTCAGTTTGTTATTCTGCAAAATGGGTATAATCTTACTAGAATGGTAGTGCATTCTGGCATGAAGTGGATTACCTGGGGAAAATCCGCACTCTCTTGAGGGCAGTGAGTCCTCAGGCAAATCAGTGCATCTCTGTGCTCTAGTTTCCTTAATTTAACGGTGTCCTGGAAATTGAGGGTGCTGGAGCCTGGGGAATCTTTACAGCTAGCTGTACTCAGGCAGTTTGTTGCTCCCCAGGGGATGCTAGAATCACAGAGTAGTAGAGATAGCTACTCTCTATAGATAGGGAAATGGGAAGATGTTTAGCCCGACCTCCTCAAGCATCTGGCATGGGATAGGCAGGGCGGTGAATTCCCCCGGAGTCCCACAGGGAGCCAGCGACACAGCCTGCCCAGAAAGCTCTTCTTCCTAATAATGTTCTTGGTGCTCTCCCACTGAAGCCCTTCGAAGCCATCCCTGCAGCCCCGGCCAAGAGCAGGATATTATTTTGCAAGTATTTGCTTCCTTGTTAACTGTAAGAGCCCTGTGTTCTTAACCCATCTCACACAGAAAAGCAAATATATGAACATAGTCATTGCAGAGCACCTGTTACAAGCCTGACCTTTTTGGGGGAACTTGACATATGTTAGTTCACTTAATCCTGGTGATAACCTGTGAAGGTAGGTCCTAGGACTGCCTTTTGAGTGCATATGAAAAATCTAAGGCCCAGAGGAGTGAGTGCTCAGCCTGAAGTCACACATCCTAGTGAGGAATGAGGCCAGGACTAAAAATACATCTTTCTCACTCCAAAGTCTAAGCCTCTCCCCACTCAGCCTCATCCTCTGCCTCTTCTCTCACACCCAGTAAAGATGGAGAGGGGGTCCTTGCTGTGAGTAGTTGGCCAGGATGACTTTCAAAATGATGGCTGTCTTCCATTAGCCACAAGGGATGATAATCACCTTCCACTCTCATTGGAATCTTTAGGTACTGTCTTCAATACTATTCCTGGTTTCTGAAGAATGCAACATACATCTGTCAGAGAGTGAAAAGGGTGTCCCACTCCCACAGTAAGTATACACTTGACCGTGTCGTAGCTTGACAATAAATGCTTTGTATGAAAGGGCTCTAGAACTCACTGATTGTCCTGCCTTCGTGGGGGACAGTCAGAGTAGGTACAGATCATGTAGTCCTCATTAATTTTAGACAAGAAAAGTGAAGGGTATTTCTGATTACTCTTCAACTAACAGTTCAGTGTTTGCAATTAGGTATAGAAAAAAAGAGAGAGAGAGAGAGAGAGAGGAAAAAAAGCAGGAGTCAACCCGACCAAGCCATTTTGCTTTTTATATGATCTCAGGCAACTTTCTTATCCTCCCTGATTCCCATATAAGCTAAAAATACTAATGAGCAAAGAAAAATCAAACAAATAGAAACACTCAAACTCCTGACCAAAGCAAAATGAGTACAAATAATCCAAGAAAAAGCTTATTCTTGTTCTTGTTTTTGTGTAAGATATTATTTTTCAGTAATCTCTATACCCAATGTGGGGTTCAAACTCGCAACCCGAGTCACATACTCTACTGACTGAGCCAGCCAGGCTTCCTCGAATAATACAAATAAAGAAGGCATCATGAGGTGCTAGAAGTAGGGTATACGGTACCCTCTTCTGGACTTAATGGCATCAAAGCCCCATTAACTCAGAGAGACCAGACATAAACTTTGTTTTTCTCCCACTCCTGCAGACTAAAATGGCTGATCGGGCCTGGCTGGTCTCCAAGCTAATGGTCTGACCATCTACCTGTACTATCCAGTCAAAGGACTCTGACCTTCTAAAAGTCATGGAGCTATATGGAACTTACATTACCTTCATTCTTCAGCACAAAGGCCAAGCATTTAGGGGTGGAGGCTTTGGGGGGACGGTGGTTGCTCAGTTGTCAAAGACAGATATCCCTTTGCCTGGGATGAGCAGAGGGAGCAGGAAATTTTACAAGCTACTTACACTTAAATAGCTCTTCTTCTGTCCTTGGCACCTTAAAAATCTCCATGCAAACAACATATTACATCTACTGAAAAACATATTAATGGGGTTAGATTAGCTTTCTGCAAACTGGAGAGATCAGGTAGATAGAATTGGGTATCGGGAAACCATCACTGGGCCGCGAATGCAGAGCTGAATGATGCTCTCCTCTCAACTTGGCTGCTAACCAGGGAAGGTCTTGCCCACATCCTCCCCCCTCTCTGACACGGACTGCTGAGTCCCTGCCCACCCCAGTGCCCTGCCTGCCCCACCCTTGCCTTCTGGAAGAGCCTGGCCCATGGCTGATGTCACCTGACTTTATGTCCCTGTAGCATTTACTTCTTTCTCACTACCTTGAATTCCCTCTTCTTTTTTCCTTCCAGCGTTAAAACAAAAATGCCTCCAGAATATCTGTCAGTCAGTGTGAGACCTTGAAAAAGAGATGGGATCTGATGATACACTGGACAAGGGCTCTTCACCCTGGTCCCTGGCCCAAACTGGCTGTCTTTGCAGAATTCACCAGACTCCAGCCAGATCATCAATCAACCAAAAGAGGTTCTTTTTGGAACTTGCATTTATTTCTCTCCTCGAATCCTGGGAAGGTGGAAGACCAAGTATCCGAGGCTGCACTGAGACCTAAATCCGTGTTTAAGGAACCCCCAGGATGCTTGCAGCAATCCTGAGACTGGAGAGATGGGGCGAGGGGTGTCGCACTAGCAGGAGCAAACTGGTCCAGGCTCCGGGACTCTGACACAGTACCCAAAGTGACTTAAACTTGGGATTTTAGGAAGACAGCAAGATAAGTAAGGAAAAGTGAACTCATACTGTGGAGAGATTCACATATGATTTCTATATACCATTGACTCACACTCAGTTATGTACAACTAATCAGACTTGCTGATTATAGGATCCAGATAGTGTCCCAAGCCCTCTGAGTAGGAGGTGATGAGAACCTTTCCTCATAAGAAGTGTAGAGAGTTGTGGGTTTTTTGTTGTTGATGTCTTGACTTGAATCCTTATCTGTGGATCCCACTGTATATGGGGGTCTCCGAGAACATGCTCTAGCTCAGTGATTCTCTAATAGGACTTATGGAACTCCAAACAGCTGTCACACTCACATTTACTGCTTATTACAGCAAAGGGACAGAGATTAAAGTTGGCAAAGGTAAAAGGGGCAGAGGGCAGGGCCTGGGAGCACCTGGGCACCAGCTTCCGGCTGTCCTCTCTAGTGAGGCTGCAGGGACAGCACTGAGTTCTTCCAGCAATGACACATGACAATACATATGAAGTATTGTCAACCAGAAAGGTTCACCCAAGTCATGGAGTCCACAGTTTTAACTGGGGATCAGCCTGTAGGCATAAAGTGCCCACATAGCTGACTTCAGTTACTCAGTCTCCAGGCTCTCCAAAGGAGAAGTCTCCAGAGGACTCCAGAGGTCACAGCGACATGGCGTGACCCAAGGCCCCGCTATAAATCACATTTTTAACTTAGAATCTAGGTCTGGCATGGCCCAAAGCTCCAGCTGGAAAGACACTCTTGTAGGGCAGGAGACTCCAAGGGTTCAGAGGTTAGCCCCCAGGAGCTGTTCAAGGACTAGACTTTTCTTTGGCAGATGTAGGACTCAAACACCCGAGTCCTGCTGAGTCAACCCTTGTCTGCGCACCCATAGGAGAAGATGTCCCCTTTAGTCAATTCAGGTCCCTTCTAACCTCATCCGAGTCTCCAGCTGCTCCAGCACCCCTGTGAATGCCAAGTCTTCCTGCAGAGAATTTCTGAGCAGGCTTGCTTTTTCCATGGCCATGGACAGACCCCCAGTTCCTCACTGCTGTGTCTGGAGGTCTGGCTCCACTTTCTCACATTAGTAGGCTGCCCGGCCATCAGTTTTCCACCTTTGTGATCTATGCCTGCCCTGGGTGAGAAAATTCACTTTCTGTTTACAGTCCAAGTTGAATCAATTTTGGAAGACACTTGAGGGCCCTTGGTCTGACTCCCTGTGAACAACAAAACTCTTGGAAAGGTAGACCTTGAACTTTGGAGAGAGAAGCCACTAGACACTTCCCTCTCTGATCACACACAGATTTATTTTTAATCTCCAGAATACTCCAGAGACCCTCAAAGTTATGCAACTGTCAAGCTCAGGAATGCCTATTGTCATGACTCTTGGGGTCTGCAGAAGGCCCTCTAGTCTGCAAAGCTGAGCAGGACCCAGTAAATCCACTAGGACAAAGAGACCCATATATGGATAGGAATCAAGAAAACAGCACCATTCATCAAGTATGGGTTAATCTAACTAGACCTTCTCTAATGGATAATGTTGATATTAATGAAGGATCTTTGGCAAGAAAAGATCCCAGACATCCCTCAAAGAGTAGTTTATCATCAGGGAAGGGGGACAAATGACTTGGTCCCAACATCCTGGCTAGTCACTTGTGGGGAAAGCCTCAGGGATAATGGCTGAGCATGGCTAACTTTGAAAAGGCCACGTGCGGAGGACCTCAGAGGCCCATGGAGGGGTCTGACCTTGCCGCAAAGACAAAGGTTCAGAGGTCCACACAAGACCAGTTTTCTAGGGTCACACCATCTGTCATAACAGCAGTAGCAGCAGGATGAAAACAGGACCCAGGAGCAATGTGACCAGAGCCTGGAGTTCACGGTCTGCTGGAGGTCAAAGGGAGGTTTGACCCCTCCTGAGCTTAATAAGTCCCTATTTGGGGTGTGCTTAAGGCAATGATGAGGCCTCAGGGGGTGCTGCCACACTAGAGTTCTTGGTGATTTGTGCATATGTGGCCATCAGGGATTCCCTGAGGAGATAAAAATGATGGGGCAGTTACTGCGTGCCTGCTGGTGGAAGAGACTGCATTTACACGTGTAACATCACCAAACAGTAGGCAAAAGCACAGGTGCATTCCTGTCTGTTTCATTCATGCCCAAAATGCAAGCCAAAGGAGCAGGAGCAAGGGAAGTGGGTAGGAAGGAGAGGGGAGGGAGGAAGGGGAGACAGAAATTTTGGCACTGAGCCATCTAGCCTGTTGACCTATCAGTTTAGAGATGAGAGTTCTCCTGTGCTGGTGGGTGAAGACTGGGGCGGCGTACCTTAGCTCGTCATCTGTGCTCATAAGACACTGAACAATAACTAATGACCTATAAACAAAGCTTCCATGCACAAGGGCAACTAATTATTTGCAGAAGCCTTCTGGTGGATTCTGTAAAGCCTCAGGTCCCCCAGATTTAATGGTCAGATGAGCCCCTGTGTTCCCGCAGGTGGGTGGGAGGTGAACCAATCCGAGGGCTCACAGCCAGGCAACCCTGTCAGCCACAGATGATCCCATCACGGTGAGCTCGGACAAATGCCCCCACCTCGGCACCAGCTGTCCTGACTGCCATGAGTGTAGGATTAGCAGATCAGCTGTAGGGGTTAGAGGGACACAATCCCATAAAAACACATGTGGCACCTAACAACGCTCAGATGTTTGCTCTCCTTCTTAAGATCTGGAAAAGAAACCTGAAATTCTGGAGGATCTAGGATCACAAGCCCCTCCACGCACTGGCTCGCCTTGTTCGCACAGTCCCACTGGGGTCATCCGCTTGAAATGCACATGGGAGCCAAGCCTGAGCAGCAACAGGTCAGCATCCCATGCTAAGGAGTGGGCAGGGCTAGCACCTGACCCTCGCATGTCTGATTATAAAGCCCCGTCTCACCCCACCCTACAGCTGGGGCAGGAAACCCCTGAAGGAAAGAGGCATCGAATTCCCAGGCCTGAGGTCAGTAACATATAAGAAGGACACCCAAGAGATCCTCTTGGGGAAGAATTAACTAGAGCTGACAAAGCCAGCCCTTCTCCTTGTGGGAGAGCCCATTCGACTTTCATCGGTCTTTCATCCCCCAGAGTTCCCCTGATGACCCCGAGACACAATCCCTGGGCCTCCAGGCCTTTCAGATGAGGTGGGGGGTGGGGAACAGGGGAGCCATTGTTCTCTGATTAGAGCCTGGGTCTCCTCTGAGGAGCAAGTTGGGCCTCTTAATAGGGAGCCTCACCTGCTCCAAGCCATAGCATTAGGATGTCCTCCTCCCCCTCAGAGGCCTCCCACCTGCCAATCTGCACAAAAGGCCATCCTCTCCATGTGAGAAGGGGGAGGGGGATCACATGACTAAGGGTCTTCCCTTGGGGTATAAAGGACACAGTCACCATCTTGTTCAAAGCTGAACATCATTCATCCACCTGCTTCCGAGTGGGACTTTCACGGTAGGCACCCCCTTTCTCCTGATGGGTAGGGAGTCAAAGAGGGCAGGAGGGAGGGAAGGAGGGAGGGATGAGGGAAGGAAGCTACCGATGGCAGAAGAGAGGGAGGGAGGTTGTGCTCTCAGGATGCCTGAGACCTGGATGCTAACTCGTCCAGGATGGAGCTAGAAGCCAAATGCACTCTGCCCTTATACGAATGAGGAGATGTGATGCCAGAGAAACATCACCTGCTCAATGTACCGGGGGAAAAATTCCACTACATCACATCAGTGAGGGTCCTGCAATCCTGTGTGAGCCGCTGTCTCTCTCTAGGGCACCTAGTGTGAAAATACAGTAATCATCAGTTATGGGCCAGTCTGCCTGAGCTTAGTACACAGCAGGCACGGTGCCCCCTTTAACCCTCATGATACCATGATGAAGAACCACCATCTAGGCATTTTGCTGCCCAGAAAAATGAGTTCCAGTGCCCCGGCTCAGGGCACTCAGTATGTAAAAGCCAGAGCCTTCCCCCAATCCTCACCCCCGGCCTGTCCGCTAGAAAACCTTTGCTCTTAGATGCTTCCCACACCGCATCAGGATGCATGAGTCATGCATCAGGAGACAGTTGGATGAACCAGGACCCCAGATAGTGCCTGCAGACCCAGGCAAGGTTCAGGGAGCCCTCATTCCCACAAGGACAGTCAGGTTCACTGTCAGCCCCAGAGGCCTCCTTGGGTAAAGTAATAAGAGGTGGTCCTTCCTCTAGGTGCACACAGCCCCACACCCAAGGGCACCTGGCTTGGCCAATAGATGGCTGCTGGACTTCAGCAGGGGCCCGGTGCCCTCCCACCTGGAGACCGTGGTGTGCATGTCCCGGATTCGGGTCTCCCTCACCAGTGTGCGGTGCTGATCCTGTGCTGTCACCTCTGGCTGTCACCCAGATCTCCCTCTCTTGTTTCTTAGCTAGGGACTGTCAACTGCAGCGTCACACCACATCCCGGCCGGTAGCCGGCCACTCTGAGGGGCCTCCTGAGCAACCATTACCTAAAATCATGACAGTTGTACAGTGAATGCCGCCTAGGCTGCTTGTTGGGGGTTTAACGCTCTGGTTGGCGGTTTCTGGTGGGTATCATATGTGGCTCAGAGACTTACATTGAACCAGACGGCTCAGTTTGAACGCTGCGTCTGGGGCTGCCGTGGCCTTCCTGGACCTCTCCGAGCCTCGGTCCCCCACGCGGAAAGTGAGACATGTGCCAGGAAGAGCCCTGGCGAGCCAGTCCAAGGCATAAGCTTGGTGACTCACCTGACAAAAAGAATGACTCCATAAATGTAAGGCAGTGTTTAAAGGAAGAATGTCTTGGAGTGTATAACTCACTTTGCTTTTAAGTGTGGTAAAATATACATACTACAAAATTTAGCATTTGGACGATTTTTAAGTGTGTGGCTCTGTAGCGTTACGTGTGTTCATGTGTTGTCACCTTGATCATCATCCATCTCCAGAACTGTCTCATCTTCCCAGCCGAACCTCTGTCCCCGTTCAGCAATGACCCCGTCCTCCTCCCTGCCCACCCCCCGGGGCTTGCTTTAAAAAAATACATCAGAGCTGAGTCACGATTTCGTCTGTAATAAGGTCACTTTTGCTCATTTGCCTTCTAATAAGTACACACTTGAAAATCCAATCAACATATTTGCAGTTCCCACAAGCGTCACCCTCAGCCTGTCTTCTAGGCCCGTCAGGACAACCTGGGGGGCTGCCTCCCTGAAGGGAGTGTTGCAGGAGCAAAGGAACAGCATCCACCACACAAAACTGACCACCCTCCTTCATTTCATCAGACAGGGGCTTCCACTCAAACGGGGAACGGGGGCCTTTATTGCAACGGCTGCTGTTTCTGGAGCCTTTACTGTGGGCCAAACGCAGTGGCTGTAGTTATGAGTGTTTCTGAGCCACTTCTCCCCATCACGCACTGTCTCCAGTGCCCTGGATGGAGGAGCTCGTTCCATCCCCACAGTGGCCTCGGAAGCAGTACTGTTCTCATAATGAGCTCTGGACATTTGGGAAGTGGGACACTCGAACCATAAATGGCCAGTCTCTAAGGCTCAGTGAACTCACCTGTTAAATAAGTTTGAGCACGATGGTCCCAGCGCCTTCTCGGAGGTCAGGCATCCAGGCATTCTCCCATGGTATGCTGGCGACAACAGCAAACCAGACTTAGCGAGTGCACGGGTGACACGGGTCTGACTTCAGTGGGTGTGACCTGCTGGAATGCCTTCAGCCACCGGCCCACGGAGTTGCCACGGCAGCCACCCTGCATCTGGAGATGTCCCAGAGCTCACCCTGCATTTTCAGTCTGGTTTTGTGGCCTTGGTCACAAGTCATTCAGATCCAAATCTCTGCAGAAGAATCAGAGAGCCCGTCTAACCGTTAACGTTACCTGCTTAGGAATTTATGTGGCTACCAAAAGTTAAAGCAGAGCAGCACACCCACCCGATGATAGCCAGAGTACAAGGAGATGACTGAGCCGAGCCCAAATCCTTGAGAACTCACGTTCTGCCCTTGTTCAACAAACATTTACTTTATGGCCACCAGAGGCTGGGCTAGGCCCTGGGGAAGGTTCATACGGCCATGATTCCACAACCTACAGATGGCTTCTCCTCTGGGACACCTTCCCCAATATCAATCCCTGCCCACAAGTCACAGTGGCCCACCATGACCCTGGGGACATTTGCTGGGGCACCAGAACCCGGGGCAGCCTTTGCCTCTGGCAGAACAAACTGCAGAAAGTGCTCCTTCCTCCAGGCTGATGCAGCCCTGCAGAGGGCAAGCTTGGGAGTTGAGCACCGGTTGCATTTCAACCCATATGGGCCCCCCGGTGCAACAGCTTTGCACAGTGGACAACATGTACAACCCTATCCAGCAGCCAAGTGTGCCAACCAGGGTAGCATGATCATTCTGTCTTACCACTCACGCTTCGTTCTAAAAACCTCCTCTACAGCAGAATATGCACAAGTCAGCCACCCATCTGACAGTCTTTATGGAGTTCTATTTCCCGGGGAGCTAAGATTATTCTAAGATCTCTCTGGTCTTTAATGTTTTTCCTTCCCTATTAAATACATGGTTGACCTGCTTGAGTGCATTAAGTGCCTTCCGAAGTTAAATATTTGCTGAGCTGCTCAGATCGCTGGGCAGTGACGATTGAAAGGTGGTGGGTCCTTGAACCCTGGCCCTTGCCCTGCACCCCGCCCCCGAAAGAATTACCTCTTGAACACTGGGACTGCAACCAAGTATTCGAATTGCTCTGAAACTTCAGGAAGGGAAGGAAGATGGAGCCCTGGCGGAAAAGCATTTTGCTAGCAGGCTGCGCCACCATGCGGTCGCCAAATTTATTCCTAGGTCAAGTGATGGCATGAAGGCTCCAAGTCAAACTGCTAAGGGTATATATTCTGAACGCTGCTTATGGCCCAGTGTATGGGTTTTTTTACATCTCAGTCTACAAGTCAAACTATAGCACTCGTTCAGCCTCCCTTCCCCATTAGTCTGTGAACAACTCACAGATAAGGAATATTTTTTCCCTCACTTTGCATTCCTGGATCCTTGCAATGTGCCTGATATACAATAAATGACCACCGGGAAAAGGAATAACAAAATGAGACCAGATCTGTGTCCTCATGGGGTGCCTGGTTAAGTTTCTGCCTTACAGACGGATGGACTGAATCTCAGAGAAAGAATGTGATCTCCTGAATGTCATTAGTTACCACTGGTGAGTGGCAAAGCTGGGACAGAAGCCCTTTCAGGGCTTCTTCCTGTATCTGCACCGCACGGCGGGACAAAGAGCTCCTGGTGGTTCTTATTTCCCGGATCTCTACAAACATCCTCATCATATTCCGCTGACTTCTCTCCCAGGAGGCCGACCCAGTCAATGCCTTGGCTCCCAGCCTTTGCCCCCCCCGCTATGTTTGTGCTTCTCCTCCTAAGTACGCTGACAGCCCTGCATGGTGGTGAGTAATGGCATTTTATATGGAATTTCCGGCTTGGCCTATAATTAATATGAACAGTGGGGAGGATTGTCAAATGCCATCTGATTTGCTTATTACTACTTTTATCCCCTTGCCTAGGAGTGATGGAAATCAAACAGTAATGGTAAGCTACGGGTTTAGCTCAGCTGATGCTTTGAGCACCCTATCCAGGGCATGAAGTGTGGGGTGGACGATGAGGTGGAGATCCAACAAGAGCTAAAGGCACTAAAGGCACTGCTGGGTGGCCAGTTGGCAGCCATCCCTCTCCCTGATAGTGCATCCCCTCTTCTCTTTGCCCATGGACCACTGTTCTGCATTCGCTGGTTTCCTCGGAGTGAGGGCGTCAGCCTTCTTGACATGCAGCAGCTTCCTTTCCCCTATGTCGGTGTGTCTGTTGGAGAGACAAACACTTCTACCCCACATTGTAGGGTCCCCGCCTCACCAAAGCCTGAGGACACCTGAGCAAGCTCGTTGGCAGCCAGGGTAGTCATTTCAAGTTTGCATGGAGTTGTGTCTACAAATCTGAGACTTCTGGCTCCTTATTTTCTTTTTTGTGGGCACATTGGTGCAAGTCTCAAACACCCCAACTCACTTCTTTTCTTCCTACAGCTGCTCAGGCTCCATTGTGACTGATATCACTCCTTTATCCAGACATTTTCTCTTTCCCTCCTCCTGTTCAGGTCAGCTCGGGACCAACACGCTGAGCCTCCCTCTCTGCGGTTCCCTTCTAAGCTCAATAGTGAGAGAGAGCCACAGTGAATCCACCAATATTGCTGACAATTTATTGGGACCATGATCCAAGTTAGTGGATTTGCAGAGGTTTCCATGTTCCCCAGAATCTTGTGAGCAGAAATGACAGCACTTCCCAGAAGATGGCAAGTCTTTCCTTCAGGTCCCAGTCCTTCCAAACACCATCCCAGACCTTCCCTGCTGGACAGGTGGACAGCCACTTCCAGAAGGTGCTGGCTTTCTGTTGATTATTGAGTTTCTTCAAGGATGACTTTTTTCCCTTATTAAAACCATTTTGTCATGATGTGGGTTCTCAGGGATGGTGCCACCAGCACTGATGTGCCGGGGCCTAATCAAATTCCTACTATGGTCTTGACTCTCACCCCCCAAATAGATCATCACCCCCCAAAGCCCATTCTTCTAATTTTTCAAACGTACTCTCTTTTTTAACTGACCCTTTCCTTTTCCAAAACAATAAATTTCCTTTTGATCAAAATTACCCCTTCAACACCCACCAGACACCTTTTACACATATCTGTAAGTGCTTTATTTCTCTATAAGATTGAGGCAATGGTCTCCTGTTATTATAAATGGTCACAAGCATTTATGCATCTGTCCTGGTAGGTTTTATTCTCAGACACAAGCAGCGAGAGTCCAAAAATTATAGCCAAGAAAGTTTAGGTGCAAACATATGCATGTCCATGTGGATTTAAATGTGCCATACCTGCAGCTCCAACTTTGCAGGTCTGAGTGTGTGACCCCCACAGAGAAAACACTGCCCACCCAACAAATGCACCACGTCGTGATCCAGGCACTGCAGGCGGAAAGGGCTTTTTCTGAGGCAATGAGATTAGGAAGGGGGAGAGATCTGTTGCTGTGCCAGCAAAGGCGGGGCATCCGTGCTCTCTGTTGGGTCTGAGGAGCCCTTGACAAGGACACCAGGGAGGAATCCATCAGAAGAGTCCCTTGTACCCCAGGAAGAGGTCCACTGAGGATTACCTGCTGAGACACTGGCTGAGAGCCAGTGCAAACCCTGCCTGGGGCTTCAGAGCCCCCCACCTACAGAACTGGGGCTCTGCTGGACACCTTCTTGCAGCTGTGCCCCAGGGCTATCTGACTCCTATTTCAAGGCAAGGTTTTGGGTGTGTTGACAATGTGAAGTGTCTCTGTGCCCTACCAAGCCTCTCCTTGGGGTGTTTCTTGGTCCCTGTGGCAGGAATGGGAGTGACCTCTATGTTTGCCTCCTCACACACACCCAGGCTGCCCTCCCTCCTGTCTTCACTGAGACCTGGCTCATGACTTCAAAAGGCAGGCATTGCCCAGTGGGATGGTGGTCGGGCCTGTGTTAGGAGAGGGAAATCCCCTTCTACCTGCTCTGCACCAGCCCACACCGCACAGCAAAATTTGTTCTCACTCTCCATGGTTCTCTGCATGTTGATCTTCCAGAATCTCTGGGAATAGGGGCTGGGTAAAGGTAGGTTTTGTGTATCTCTGGTTGATCTTCTGGGTAGAACACTTCACACTATGAAATATCACTCATAACCACCAATAGACCTTATCTTTCCACAACCTCAAGAGGACATCTCCTAATTTCGCTTAAACTTTACAAGGCTGGGACTCTGATTCTAGTGGGCCATCACTCATTGGCTGATAAATTGACCATTTGATTGCATGGTTCAATCACTGTGTGCTCATTAAAGCTCTCAATAAAGAGCTATCTACTGAAGTGTGCTTTAATGTGTCAGTGGGCTGAGCCTCAATACGTTCCTAATGTAGTGGGGGAAACGGTCACATGAATAGATCATTCCAACATGGGGTCATAAGTGCACTGAGAGAAGGATGCCTGTGCGTTACGGAAGCCATGGAAGGTCTCCTTACCCCAGCCTGTGTTGCGGTTCCAGTAGAGCTTTTTGAACTTTGCATGGAATCCAAAAACATAAGTCAGTAACGCAAAAGGGAGCAGGTCCCCCAGGCTCAGGACATGGCACAAGCCAAGCCAGGTTGGCAAGAAGTAATTTAGTGTCTGAAAAATGATAATCATCTTAGAAGCGTGAGGTTCAAAGAGGGAAATGGTTTGGCAGAGCTAGGCAGGGCAAGTGGAGGGTAGCCTTAGGTGCTGGGGCAGAAGAAGCTAGATCTTCCTCCAAGGGTCTTGGCTTTACTGCAACAGCAGAATGTGCCCCACAGCACTGGGCACAGCACTGGGTTTGAGGGGCTGTCTGCAAAACTAAGCCTGGAACAGGACGAATGCTAGCTCCCTGCCCTAGCGCAGCACTCCTACAAAGCCAGAACTCTCCCATCCCCACAGAATTCTCACCCACCCCCACTGCCACCCCTCTGGAGCCAACTCGGTCCTCTGGGATCAGCCATTTCAAATCCAGGGCACTACTTTCATTGCTAATGAAATGTGTGGGTATCAACACCCTGAAAGTACTATGGGTGGGGGTAGGGGACACACATCCTTGTTAGCTGCTTCCCAGTGAGCAGACCATCTCTACCTACCAGGATGCCAAGGAGATACCAGAGAAGTAATCACCAAGGACCAGGAGATATTTCACAGTTGCTGCTTAAGTGGGCAGTGGATATTCTTAGCTGTTGGCTGATATGCTAATTAAATCATTCCTGAGGCCAAGTATGGAACGCACCAGTGAAATTACGGGGACTCTGTGATGGGGCTTACCTGGAGCTGAAGGAAGTCCTGGGTCTCCCCACCTTCTGAGCATCAGCAGGGCACTTCCCTGTGCAGCCCAGGGCTCTTGGGCTGGAGGGAATGCCCCAGTGGGACCATCCCTCCGTGTTTAATGGTGAGAAATCTGGACCACCAGAGAGGCTGCTCCCGGCCACAGCCACCGAGCACATCCAGCTGGGAGGGAGGCCGGTGCTGGGTGGACTTTGTCATGAGGAAGGGCTGGGGTGTGGTGCCCAGGAGGGCGCTGCCTCCCCCTCCAACCCGGCCCAGGAGGGCCTGACAGCAGAGGTCCTGGGAGCTGCCTGGACCCAGGGCGAGCCCACAGGGTTTGTAGGTTGGAAGAGTGCTCTCCTGCAGACAAGCACCTGCTGAAGTCGTCTGTGTCCCCGAGATAAGTCCATGGTGATGAGGAGGAGGTGGGTGAGGAAGTGAGGTCCGAACAGTGCAAACCACTTGTTAGTGTGGAGGGGAAGGAGGGAGTGAGTGGAAGTGGTATAATAGTCATAACAATGATGAATGGACTAGGGTAACATTCGCGCGTTCACGGCACACCTGTCAAGGCTACGTAATCCACTCTTAGATGCTTCTTTGATCCATGACAGATTTTTTTTTTAAAGATTTTATTTATTTATTTGAGAGAATGATTGAGAGAGAGAGAGCGAGAGAGAGAGAGAGAGCATGCACATATGAGCAGGGCGAGGGGCAGAGGGAGAGGGAGAAGCCGACTCCCTAGTGAGCAGGGAGCTCTACAAAGGTCTGGATCCCAGGACCCTGGGACCAAGACCTGAGCAGAAGGCAGCCGCTCAACCCACCGGGCCATGCAGGCGCCCCCATGTGGTCAGATGTTGCAGGCTCAGGTTCATCTACCATCGCACCATCGTGGAAAAATGCAGGGTAGGGGCTGTGTCTCAGCATTCGTAGACCCCTACCAGCCATTGATCATTTTGCACGCTGATAGTGTGAGAAATGTGAAAGTGTGAGAAAGCCCTGTCCTCGATGATAAGCTCCCTGGGGGCGGGCGGCCTCTCCTTGCCCGCACCATTCTTTCAAGACATTCCAATCAAACATGCGATCTAAATTAAATTGGTGTGCTTCCTATGCAACAACAGCTTCAAGAGGAGTCCCCAAACTTCTCCATCCTCCACCAGAAGGCTACTCTTAAGGCCAACCCATTTGAAATACTGAGGCCACCTTATTTTCATCAGAGACCCAGCACACAGCAGGTCCTAGAAAAATATACATAGAATTGAATTTACCTGCATCCCCTCGCCTCCTGACTGCCCCAAGTAGCAGTGCTCCTGCTAACCCTTCTCTCCTCCTTGATCATAGGGGGCCACCCTTTGGACACCCCACACCTTCCAGGGGAGCTGCCTGCGGGACTCTCAAAAAATATCAGTAAGGATTCTTTGAACGTTTCTTAGGTGACATCATGGGGTAGAAACTTGTCTAGGATACTGGCAGAGAGAATGACCCCTTCTAAATACAGCACTCACTGCTGGGGCTCTTGTAGGCAAAGGCATTCAAATAAAACTCCAAAGCCTCCCCCTCCACCGTCCCCCCTGTGTCTACCCATCCCTGCTCTGTCCTCTGAGACAAAGTATTACAACTTCCATCAAAACACGAAGGTCAGCTGAAAGGGGAACAGGGGATGGAAGTAAATGGGTTGGTTGTGAAGGTTAGATGGTCACAGTATTTCAGCTTCAAATTGAGCTGTGAGCCTCCTAGAAGGCAAGACGAAAAGAGAAAGACAATATACTCCTGGGCTCTACTGATAAGAAAGGAGGAGCCATAATTGTTCCTTTCGGAAGGGGAGGTTTTCCTGGTGATAGACTGTAGAGATTTCTCAGGTGGGTTCCTAGCTGGGTACTGCTAAAGACCATGATGGATAGTGAACCCGCGGGTCGTGTTAGCCCTGAATTTAGGGTTCACTTCCTACCTTGCAGAGAGGCAGGCTGAGTCAACCAAGTCTTTGTGCATGAACTCAATGCAAGCAAAGTGATCAGTCTCACCCAGACTCAAATGACCCTCTGACCTCTCTCAAAATGCCATTGACCCCGTGGGAAGTGTAACGCCCAGGCCAAAGAGAACTTCTAGTAGATGTTAAAACTCACAGGTCACACTTGGCACTTGGAAGAATCAAGGCCAGGAAGCCCCTGGTGCCATCAGGCCATGCCCGTCATTCCTTTTCAACAAGAGTGGCCGTGGGGGTGATCCACACATCTCCCTGCCCCCAGATAGCAGCTCTGGGATATGGGAATGGGGCTCCCATGGGGCAGTCACAGGACCCACCCTGGCCTAGAAGCTTGTCTCTATTGGAACTAGTATATCTAGTAACAGTTTCATAGGCATGATTTCTGGGATGCCCAGAAAAGACACGCTTCATTTGCAAGAGTTATCACACTAAGGGAGCCCCCAGACAATGACTTCCTGCCAGGTGTTTATAGTTCGCCCATGGTCCCTGCCAAGGCCAGACACACCTTACCATCCGGGGTCCTTTGTAGCACTGAGCAATGTTGCCTGGTAACACAGTTCCGGGCTCATCTTCTCAGGTCTCCATGGTAACCTGTGTTACCAGAAAGTTAGTCCAAGGTCAAATCTATCCTTAGAGAAAGGATACTCTTCACAGGGGTGGGGCAGAGCAAGGAATCAGGGCGGCGGGGGGGAGGGGAGAAACCACAGCTCTCTGATTTGTTTTCTCTACCTTCCACTTAGATATCACATCCTTCCCTGGGGTATTTAAAAATGTGGAAAGTGTGGCTGCCATTTTTGGTAAGTTAAATACTAAAGTGCTTCTATCCACCAGGTGTCAGGGCATGGGGTGAGCGTGGGAAATCTAAGCAAACTACTAGGGCCTTGGGCTCCCCTGCTCCCACCACCCCAGCAAACTCTGAGCTGTGGGATCCAGGTCTGACGAGAGGAGTGGTGTCTTTTATTGCAGGGTGAGTCACCCAGCTGCCAAGCACCTTCATAGTCCTGACTTCCTTGGTCCCGACCACACCACAACCTGACTGGGAAGGGAAAGGTACCCCTGTTACACAGCAGAGGTCACAAGGGGGTAGCTCCCCGCTGTGCCCAGACCTTCCAGACCCTCTTAGTCCCTTCCACCAAAGTTGTTGGATTTTTTCTGCCCAACTACTACATATACATGATAAAATATACATACATAAAGCCTAAGGATGCCAGAGTGTCAAGTATTCCATTTCTCAATTATGTATCGATCATGTGACCAGCGATTGCCAGGCACCATGATGGGTCCCATCATTGCTTTCCAGAAGTGGCCCCCAAGTAAGACTGTCACAGGATTGACAGGAGCAAGGAGTGCCGAGCTGTTGTTGGATTAGACAGTGCTGGCCAGAGGTCACTAAGTGCAGGTGCCCCATACGTTTTTGAATGAAAATGCATATTTATATAAACACACACATACACGCACACACACACACACACACACACACCCCTTAGAGTGACTTTTTCCTTCAGTACAGAATAATTTCTTCATTTTTCGGATTAAGCTATGTGGAAATAAAACACAGGAAAGGAAGTTTGAATGGAGGAGGAAAAACTAGAACAGTCTGACTGAAACTAGTCTTTGCAAACCAGTCCTTGACCTCTCCAGGTTCCCCCACATGTGACCCCGTGCATTAGAATCAAAGCTGTGGGGTCACCCCGTTAGCATTTAACAGTCCTCTAACAGTCCTCCGGTCAGAAAGGCCTAGAAGGGGGAGGGTGAGCATGCAGCTTAAAGTAAAAAACAAAAACAAAAAGCAAACAGGAAATCATTCTCTTGCCAGTTTTGTTTGCAAGAGCCTTCTTGTTTAGGGCAAATCATTACCACTGGTTGATACTTCAGGCAGATCACTGACCTTCAGTTTCCTTATCTGTGAAATAGAAGTGACCAAAGAGCACCTGCCTTGCAGGATAACATAAAGTTTATGGGGTGGTGGACCAAGTGAATGTTTTCTAAAACATGACTCATTAACAATCTTAACCATTGTGCTATTTTAAGCACATAGCTCAGTTTCTGCCACACAGTAGGGGGTCCAAATTACTAATGTCTGTATCCCTTCTCTGCCTGCAGGGGGTTATAGTTCCCCAGGGCTGGGACTGTATCGTTTGGGATCCATTCCGCAGACCCATAGGGACTTAAATAACAAATATTTAATTATCTCACAGAAGCTGAAAGCACCAGGATTGGTGCAGTAATTCAATGCCGGTATCAGGGACCCAGGGGGCTCATTCTTTCCTCACTGCTATAGCTAAGCCTGCTGGCTTTTCAACATTAGACGCGGGGCCTCATGGTGGCAAAGTGGTTGCTGCAGTCCCAGCCCATATTTAAGGAAGGGGAAAGGGGTAGCTCAGAAGGATCTCTTTACATGCCATTATTCTTTATTATGAAAGAAATAATTCCCAAAAGCCTCTAACGGACTTCCCCTTAAGTTGACACAGATCTGGGTCACATGCTCAGTTACAGGCCACTCACTGTCATGGAAGCTGGGATTAGCATGACCAGCTGAGAATGAGCATGTGTCAAACATCCACAGGGACTTAGGGAGGAGGCTCACCTCCCCTGAATCCCTTTCAGTTTTGTGGAGAAGGGAGGATGATTAAATGACTGTTTGTTAGGGGGACAGCCAACAGGGACCACGGTTTATAAACCCGCCTCCCTTCAATTGTCCAGAATGGCTGTGCGTACAGAGTAGGGGTTTAGTAGGTTGCTGAGGGGTGGGAAGTCCCAGACACAGGGGCTCCTTCCTCGACGCTGGTTCCCAGTCCCCAACTGCTGTCCCCTCCCTGCTGCCCTCTCCCCACAGACTGCCTGGGCTCCCACTCCACCTGGCTGCAGGCTGTCTTCACCAGCTTCCCTGTGCTGCTCCGGTTTGTGAGTGGCCTGAAGTGTGTGGCTGGTCTCTGCCCCCGGGACTTCGAGGACTATGGCTGTGCCTGCAGGTTTGAGATGGAGGGGCTGCCGGTGGACGAGTCTGACAGGTGAGCCACACCCACAGGTAAGCTGTCAGAGGCCTGGCTGGGACCTGGGCAGAGCATAGGTGTGGAAAGCTTCCAGGACATGTCTTGATTCTCCTTACCTGCGGGGTGACTGGTGGTCTCAGCTTCAAAGTGCAATGTACTTTGTGATCTTCTCGTATCCTGGATGTGTCCGATATGCAGAATTTCTGTGTAGGATTTCTCCAGGTTGGGCTCTCCAGGGTCAGAACTTCCTGGATGCTTGCTAAAAATGCAGATTCTAGGGATGCCCAAGTGGCTTAGTCAGTTAAGCATCTGCCTTTGACTCAGGTCATGATCCCAGGGTCCTGGGATTTAATCCTGCATGGGGGTTGGGGGGGGGTCCTTGCTCAGCAGGGAGCCTGCTCCTCCCTCTGCCTGTGGTTCCCCTGCTGCACTCTCTCTTTGTCTCACTCTCCCTTTCTCTCTGGCAAATAAATAAACAAAATCTTTAAAATGCAGATTCTAGGGACACATCCCAGACCCACTGACTCAGACTACATCTAGCTAGACCCTGGAAGTCTGAATTTCAGACAAGCTCCCTGGTGACTCTTAAACATGACAGAATTGTTCTTTATTCAGACAGTCTTGGTCACCAGAGATAAAGCAACCATGCAGGTTTCTGTTTAATTTTCCACAAACATGCACATAACATTTGAACATTGTGCTTAATATAAGCAGAATACTATCCCCACTATCCCCACTATCCCCACTTTAAAAAGGTAAACACCTAGCAAGGAATACAGAGAAGATAGAAGGGGTCAGTAAAGATGTGTGCCCTCAATATTCACAGGGAGGGGAAATTAACACAAGAGATCCAATTTCACACATCAAATTAGCAATAAAATTTAAAATCTGAGAAGCATCGAGTGTCAGCAAGGATCTGGCAAATAGATGCTGGCAGTGGGAAGGTAAGTTGGAAAAATTGGAAAGAATCTGTGTGTTACAGTGTGTTACCTATGACCCTGTAACTCCGGCTCTCTGCTCCTTACAGATGGGGTGACCCCTGAGCGAGTTACATCATTTCTTTGTGTTCCAGTTTCTTCCTCTGTAAAATGGAGGAATAAAACCATCTTCATAGAATTATTACTTAGGATTAAATGACCAAGTATACAGTACAGTGACTGGGACTCTGCCTGGCTAACTGAGTTCACTTACTCAGAGTATTAGCGATTGGTAGCAACAATAACAGGAATAGTAGGGCTATAGTAGGTCGTGGTGACACTGGTAGTAACAGTCATAGTAGTAGTCATAGTAGGACTGTAGTAGTAGTAGTAGTAGTAGTAGTAGCAATAGCAGCAGTAACAGGTATAGTAGTATTAATATTAACTATAGTGGTAATTGCAGTAATAGTAACACCAGCAGCAGTATTTGCAGCAATAGTAGAAATATTATTAATGCTGTAGAAGTAATAGTAGCAATAACAGCAGTAACAGTTATCATAGTAGCTGTAGTAGTATTAATGGTAATAGTAGTAGTGATGGTAGTAACAGCAGCAGCAGCAGTATTAGTGGCAGTTGTAGCAGTACTAGCAGAGCTGTAGTAGTGATAGTAATGGTAGTAATAACAGTAATTTCAGCCATAGTGGCGGCAGCAGCAGCAGTAGTAGGAAAGCAGGAATTTGAACCCATATCTCCCTGTACTCGGACCCATGGCCCTGCCTCACTGTTGTGATACCTATGCCCAAAGCCAGTGTGATGGAAGGTGTGCTCTCATAGAACTGGAAAGGATAGCCCATTGTCCTTTGCAATAGATTGGACAGTGCTTTATCTGCCCTGGAACTTCGCCATTAGGATGCCCTCTTTGAACGCCTTGCACCCAAGGCACCGGGGCAACCTCCATGCTCCCCCAACACCTGTGCTTCCCTGTCCTGTACCTGCCACATAGGACAGTGCATGCACACAGTCTGTCTCCTGTTCCACCTAATGTCCTCTAAAGGGGGTTCTGCACCATGTTATTTCTTTGGACCCGCATCATGAACCATAGCATGGGGCATAGTAGGAACTCAGCAAATTGACTGACTGACTAGACAGTCAACCTCCAATTGCTTTTCAAGTTAATTAATTAATTGAATAAAAAGGGATATATCCTTGATTGCTCAGGGATAATGGGTTTGGAATCAGGCAATAGATCTCACCCATGTCCACATCTCCAAGAAAGGGTATAAGTTGCCTGTGGATCAAAACAGCATTTTTCCACAAGCAAACTGCCTCTTGACCCCAGCTCGTTGACATTCAGAAAGAGAGAGGGTGATCTGAATGGAGCAGAGTGCCAGGACCATTTCTGGGAATATATTTCCTTTCAGGTCCTCCCTTACCACTTTCTCTAATTATTAGAATACCTCTTCAATCTGGAAGTCAAAGAAATGAAGCAGTAATTCACTGTCTGAATGGTGAAAGTATTGATGGCCCCAAACTGGCAGAGTGATGAGCCACATCCAATTTCTGTGACTTTTCACAGTTCAGTTGATGGGGTGCAGATTTCCAACAACCTGGAAGACTGGCCATTTCCACCTTGAACCAGATTCAAACAATAGTTCCTATCATTTACTGAGTGCCTGCCTCAGGGCAGGAGCTATATAGATGTTTTCCTGAATCTCCCAAAATTTGGTATTTTAAGAAATTGAGTAGCTTGGCCAAGGCCATCACCAGCCTGTATATTGGTTCTTCTTTACATTGGTCTCCACTGACCTCCTGTGTGCCCTGCAAGAGCCTCCTGACTCCCATTTTAGTGTCAGCCTCACTCTGTGATGGACTTTGACCTTGGCAAGTTGCTGAGCCCTATGAGTCTCTGTCTCCATGGATGTAAATTCCCGTAATGATAATAACATCTGCTGTGCAGGTACTGTAAGTCGAATAGTGTGTGTGTGTGTGTGTGTGTGTGTGTGTGTGTGTGTGTGTGTACATGCGTGTGTGTGTGCATGCGTGTGTGTGTGTGTGCATGCGTGTGTGTGCGCGTGTGTGTGTGTGTGTGCGTGCATGAGAGTGCTATTTGAAACAGGTCACTGCCAGGAATCACCCAGAGACACAACGATCACAGACTCCCCTCTCTTAACCCTCCCCCCGCTCTCACTTTGACCTCCCCTACCTGCCCCAGCTGCTGCTTCCAGCACCGCAGGTGCTATGAAGAGGCCGCTGAGATGGACTGTCTCCAAGACCCTGCCAAGCTCAGCACAGATGTCAACTGCGTCAGCAAGACGATCACATGTGGTGAGCATCTCCAGGTGTACCTGGGGACTGGGCTGAGAAATGACAGCTCAGGAATCCCAGGCTTGGGCCAGACCCAGGACTCCCAGGGTCCCCCATCATCATCACAGCCATTAAGGACACCATCACCTAAACTCTGAGCCCCATGAGGGCTGGATCTGTGACATCTGTACCTTGCATGGAGTAGATGCACAATAAATGCTTTTTGAAATGAAAGAATAGTTGGTAGGCAGGTTATGTGATTTACAGTTTTATACTGCAGCAATCCTGGGAGCCTGGGGAGGCAGATGGTTTTCTACTGATACATTGTGTGATATGGGAGCACTTACTCAACAAGTGGGAACCTCTACCTGGGGAGGAGAAAACCTGCTTCAGAGATTTGTCATAAAAATTATACAATGCTTCAATGTAAAACTGCATTACACTTGTTAAATGGAAACAATGCTAAATGTAAAACAGTTAACACCGGGACTGGCCTATGTGAAGAAGTCAGTGTTGGGAGTGGAAGAGAGGCAGGGATGGATGAATTAGGTTTGTGGTTGCTGCTGTTTGTAAGAATCAGACATGTATTAAAAAAAATAAAGAAAGAATCAGACATGTATAGATGCAAATCTCAGCTCTCACCACCTTACTCACCATGAGATTCGAGGGATTTTATTTTGTGTCTCTGGGCAATCCTAGCAGAAGAATTTGAAGAGACAAAGGCACAGAGGAAAGAGGTACGTGGCACCTTGGGGATGCTCTATGAGAGCCACCTTTATGAACACCTACTATGTGCCATAGTGTTTATACCCAGCACATGAGATCATCCCAACAATCTTATGAGATGGGGTCACTAGTCCCAGTTTTCAGATAAGGACAGGAAAACTCAAAGAAATTAAATAACTTGCCTAAAGGCACATAAGCTGCTAAGTGGTAAAGTTGGGGTTTGAGCCCAGGTTCAACTGACCCCAAAGTCCAGGTAGCAAGGACTGGCTGAAGTATGGCACATTGGGAAAGAGGTGAGGAGAGGCATGGGCATAGATCACTATCTGGTGAACATATAGTGAAAGTTCCACCTACCCATCTCTCCAGCCAGCCAGCCAGCCACCAGCAGATACATACTGTGCAAGACAATTGTCTAGATATTGGGGAAATCCTGGCCTTCTGAAACCTCCTCCCGGCTGCCAGACACTGGAAATAGCAAAGGGCTAGAGTATGTTAGACAGTGACAAGAGCCGTGGAGGGAAATAAGCCAGGGGAAAGGTAGAGAGAGGGGGGGTGGGGAAGCCTCCCTGAGCACATGCTGAGGGAGAAAAGACTGAGGCATGAGGCGGAAGCAAGCCTATGGCTAGTAGGGAGGTACGTACACCCTTCGGTTCAAGGCGCCCAGAATGCTTGGGAAACAGGACAGTCAGTCAGAAAGGGGGTGATGAGGTGGGAAAGAGAACAGGGACAGCAGCTTTACATTGATTAGAAAGTCATTGGAGGGTTTTGAAACCCCCAAAAGACATGGTTTGCCCTGAGTCTTGGAAGGCTCGTTCTGGCTCCTCAAAGAGAGTGGACAGCAGCAGGGGGGAGGCCACTGACATAACCTGGGCATGAGCTGTAGTGGTGTGGAGGTGGAAAGTAGAGCCAAAAGGATGGCCTGAAGCGTCGGGTGTGAGTGTGACGTAAGGAGTGGGCACCACTCCCAGACTGGGTCTATGCAGTCAAAGCTCACGGAGCCAAGCTGGATAACAGGACGATGTCTGCAGAAGGAGTGCAACCTCAGCAGGCAGATCAGGGTCAGTTTAGTAGCTTGCATTACCTCTTGGGATTCCAAATGAGATTTTCCAATCTGCTCTGCTCTGCCCTTGCCCTATGCACAGAGTCTGCGGATCCTTGTGAGCACCTGCTGTGTGCCTGCAACAAGGCTGCCATAGAATGCTTGGCTCAGTCCCAGATCAACTCTTCCCTGAACCATCTGGACACTTCCTTCTGTGTGGCTCAGCCTCCAGGTGGGAAGAACCGGGCCCTGCCTCAGTGGTGGGGCTGACGATCTGGGGCAGGGGCTGCTATGGGGGGCGTAGTTTCTGTGCACCTTCAGTCCGGCACCTTCTGACACCCCCAGACCCGCTGCTCTAAACAGGCTTTCCAATGTGTCTCTTTGCAGAGACAACCAGCACAGAAGAGCTGACGACACCTCGGCCCAGAGGTAAGGTCTTCTAGGGAAGCTGCTTTTACTTGCACCACAGCGGGGCCGCTCTACAGAGGAGGCCGGTGGATACACCCCTCTCTGCAGGGCTTGTTGGCATGACCCACAGCACTGGCAATGTCTCTGCCTTTCCCTGGCCAAGGGGAGGCCATTAAGTCTGATAATCCCAGTTCACCCATCCAACAGCAAATGGCCCTCATGCAAACATTGTTCTTTGTTACATGAAGAGGTGTGCATTTAATCCAATGAAGAGATAGACCCCCATTCTTCCTCTCTTGCTCTATGGTCAGAACCCTGGTGTACGGTGTGACCAGGACCAGGTCTAGTGCTCTGACAGAGAAAGTCCTCTCTCAGCCGATTGAGCTACTGGCCACCAAGGCAACCTGGGAGCAGACCAGCTGTCTCCCTCCTCTGCCTTCCAGGACCTGTGACAGAGAGAGCAGCCTGGACCCCATGGGGGGTTCCTTGAAGGAGAAGCTGTTTTCTGTGTGCCTCCTTTCCAGACAGGGTGGGCTTTTAATAGCTGTCTACTGAAATAAGTGATCATTCCTACTCTAAGACAGGCATCTTATGGAAAATGTGAAAGTTCTTCTTCTGCCTGTCATTCCTGGTACACCAGTGTTAAAACTCTCTCTCAATCCCAATGGAAAGTTCTAGGTGCATGTTGGCAGAGCACTCCTCCTTCCCTGGGGCTGGGGTCTCCTACCCAGTGCTGCAGCATGTGTTGAAGAAGCTGATATGAAGAAAAAGAAGCCGATAAGTGTGTGTGATGGGGGGGGAGGGCCCAGGTGTGTGCTAGTGCAGGTGTGCGTATATGCGTGAGTAGGAGTGTGTGTACGTGTCCTACCTCTATGTGTCTTCTGAGTCCGGCACTCTTTATTCTGTGCTGTCTGCCTCCCTTTGGAACAGAGGTCTTCCCAAGTAGGGATGTCCTATTCCACAGCCACAAACCCTCAGGGTCTGCAGGCCTTTCACTGCCACAGCCTAGGTCTGCTAGTGTCACCTCCCTGGCCAGAACCCAGCTGGAGTCTCTCCTGAGCTGGGGCCCTGCTGGACACCCCACAACCCAGCAGATGCATGAGGGGCAGGGAATCCCAAGACAGAACCAGCAGCCCTAGTCTGGCCGCACCTCTCATGGCCCCTTTCCTCCCTTGGTCCAGCAGTCCCAGCCTGTCCTTTGGGACTCATGGTGCTTGGTTGAGACACTGTGTTCCATCAGTCACTGATTTGGGAGCTTGCTTTCTCAGTGGTTCCTGTGGAGCTCACAGACCCCAGTGCAAAGGCCCTTTCAGGAGAAGGTGAGCACAAGGGGACCAGTGTGTAACCCAAATACCCGCATTTTGATTGTACTATCAGCCCACTGGCTGGAATTAGCTTCCCTAAAATGCCCCCTGCCCGGCATCTTATTGAAACTGCCCCGAGATCATTCCAGAGCCACCCTTAGTTCCTTCTGACCCCCAAATCTCTTCTCTACATGCTCTGCTTCCTCCCATACCCCTACTCCTACCTCAGGAGAATTGCCAGAGGCAAGACATTTATCCTCAACCATCTGAAGGTGATTTTCAGATGTACAACAAATACTTTTAGCATAAGTATGGCCCAAAAGTTGCATGGGATATACTTATACTAAAAGGCAATTGATTGTTCATGTGAAATCTAAATTTAACCAGTCATCCTGTATTTTTATTTGCCAAGACTGGCAACCCTATGCCTCCAGGAGATCCCTCTGCACAACCACCTCCCCAGAAGTGTGTGTATTTCTCTCCTCTGCTGCTGCTTTGAGAACAGAAGCAGGGCTCATGGTGCAGCTTCTCCCTGGCTATCCTCCATGTCCAAGGGCATCGCATCCCTAACTACTCCCGGACAGCCTGTGCCTTGGATTCCATGAAAAAAAAAAAAGAAAGAAAGAAAAAGAAATGGCACCTACGCAAGCCAAAGCTTCACCATATGCCCTGCCCGCACAGCAGCCATTCCCAGCAGGATTCACAGTGGCCACTTCCGTCCTAAACTGAGGACAAATCTGTCCCCCAACACACACGCACTCACACCCATGTCCTAGCAGTGCCCACAACGCCCTCCAGAAAAGGAGGCTGCCTCAAAGCAGGCACGAACATCAATTATGAAGGAAAAATAGGGTTCATGATTGTTCTCACCATGGTGGAATGAAACAGTTACGTTTTGGACTCAGGCAGCTTTGGGATGAAATCCTGCCTCTCCCATTTTTCAGCTGTAGGACTCTGGAAGCATGGATCAACCTCTCAAAGCTTCAGTTTCTTCATTTTGGACAGCAGGGATTAGCAATTATTTTTTTCTGTAATGGGCCAGAAAGTAAGTATATTGGGTTTTGTGGACACTCTGTCACAATGACCCCGTTGCCATCACAGCAGGACAGCCACGACAATCTGTAACTGTGTGGGTGTGCCTGTGTTCAAAGGAAGCTTCATTTACAAAAACAGCCCGAGGGCTGGGCCATGGGGACCAACCCCTGGAAAGGGATGGGTCCTTCAGGGCAGCAGGGGCTTAAATGAGGGAAAACAGGGAAGACTCTGGAGCAGCATCTTCTTCAGAAATTCTGGCGTGACAGTAAAACACAGCAATGCAGTCTTGAGTCACATCCAGGACACTGGACAACTTAGAATATGTGCTCTCATTTCTTGCTCCCACAACCCTTGTGAAATCATTGCCATAACCTCCACACTGAGACGGTAAATGGAGCTGGAGAAAGAAAGCATCCAAGACTGGGAGCTGGGTGGCAGGGCTAAGGTTCGAGGGCTCCGCCGTGTCTGTCTTTACCGCTAAGCTGACCTCCCTCTTCAGCTGTGCTCCCTTGTGGACCAGCTCTAGCAAAGGAACAGGATGGACCTTTCCCCCAGAGAGAGGTCTCATCACCCAAACATCGGCCTTATGCTAATCTGGCCCCTTGTCACTGAATCAGGACCGAAGTGTCAATCACTGCTCCTCGTCAGACTGCCATGGGCTAACTTTCCTGGGGCCCCAGTCCCAAAGCTGTCTTGTTTGCAGGGGACCCCTGCCTGGCTTATGAGCTGAGCTGGGTGGATAACTGCAGTGGAGTGGTTTCCTTCCACAGTGGCTACTGGGACCAGTGCCGCCCACTGACCTGTTCCTCCAGAACAAGTAAGCACGACAGACTGCACAGGAGCACAGCATGGAATCCAGTGGAGACTTCTCAATACACATGTTTGGCTCTGATGATCACTCTTTGACGGGGCTCAGAAGAAATACCAGGAGACCTACTTTTCAGATGATGGAGGACACTGAGGCTCTGGGAGGTTAAAATTTACAGGTGGTCCAGCATGACACCTGCTGGACTGGTCTCAAACCTCACCTCAGGCTGCAAGACTGGTTTTGTCTCCATGATACGGTAGTAACTCACAGGGAACAACCTCGTACCTGAAAACATCTAGGCCAGGATGTCATCAGAAGTGACCTAACCATTTACTTTTCTTGTGGTGATGAATAACAATGGATTCTTTATTAATAAGCATAAATCACGCATAATAACTTTTTACCAATTACTAAGAATGAAGAAATAAACAAGTGAACTCCTCGATTAAGAGGCAGGGACAGGGCGCCTGGGTGGCTCAGTGGGTTAAAGCCTCTGCCTTTGGCCCAGGTCGTGATCCCAGGGTCCTGGGATCGAGCCCCGCATTGGGCTCTCTGCTCAACAGGGAGCCTGCTTCCCTTCCCCTCTCTCTGCCTGCCTCTCTGCCTACTTGTGATCTCTGTCTGTCAAATAAATAAATAGAATCTTAAAAAAAAAAAAAAAGAGGCAGGGACACCAAGGAGAACGTTGGTGGGCTGGTGTGTTTCTAAGCCCCTCCATATATCCTCTGAGTTCTCCCCCTGGCCCTAGGAGGCCCATATAACAGATGAAGGAGGCAGTCATTTGCCTGGGGGTAATACAGCATAGGATTCCGTTAGTAATCAACCTGCGCATTTTACTTTGAAGAGAACCATCTGCCTGGCTTAGAACCTTTGAGGTTCTATCTCTGTGCTGGAACATTTTTGTGTGTCCACATCATCAACCAATTGTAAGCCTGATTTCCACAGAACACCATCATAATCTTGATCTTTGACACATTGAATTTAAGGCAGTTCCTCCCTTCCCCAAGCCTGTTGGAGTTACCATTGCTAGCTCTCTGGTGTAGTCAGAAGAGAAATGGCACCCCAGCTCGGTGGTTAGGATGGTCAGGGGTTAGGATGGGTCACCTTACCCCTGGTTCGCATTCTGCCACTTCCTAGCTCCATGAACTAGTGACCTGTGTCTTCTGTGTGTCCCCTTTCTCAACTCTGAATAAGGGGTGAGCCTGGTGTTAACTCGTACGGTTTTTGCTGAGTTAGTACAAGCCAAGTGCTTAATGCCATATCTGGCATATAGTATGTCTTCATCCGTTCCAGCTGCTACAACAAAATATCACACACTGTCTCACCTGTGAACAACAGAATTTCTCTCTCGTGATTTCTAGATGCTGCAAGTCCAAACTTAAGACACTGATAGGGTCAAGTTGGGCGAGGCCCACTTCCTGATTCATAGAGAGCCGCCATCTTGCTGCATCCCATGGGGACTCTGTGGAGGCTCTTTCATAAGGACACAAATTCCTTTCATGAAGCCTCCACCCTCATGACCCAATCATCCCCCAAAGGCCCCAAGACCACTGACGATTAGGTTTCAGCCAATGAATTTTGGGGAAACATAGACATTCAGTCTACAGCATTGTAGGAGCCTAATAACAGCTAAACAACAGACTCATTTTACCAAGAACCAGGGCTCAGTAGCCTTTTGGGAGCCACAGAGCAAGGAACTAGAATCCACAATTCTATTGCCTTGTTTCTCTTTGTTCAAAAAGAGATGTGATTAATTTTTTTGTTTGTTTGTTTAAACTCTAGAGATGTCTGCTTTCCTAAAGTATTTCAAAGATGCAGCTGCTTCTAGCCCAGCAGGCTACAGCTGCCTTTTCCAGCATGTCTGTGTCTGGGGAGGGGAGTCTTTTTGTTTTAGCAGTGACCCTGACATCACCGACCAACCCTGGGAGGTGACGAGGGGCAGAGCAATGTTGCCTCCTTGCCCAAAGGATGAGAACTGCTCCAGGACATAGGGGTGGAACAGGCTGGGGTCAACACTCACCCTGTCTCTTTTCTTTTGTGGGCAGAAGTGGGCCAAGGCCAGGAAGGCACGGAAGCCACTAGGACCACATCCCCTCCAGGTAAGCACACTTGGCTTCTCCCACCAGCACACAATGGTTGTCCCTATATGTTTATGAGCTCAAGTGTGTTCTAAAACATGGAAGAATCATTGAGACCAATTTACTTTTATACCACCTCCCCCCAAAGTAGACAAATGAAGTTAAAATGTAGATCCATGAGTACGAAGAAATGGAGGCCTACCTGATAAAGAGATGCATTTAGAAAAATATGGAAAACAGTGTTTTGTTTTCTATTTAAATCACCTCTACTTCCATGTTACACAGATAGCCACTTCTAATATCTGAAGGTGCTCCCTTCTAACGTCTCCTGCCTGCCAAGCATACCATGAATGTAATTCAAATGCACTAGAGATCACTTGGCACCATGGTTTTGTAGTCTGAACTGTATCACCTAAAAAATGAGATGATATTCCCCTGACATTAAATATCTTTCTATAACATGATTTTTAGTGGTGGCTGTACCATGGTTTCTGGTGTGGAATACCATAGAGCATGAGCCAGTTATTTCCAACATTTGTTCTTATAAATAGATATATGCTTTATGCCCATCCACTTCTAATTTGTCACAATAAATGCCTAGAAGTTGAATTACTGCACAGAGGGCATAATCATTGCATGTATCCATATGTTGCCAAATTGCCCTAAAGAAAAATCGAAACAACTTACCCTCATGCCTCTCTCCCATGGCTGATACTGTGGACTACTATTTAAAAGCAAGTGAACAAAACCTCTACCATGTTAATAGAAAAAACCCATGGTAGCTCATTTCTCCTCTTCTCCTCTCTGATGGAAATTGAAAGTGGTGTTTTTTGTACCCAAGTTGGGCTGGCCTCTCACTCTGGCAGTTTTGGACCAGGCCTGGACAGAATTCCCACATCTTAACTGAATTTATGGTGACGGGTGACCAGTATCAGAGCTAAGAGCATTGAGACTTGGGCTAACTTTGCCCTCAGGTGCACAGTGACCTTCTAAGCCTTGGGGAGTGAGGGCAAGAGGAATTTATTCCCCAATGGGGCGGCCATTCAGGCAGAGTGATGAATGTCGCATGCCCTCATCTAAGGGGATGAGGTAGGGGTCTCAGGTTTGATTAGCACCAAGAATCCAGAGAGTTCTTTCTCAGAGGGTGAGGGCTTCTAGAAGGACACTCAGACTTGGCAAGGAGCACACACGAGCTTCTGGGGCTCCCTCTGCTTGTCGAGTTTTCCACCTGGAGAGTCTTTAACACCAAATCAGATGTGTCTTCACACTCACTGAACAATTCTAAGGGCTGTTCTTGACTTTTCTCTCCTTGCTAGGCATTTATCTAGAAGGATTATTCAAACACCAAAACAAGTATTATCAATATAGTTTTACAAAGGGGGAAATCAAGATTGAGAGAGGCAAGAGATCTGTCCAAGGTCACACAGTTAGTATGTGGCTGAGCTAAAATACAAACTCAGATTGCCTTAACCTCTAAAACGGAGTTCTTTCTACTCCACTCCACTGACTGGGTGAGTTCTCTCAAAAAGAAACAGAGCTGGCATTTGTTAATGGTGGAAAGTCAGATTTTACTCAGGTTTCCATAGCAGGGAAGGGAGACTGTAGAGTAACCACGTTCGACTCTCATCTGTATGGAGGTGACTGGGACTTTTAGAGGGAAAATGGGAGGGTGGACAACAGGCCAGAACTCCAGCAGAGTCCGGGCAGGGGAAAATTCCAAAAAGGGGGCAGGGGTCTGTTCTGAAAACTTAGGCAAGGCAGGTGTTGGGTCAGTGTGGGTCTCAAGCTCTAAGTTCTTTGGGCTGTCTTGAGCTTTCTTGGGCAGGAAGACAAGGAGAAGCAGGAGGCTGGGTCATCCTGGGGAAACCAGGCTGGGGTTGGTCTAAGTCTCCTAGCATAGGGGCAGGGCGTTGATGAAATAGTTTGTGCTGCAAATTTGCAGTTTTCATAGGCCAAGTTTGAGGCCTGGTTGAGAAGAGGGCCCAGAGGAGCCTGGCTAAAGTCTGGTCAAGGAAAGTGTCTGTCGGTTCCAGCAATCTGGAACATGGTAGAAAGAAACCAATTCATGGGTTTCTGCTGGTGGGATTGGAGAGGAGGTGAGGCATGATGTTAGACCCAGAGGACTGAGAGAACAACAGGGCCACTAAAGCCTTGCTCCCACCCCCCAGGGAACAGAGCATTGAGCAAAGACTCAGAAGCCCAGATGTAAGAAGCAAACCAATATGGTGGGTCTGGGAGAGACTGCCAGTCAGGGGTCCCTGAGATGCCCAGGCTTCACCCTGTGTTCTGGGTCTGTAGATGGTGGAGCAGAGCTTACAAAGGCCCCTTTGGCTGGACCAAACAGGGTTGGAGGTGTCACTGCCTCTGGCCAAGAGAACAGGTGGGCCAACACAGAGCAAAGGGAAACCTGGACAGCACCAGGGAGCGATCCCCGGCAGCCTTACTGGCCTCAGCGAGGACCTGACACTTAATTCAGACGATGGTGAGAAGGTCTTCCAGGATTCCCAGGAATTCGAGGCAGGTTGTGCTTGCCTACATCACTGAGCACCAGGAGTCAGCTTCATTTTTCCACCATTCTTATCTCTTCACTTGTAACCACCATGCTAGGCCTCCACTTGGCAGGTGCGTGGTAGTCAATATGACATAGGCTGGGACAGGTCTGGTCGTGAGATGTCACTCAACTGGTCTAGCAGGGGCTCTTGACCAATGTAACTTTATCATAGAGTATTAATGTATATGTGTTTGTTATATTTATGTTCCATTTACTTAATATTTTAGCACATTTTATTTTTGTTTTAAATTTTTATTTAAATTCTAGTCAGTTAGCATATAGTGTAATATTGGTTTTGGGAGTAGAATTCAGTGACTCCCAGCCAGTGCTCATCACAAGTGCCCTCCTTAGTACGCATACCCCTTCTAGCCCAGCCCCCGCCCACCCCTGTCCATCAATCCTCAGTTTTCTTCTCTATAGTTAAGCGTCTCCTATGGTTTGCTTTCTTCTCTTTTCTTTTTCTTTCTTTTCCTTTCTTCTATGTTCATCTATTTTGGTTATTAAATTCCACATATGAGTGAAATCATATGGTATTTGTCCTTCTCTGACTTATTTCGCTTAGCATTATACCCTCTGGTTCCATCCACGTCATTACACATGGTAAGGTTTCATTCTTTTTCATGGCTGATTAATATTCTATTGTATATACACCACATCTTCTTTATCCATTCATCAGCTGATGGACATTTAGGCTCTTTCCCTAGTTTGGCTATCACTGATAATGCTGCTGTGAACATTGGGTTCATATACCCCTTTGAATCTGTATTTTTGTATCCTTTGGATAAATACCCTGTAGTGTAATTGCTGGGTCATAGGGTAGTTCTATTTTTGACGTTTTGAGGACCCTCCACACTGTTTTCCAGAGTGGCTGCACCAGTATTCATTCCCACCAATAGTGGAAGAAGGTTCCCCTTTCTCTGAGTCCTCACCAGCATCTGTCATTTCCTGACTTGATAACTTCAGCCATTCTGACTGGTGTGAGGTGGTATCTCACTGTGGTTTTGATTTCTATTTCCCTCATGATGAGTGATGTTGAGCATCTTTTCATGAGTCTGTTGGCCGTCTGCATGTCTTCATTGGGAAAATGTCTATTCATGTCTTCTGCCCATTTCTTAACTAGATTATTTGTTTTTTGAGTGTTGAGTTTGATAAGTTCTTTATAGATTTTGGGACTAGCCTTTATTCTGATATGTCACTTGCGAATATCTTCTCTCATTCCATTGGCTACGTTTTAGTTTTGTTGATTGTTTCCTTCTCTGTATCACAGAGTATTTGGAAATTCTCATGTAACATTTGTGGATCCCTGAGACTCTGCCCTCCCATCTGGAAGCCCAGATTGAGGATGCTTTCCTAACACTTTGTTCTTCTGAAATATCTGCATTTGGGCTTGAGTGTGTGTCCATCTGCAAATCTCTTCCCGAACTGCCTGTTGAATATAAGCCATGACATTGTGTGTTTTCAGGATCTGCAGAGATTGCTGCCTCAACAAAAGGAGTAACCATGGTCCCGGCTGGTTTGAAGTCTTTGGGCTTAGCTGCGTCATCCACCAAAAGTGGCCTAGAGGAGACAACTGGAAAAGGTGAGTGGGAGCAGGCAGAGAAGCCTCTGTCCTCTCTCAGCCTTGAGGTTCTCTGGATGGGTAGGTAACAAAGACCTTTAGGCCATGGTGTCAAACTGTGACCTCTTCATTTTGGTGCGACTAGAAGGGACCACTCCTTTCCAGGTGAAGTCATGGGACACAGAGGGGACCTGACTTGCCTATGGCCACTCACCTGTTGAGCCAGGGAAAGGGGCCCGCTGGCCTAATGCTGCCAACCCTCTTACTGGCCCCCAAAGGAAGAGCTTGGCACCATGCACATGAAGTTGTTGGAAAGAAGGAAATATCTGGGCTTTCACTCCCTCTCCCTTCTCTCTCCTCTTGCCAGGGGCCCCACCAGAGGCCCTGCCCTGCAAGGAGCTACAGACACAGGGCAGGGCTTTTTTAGTACCAGGCCAGCCCTCCACAGCATGCACCGCAGAGTGATGGAGAAGACAGCATTTGAGAGGGAGGCTGGGCTGGGAGCCCTTCGCAAGGTCCCTGGCTTCTTGGTTCCCCACCCCCGCCACTGGACCTGTGATCATGGGGTCAGCACAGTGGACTGTAGCCAGTCTTGGCCAAAGTTTCTGGCAGAGGAGGAGGGGACAAAGGTGGAGAGAGGGTGCAGGAGGGCAGAGGCGGAGGTAGAGAAAGAAGAATCAAGGGCTCTGAAGGCAAACCCAGGCGGAGTACGCTAACCTGCTGGAGTCAAGACGTCCACAGGCCAGGATGCCCCCAGGGTGCCGGCTGCTCCAGGGCCTCAGTGGGACACAGTCACTCTATTCGGCAATCACATGTGGCCGAAGAGCACCTCTGGTCCCGATCAGCCCCCCACCCTTCAGGGGGATTTAACCAGGAGTCTGGGCAGAGCCATAGACGCCTGGCAAGGAAGACATGCTCTCTGAAAGCCAAACCATGCCAGACAGGGTGTTAGACAGGGGGACTAACCCGTAACAGTTTTCCCAGAGGGCAACGGAGGCAAGGACACGGGGTTCCTCGGATGATCAGTACCCATCTGGATCACTGCCTGCCTGTGTGAACTCTGTCCCGATGTCCCCTCCTCTCCTGACAGCCCTGTTTCTGATCAGCCTGTGACAGGTTCACCTTCCTGCACCTGGGAAGTAGGGACAACACACGGGTGATGCCTCAGCTTGGAGAGATGCTCTTTTGTCTGACATCCCGGTGCCCAGAAGAATTTGAATCTTATGGGTGTTACTGTGGGCAAGAAGGACGAGGCGAGCCAAGGGATACCCTGGACAGGTAGGGATGGGCGAGGGTGGCAGGCCAGGGGTGCTGACGCTGCCCGCATGAGAGGTGATAACCCTCCTCTCCACTGGGGACAGCTTCAGGCTTCACACCGAGCACTGCCTCCCTCAGGGCTGCGGCTCACGGCCATGGGCAGCTGAGGCTCAGGCTTGTCTGCACTCGTTCAGTGGTGAAGGGGCAGAGCCAGACAGATGCTGACCTGTGGATGTGGTGCTCCAGAGCTCCTTCAGCTCTAACCACAAGTACTGCCGATGGCCCTAAGAGAGTCCGTCTACAAAGACATTTCAGGAGACCCCAAATCTGCCTATTTTGCAACAACCAACATGTGGAATTGTCACACCCACCCAGTTTGCCCTGCAGGTGACCACATGAAAGTTACTTTCTCAATAACTTTTTAAAAAAAGATTTACTTATTTTTAGAGAGAGACCGAGAGACAGAAAGAGAGAGAGAGAGAGAGCAGTGGGAAGGGGCAGGAGGAGAGGGAGAGAGAGAGTCTTAAGCAGAATCCGGGCTGAGTGCAGAGCCCAGCAAGGGGGTTGATCTCAGGACCCTGAGGTCACAACCTGAGCCAAAACCAAGAGTTGGACACTTAACTGACTGAGCCCCCCAGTGCCCCAGCTTCTCAATAACTTTTAACTGCTCAATTTTACATCTGCCACTTTTGGAAGAATTTTCAGTGACCTCGTGCCTTGGTAAATCCATTCATTCATTTATGCACCCGCCCCACCACCCACCACCCACCCCAGGCAGGTGCACTCAACCCACCTTTCTTGAGCTTTTGCTCTGTGCCGGGCCCTATGCTGGGTGGTGGAGACACACAAATGAGGTTACACCTGAACAAAGCAGCTTGCAACAAACTGCCAGTGCCCCAGAGGATCTGTGTGGTGCAGGAGACGGGCACGTCGACCAAAAGACCACCAAGATCATAAATGCAGCGGTCAAAACAGGGAACAGTGGAGGAGCCAACCTAGACATGAGTTGTAGGAATATTCCGTGGGTGGAGTTGATAGGTGTAAAGCCTGACTGCACGTGGGGACTGTCACGGCCCCTGGCCAGCGGGCTCTGCGCTCAAAGTGCATATCCCTGGGATGGTGGGGCTGCTGAAGGAAAATCCACAGCTAGAGTAGATACAGGAGACAGGGAAAAGACAAAGCCCGGTGCCATTAACACACAGGCTGGAGGGACGGCAGGACCATGGTGCATGTCACTTGCAGGTCAGATGGTGTCTGGTTGGCTGTGTCTCTCCCCCAGACACCCACCTCCCTGGCCTTTCTCCCCTTGCCACTCACCTCCTTCCAGCCCTATCATCTGACCAAGTTCCACAGGGCATCCAGTAGGGAGGAAGCTAGGGGCTCTGCTACACAGGCCACCTTCAAAACTTAGCTCCCGCTGGGTGACACTGAAGATGCATCTATTTTAGCAGAGTGTACACCACACTGGAATCATAAGTGTGTCTACATTAGAAGTTCGACAACGTGGGCTCCACTCTCGGACCAGTGTAGATACTCCTGAGACCATAGCACTCAGGACACAAGGCAAGAGGTAAAACTCTAGGCAGAAGTCACTGTGTCCTGTTGAACCCCACGGAAAGACAGTGGGGTTGATCCTGACCACTGGCCATATTTCACAAAAACATGAGATTTGACCAGCAGGCAATTAAGTTACAATATGGCTTCCCTGACCTCCATGGGGAAAAAATTAAAACAAAGCCATTGCCATGACCAAGGAAGAGTTACTCAAATTGATCTCATTTTCTGCAGGGATGTCTTTTCAAAACCATGCATACTTTACATTCTGGGCAATTTGGGTGACTTTTAAGCTCTTTTGATGATATGCAATTTCTGATTCACTTGCTGACTTCAGATTTTCACGGAGATTAATTTTTCACCACCACCCACCCCAGGCAGGTGCACGCACCAGAATGTGTGGTTCAGCTGAGCAGGGCGGTCATGTGTAACTGATGCAGACCTCCAGCCATCAGCCACTGTGGCAGGCACAGTCGTGGGGCTCCCCCCAACACTGGCAACAGGGGAAGCCGATTCTTGGCTGAGCACTAACTCTACAAAAGGGCAGCCGGTCATGGTGGAGCCCTGCTCTGGCTGTGGCCTCTGACACCACGTGAGAGCTATCTGTGGACGGGATGAGTGGCAGTGGGAAGGTTTGGGGACAGTGGCGGCTCCTCTGGGCTGACGCCATCACAAGATTCCTCTGGGTATCTATGCGCTGGGCACAGTGGAGACGGTGAGGCTTTATCAGGCCCAGATGGGGGTTGTCTATAAAGGAAGACACTGATTCGTTCCTGTATGGCTACAGAGGCCCTGCTTCATGCTGGATGCTTTCTTAAATGTTGTTCTTTATTTATGCTCAAGGTCATTACTCTGCTCTCTCTCAAGGCTAGGGTCCAAAGGGGGTGCCCTATGGATGTGAGATTAATCGTTCTATTAGGTAAAAAGTTAGAGGGGGCAGGGCCACTGCTAGTCCATCTGGTACCTTCGTGTAAACTAAAAATGGTAACCTTTTCTCAAGGCTCTTTTTTCCATCTCAACAGATGCAAATTATTATCATAAATATGCAAATCATCTTTGCAATCAACAGAGTCATAATAAGAACACAAAGAATTTTTTTAATGGTAGGATGCATACAGTGTGGCTGACACGGTTTTAGATGTGGTATCTTTGTGAAGTGCACAACCTAAACAATCATACATGGTGGTCCTGTGTGTGCCGGAACAGAGGCCTTGGCTTCTCTCCCTGCTGTAGGGTTTGTGGGAGAGGCAGGCCTTGAAGGAGTTCCGGCGTCAGCTGGGTTTTCCTTGGTCTTAGGTGCTGTTTTTCCCATCACTGCTGCGTGGAGCAGGTGAGGCGGCTGGGCTGCCTGCTCGGGAGGCTTCCTCGGTCACCAGTGCTGTGCGTGGACGGTACAGCCACGTGTAAGTGCTGGGGGCCTGCTCAGAATCACATGGGGTTCAGGCCTCCCGGTGCTGCCCCAACCACGTCTTCGTCTACAATGAGATTTAATACTCTTCTTAACCGCGACGCACACTTATTACCGATCCTGCCGAGGGCGCGGAAGTCCGAGAGCTAAGTCAGCGGCCGAGTCAGAGCTGGGCAGGAGCAGACCAGGAGCAAGAGAAACTGTGCTTATGGCGCGCCTGCTGCATGCCAGCCGCAGCTCTCAAGATGGATGAACAGAGTCAGACGCCCCAGGGATCCTACCAGGAGGCACCGAGTCCTCCCTTTACAGAGGGGGCGGCAGAGGTCGCACTGTAGAAAGAAGTGGGTGGTGGGAGCGGGAGTGGGGCCTGGAAAACCACGTTGCCTCAGACCTAGAACCCAGTCCTTGTGCCGGGGGCTCTCATGGCATTTTGTTCTCTCCCTGAGAAGTGGAAGCCCTGTCCTGACTGAGACCGCCCAAGGAGCTCCACGGAAAGGGAGCGGACCTGGCTGAAGGCAGTGGACCCGCAGCCTCCGTCCGCCCTCTCCTGGAGCCTCAGCGGGGTGTCTGAGAACCAGCACCCCTGGGAGCGAGCGTCAAGCTCATGCACCCCGGGGCCAGCTTTCCATGTCCAGCCCGTGGAGGCAGTTCCTCTAGGCTTTGCAGCTTAAAGTCCCTGCTCCCTGGAGCAAGTCGTGAGAGTCCTGTGAGGGCTTGTTCCCACCCTTGTTTTTCCTCCATGGAGGCCCCTCCCTTCCTCTGCCCTCCCTCAGCATCGGCGGGCACCTCCCTGCCTCCTGGAGGTCCACATGCACCTGTCAGGTCCAGGAGCCCAGTGCTCACGTGTCACTTATGGCTCCTGCACTCACTCACTCGTTATCTATCCCACGCACCTCTCTTGGGAACTAGGAAGGCATTGATCAGACACAATCCCTGACTCAAGTGCCCCACAGCCCGGAGGACAGACAGATGCGCAGGTGTCTGCTCTCATCCTGGGTGGAAGTGCTCACGAGAGTGCAGGTGCCCTGGAAGCCGCGGAGGGGGTCTGAGCTGGGAGAGCAGGGCACAGGGTGTTGAAGAACTGAGCAGTCGGAAGAGGTGGCGAGGAGGGATCTTACAAGACATTGTCAGGTTCCCAGATGGCCACGCTGGGTGTGGATGTTCCCGGAAAAGGGAAAAGAGGAAAACCAGGGCATTTGGGGGAACTTCTGGCAGTGTAGGAACAGAAAGGGGCGCTGGGGGACGGCTGTGGCCAGGTGAGGTAGGAGCTAGACAGGCACCAGATGATCACCTGAGGTTTGAACTGCTGGGGCATGAGGAGCCGGGACGGGTATAGAGCCACAAGTGACAGGATCAGATTATTGTCATCATTGGATGTCACCATGCCGTGAGATCTCACCTGCTCAGCTGAAGAAGGCTCTTTCGCTATCCCTGCAGCCTCAAGGAAGCCAGAAGCATGGCCCTGGGGGTCTGAACTCTGATGGGGCTCCAGGGACCCAGGTCAGCCCTCCATGAGCTCAGAACAGTGTCCTGCACCACACGCAGTGCTGGGTCATGAGAACAGGGCAGAGCCTGCCCCGTGCTGTCTCGACACGAGGCCCAGAACTGCTCGGGGGAGCAGGCTCTCGTGTGTCTCCACTCTGCTCTTGACCCCACGTTTGCCCGCCCCTTCTTTAGCTTCCTTGTGTTGGAAGGCAACAGTGTAGGAATTTAGAGGGTCTGTGTGCTGAGAAAAAAAAAAAATCTGGCTGATATTTTACTTCATGGTAGGTTCAGATGGATAAAAGTTGGAACAAATACTTCTCTAGCTTCATAGAAAACTACAGGTAAGAAAAGTATTTGCAGGAGGCATATCTAAGTACCTTCAACACATTACTTATCTGAGTCAGATGACATCCATCCCCGCCCCCAATGCAGGAAACATAAACATTCAAGAAATCAGGTAGGGTTGCCAGCAAATAAAAACACACTAACTAGAATTTCAGATAAACAACAAGTAATTAATTGTTCAGTATAAGTATGCCCCAAATGGATATACTTACATGAACATATTTATCTGAAATTCACATTTAATCAGGCATCCCATATTTTATCTGGCAAGGTTAAAATAGATTGCACAAGAACTACTTCCATATGACAAAGGGGAAAGGTCTGGCCCAGAGAAGTAAGGAAGTAAGATATTTAACAGTTCTGTCCCAACAAATATTTTCCGAGTGCCAACTCAGGAAATAGGGGTCAAGGACTGACTTAGGTGCTTGGAACACATGGGCTCTGCCACCAAGGCTCTCCATCCAGCGAGAGCGAAAGGTAAACACAGACACAGATGATTCATGCACAGTGTCATTAACATGCAACCTGCTGGAGAGAAGGAGCCATAGGTGGGATCTGATGGGAGCCCAAGAGGAAGGTAGTCCCCTTACCCTGGGGGCTCAGGGAAGCTTTTCTGGAGGAGGGGATGCCAAGGGGAGTTTTGACAAAGAGGTATGAATTCACCAGGAGAAAGTGAGAATATTCCCAGCAGGGAGATCATAGACGCTGAATGTTGTGAGGTTCCCAGATGGTGGGTGGAAGGACAAGGCTGAAGGGGTAGTCAGGCTGGCCACATGCCACCTTGCATTACATGTCTACTACTCTGTTCTTGTCCTCTAAGGTGTGGGGCAGAGCCTGTGTGCAAAACTGCTTTGTGCCTGTGACCAGACGGCGGCCGAATGCATGGCCTCTGCCTCCTTTAACCAAAGCCTGAAGTCATTGGGCGCACAAGAGTGCCAGGGGCCCCAGCTGTCCTGCGAGGACGGCATGCCTGGGGCGCCTGCGGCTTCCTCCCTTGGTTCCAGCTCTGAGGAGAACAGCGAGGAGGCCATGCCCCGCACAGAGGGCCTGAGAAGAACCAGAAGATTTCTGGGAAAATCACTTGGTCCTGTGGGGTCCAGGCGACAAGGCCCCAGAGAGATCCCTGGAGAAAGTAACAAGCGCCCCCCACAGTAGGTTCCTCCCATTACTGTCCCCTCTTTGCACCTCTGTCTCTGTCCTCCCGTCCTCAGCAGGGGCTCAAGGGTTGAAGAGCCGGTGAGCCCTGTGCTTGTGACGTTTGTGAGCTCACACAAGAATGTGTTCTGTACTTCCTTCGGTGCACACTGGGGGCTAAATAAAAACTCCAATCAGTGTTGGCTTTGGTTTGTTTTGAAGAAATGCTATAGAGACTGGTGTATGAGTAGATGCCGGATGTAAGATGACAGAGCCATGGAGCCAAATTATCTCTACTCTCTCATCACTGAAAGCTATCTCTTCTTCTATTGGGGAAAAAAAAAAAAGAGGAATGTATTTAATCAATCTTATAAGCTCACTAGTGGGACACCAATAACCCAAGGCTATGTGCCAGAACTAACGACAGCTCTGGTATGTGCCTCTAAAAACACACCTGCCATTTGAGTTATTCCAAGAGGCAGATTAATATCATGGTAATTGTAAAAAGCCTGAAATCATACCCATCCTTCCATCCACCCACTCACCGATCCATTAGAGATGCTCCTGTGTCATCAGGCAGAATGTAGTGTGTTACCAGACTCTCTCTCCATATTCGATAGGAACACAAACTTGTAGGCTCACATCACATCCTTGGCTTCAATCCCTACAAATCACAGGTCTGGTAGTGAGAGGGGTTAAGGGCCCCTGCCTGCTCCTCAGACTGATGGGAAAGCAGAGCCGCTAGAGTTCGGTGTGGCTGACCTTGCGGCAGGAAGATATTCTGAAGTTGGCAACAAAGTTAAGAAATGGCTGATGCCAAGCCAACAGGAGACATCCTTCCTTGCTTTCCGGCATGTGATGAGCAACTTTTTCCTTTGAAGACATTTTATTTATCTGAGAGAGCAAGCAAGCAGGGGAGAGGGAGAGGGAGAAACGGACTCCCCACTGAGAAGGAAACCTGATGCGGGGCTCCCTCCCAGGACCCTGGGACCATGACCTGAGCCAAGGCAGATGTTTAACCCACTGAGCCACCCAGCGCCCCATGATGAGCACCTTTTGATGAATCCAACACATTCGTACCTTTTTGACCAAATGACCTTAACTAACAGCCAAAGCTGGGTTCTCCCAGAAGTGAACCCTCTGACAAGAACTCGAGAGCAAGATTAGTAGCCAAGTGAGGGAAAGAATGTGTGGAGACTGAAGAAATAGGGCAGGAAAGGTAGCCAGTAAAGGGTGTCTAACCAAGCCAGTTACAACTAGAATACACTACACACTGAGAGGAGACTGATGGGGCTATCAGCTTCTGACAGATCAGCTTTTACTCCTGGAGAGGGTGACATCTCCTTCTGGCCTGCTGCACACAGGGGCAAAGCAGGCTCCAGGGCAGAGAGAGCCTTCAGGCAAAGAAATGCAGGCGCCAGCGGCCGGCTGTCAGTGGCAGAAGGGGAACTGGCTTCAACTACTGCGTGGCTGGCTGGCTCCTCCTACCTTCAGCCGGAAGCGAGGTCCCAACGGTCCATTTCCAGTGCCAGGCTGGCCACCTGTGTGGGAACCGTGCCTTCGCCACATCTTCGCCGGTGGCAGCTGGATGTTGCTCAAGAGAGCGACAGAGCTGACCTACTTAGCTCTGGTTCCCAATCAGAAAACCTCCTGTGGACGACCAACCTCTTCTTCAAGTGTTTTTCTGCTCTCCAAGACCACTGCTGGTGCTTCATCTCCTCTCCTCCACCCCCCTGTACCCCACAACCTTGTACTCAGCTCGAGACTCTGTAGGACTGTGAAGAGTCTGAGATTTCACCTTCCTTTCAACTCGTAAATTCATCTTTGTTTATGGATGCTGGCAGAGCACACGAGGCACCCCCAGGTGAGAGACAAAGGCTTTATTGTCTACAGTAAAGGCAGTAGTCAGAGTCTCAGTATTTCTGCTGGTCCCTCAAGCTCTGGGGCACCACAGAGGGCAAAGTGACACCTCCACACAAGGTGGGCTTCCTTACCCAGGAGAACCAAGTTTAGGGATCCGAAACTACACACTATTAGCCTGCTTGACTGTTAACCCCAGAACATTTTTTAAGCAGGCTCCACAACGCAGGACTTGAACCAACAACCCTGAGATCAAGACCTGGCCACTTAACTGAGCCACCCAGGCACCCCAAAACACATCATCTTTATATGTAAGACTTTATATGACTCTACAAAGTGTGCTACCTGATCAACTTACTTTATAAGACTCTATACCCCATACTTTATATGTAAGTAAGGTCTGCCCTTGGCTCCAAAGGGTGACACCATTCCTACTTTCCTAGAGTCACATCCGTTTGCTAGAGTACAGTAAGAAGATAGTCCAGAATGAAGGCTGTTGGTGTCTGCATGCTCACATGACATGCACAGATCCATGGAGAGTCGTCTGGCAATAATGGTCTCAGCTAATATTTCACTGAGAAAATTGAAGGTTTCCAATGGGAATGCCCTCCTCTTTCTGGCTGCCAAAGCTACAAAATTATTGGCAGTCTCTCTTCCTTCTTGTTACAATTAAGTGTTCTTTACTCAGATCAAAAGTTAATCCCTTCAACTACGCTCTGTGTATAATGAGTGTTCTATTGCCTTCTCTGGATTCCTGTAAATATTTCCTTTTCTTTAGTGAGCGAGAAAGCGTGCACATGGTGGTGGAGTGCCGGCGGCGGGGTGGGCAGGGGGAGGTGTGGGAGGGAATGGAGGGAACAGAAGGAGAGGGAGAATCTTAAGCAGACTCCACGCCAGTTGGGGGCTTGATCTCACGACTTGAGTCGAAATCAAGAGTCAATGCTTAACTGATGGAGCCACCCAGGCCCAGTATTCCTTTTAACCAAGTTATTCCGCTTCTTCTGTATCAATCTAATCAGCATGCAAACATACCCTAAAATCTCCAATCTTTAAAAACCCTTGACTCCTTTAGCAAGATGAGGGAAGCGTGAATTGTCAATCTGGTGCTCCTAGCTTTAGTCTCCTCCTTAAATGCCAAACTAGATGGAGCTCTGCTGGGTACTGATGACCTGACTCAATGTCATCCAATGTCTACCTCTTACTCCACACGCTGCTGTGCTAACCAGCTACATGGGCTCTGACCTGCCTTGTTCATAGAGGTGGGATTTAACGCCTGCCTTCCGAACTTCTGTTCTTCTTGCGTTCTGACACAGGACTTCTCTGAGAAGGAAGCATGGGGCACTCAGCGCTCAAGCACACACAGTCCAGAAATGGGGGGAGGGGTTGCTGCCAACAGGCCACCCTTGACGATGAAAGGGTACATGCTTCCCTGGAGCTCATCACCAGGGCGGCCAGATCGGAGTTCACAAACCTCCTTATTAGAAACATCCAGCAGGGGGCGCCTGAGGGGCTCAGGGGGTTAAGCCTCTGCCTTTGGCCCAGGTCAAGGTCTCAGGGTCCTGGAATTAGCCCTGCATCAGGCTCTCTGCTCAGCGGGGAGCCTGCTTCCCTGTCTCTCTGCCTGCCTCTCTGCCTACTTATAATCTCTATCTCTCTGTAAAATAAAAAAATAAAATCTTTAAAAGAAAAAAAAAAAGAAACATCCAGCAGGACGGACCTCCAGTCACCTCCAGTGATGGACAGTTCCTACATAAGTCCTCTTCATGAGCCTTTTCTCCTTGCATTTCACAGTTCCAGGCCCTGGCCGGGTTTGCTGGGATCACAGCCCAGAACAATTCCCCATGTGTAAGCCTTTTAGTGCAAGTTCTCCTAAAGCAGAGACTGTGGCTCAAAGTGCAAGTAAAAGCCAAATTCTACAGCAGCAGGAGGAGGAGGAGGCACCTGATGCTCTACCTTGGCTCTACTTTTTCATTCATATGAACTTGGTGCTTGAAATCAGTACTTCTCACAACAGCGGACGGGATGCGCCAAATTAAGGCCGGAGACAGCATGGGACACAGCGCGTAGCGCAGACTGCTGCTTCTACACCGCAGCTTCCTGGAGGTCGGATAAGCAAGCCAGGGCGGCCCAGGGAACCAGAGTCGTTATTTTTTTACTTAGAGGCTTTGTGTACATCATGCAGGTAGAGAGGATTGAGATGCAAACATTAAAACCGATGCAGAGAAGGCCACTGTGCTTTCCCAGCTCACACTGCTCTAAGTAGTGAAAAGAAAGCTCTGCCTGCGCCACATCTCGTCACGACCGGCAGTTACGGCCCCGAGTCTTCCATGGATGTGCGGAGGCAGCCACCTGGCAACTTGAGTTTTACTAAAGCTCTTCATTTTTAACTAAAGCAAAATATTAAATAAACTTAACTCAGTAAATGTCATAGCTATATGCATATCTGCGTATCTGCATGTAGCATATATAGCATATCTGCATGGCCAGAAGTAATCTGATTTTGCTTTATTGCTTACACATGACTGCACAGTGTATCTTCACATTTCAAAAACTCACCTTGTTAGATTTATTGCATATATTGGCATGACTAAGACAAATGAGTTCCATTTTCAGATAGGAGGAAGAGAAATGTTAATTGCTGGTAAAGTGTGGCATTACTCTATAAGATAATGAGTTCAGAAGCATTAGGGGGTGTCTGTGTTCTGTGCACATGCAGGTAAACGCCAATGACAATCAAATTCTGTATCAACAGTCGAAGTCAATACAAATATAAGGAATGTTCATATGTTAGCTATTCAATGTCAAGGAAAAAAATGAAGCAAGTGTATGCAGCATAAAGAGAATGAGTAACAGTTTATTAAGAGTTTTAAATATCTACAAAAATATAGCCATACGGTGAACTTCAGCAAATCCTAAACTTTCAGTCTCCAAACTGGCTATAAACGGAACATAGCCATTACCCAGCAGGAGTCCTGCAATCTCCTGAAAAGGACAAACCAAAGAAAAGACCCACTTCTTGGGAATCATTACTAACAAGACCAGTTCAGTCATCCAGAATATATAGATGTCTACTGTGATTTAAAAACAACAACAACAACAAGAAAAAAACCTGCAAACCCCACACAACAGTTTACAAACTGACCAAGAGAAAGATGTGATAAACATTAATTCAAATGGTTTTCCTTGACATGCAATACATGCATTTTTTAAACTACAGAAAAACAGGAAATTTTGTAAAGTTTGTATGAGTGCAAGTGAATATAGATCTCCTTTACTTATACTATTAAATTATATATTTTTTCATACAAAAGCACACAGTGTTAATCTATAAAATGACATCCAAGTGGATGATGATTGTTTTTGAATGTCCCCCTGCTTAGATTTTTTTTTAAATGCACAAAAATTAATATACTTCTTTAAAAATACAGAAGAAAAAAAGAAAGAAAAAAACAGAAAACTTGACCTGTCATATGAGGACGCATTTTACCCAAAATCAAGAGGCAAAGTTACAGTGACAGCTGCATGAAGGCCAGTAATACCTGCAGTATTATTCTGAAAACAAAGTCTCGTTTACCTACATTTAACACACTGCCCAGGAGGGCTGCGTATCATTTTATGGGTTTTAATGACTAGGATCTTTTGCAAGATGTTTCAAGATAATGTAGTAATTCAGTTCTTTAAAAAATCTGGGGTATGCTTTTTCTTTTGTCACTTCGTGACTTCTTTCTGTTTATTGTACAGGTGCCTAATAATCATAAACATGAACTTACAACCTGCCAATCTCACTGTAAGTTTTCAAACAAAAACAAAAACTAAAAACTGAATTAGTTTTTGAGCTACAATTTTTGATATGTATTTTGCTCTTTGTAAAAAGAAACTGAATCTGAAGAGGCAATACAATTATAAAGAGGTTATTCTATAAAAATGTCCTATGAGAATTTTATAAGACTTGCAAAGAAAGTTGTTCATTTTTGCTGTTTGATGGAATTCACTAAAATGCACATAATTTTAAGAAAACACTACAGGTATGTACCATACTTGTATAGGGTACATACATGACCTTGGTAGCTTAAATCAACAGAGCTCACAACTGACGATCCTCAGCACACTTGATTGCTAAACCCACAGGCATTCTTTTCAAATGTAATAGAATAAATCCTAAACAGATGCATACAACTTAACAGTTCAAATCTTACAAATCAGAAGTCCATCTGGAGAATTCTCTATGAAGATTTTAAACAATGCACAATATAAAAATGCAAATAATGTGCTTTTGATAGAACTCAAAATGTACACAGTCTTCACAGGTGAACTAGTAGCTGTTTTAAAGGTCTTTTTTTTCCTACACTAAATATAGATCTGATTTAATTAATGGAACCACAGCAAAATATTACTATAATTTCAAAGTATAGTCTGTAAACTAATACATCTTATGATGTAAAAAAATATTGCACAGTTTGGAACACCAAGAGTAACAAGCTTCTCTCAAGTAGAATGGTCAAACTCTTGGCAGAAAACACAGTATTACAAGAACTAGACACTTTTAAGTATGGCAATTTTGGGGTTGGTCATATTCTAGGAATATTACTCAACAGATGTCTCATTACCATAAACAAGTTGAGGAATGCCTATTACATGTTGTTATAGATCACAACATCTAAAACCTGGGGACAACAAGCCACAGAACAGTTTTGCAGCCCCAAGATTAGCAATATATTTGTATGTATTTGCTTTTGCAGATAACCAAACACAAAAGCAATTCTATTTCTAAGCAGTTGTGTAGATGTTTAAGAAATACAGTAGATACCTGACACATCTTCAACCCTCTGGAGGCATAATATTTTAAAAAAATTACCTGTTTGTGAAAAGTTTAAAATATACGGTTTAACTATGGAATAATGGGACATCAATATATGTCCAACTTTGAAAGCCAACAGGAACTGCAAAAGAAATGATCATGGCAGAAATCCATCTTTAAAAGTATTCTAAATCATAGACAGCTCCACCATTTCTAATGTGGTATGTGCCAAGCATTTGGTTGAAGAGAAGTCTCACTGTTATTCTCAAGAATTATGTTAATACGCATTAAGTAAACTCTGAAAACTCAGCACGGCCTTAATTTTTCGGCTTTAGATCCTACAATGAGATCTTCGTGAGCCACTCAGTACACACACAGATCTGGAAACTTCATCTCATAGACTGGGACGGACTGGTACTGGGCATGCCCAGAAGTAATGGTCAGTGTTCCTGATGGACTGGGAGGAGGGCTGTAAGAGAGAACAAGCCACAGTCAACAGGTACACTGGAAAGCTGTTCATTTCTCAGAGCACTCTCCTAACTACCTGCAAACAGCAAAGTGAGACACCCAGCTTCGTTGTGGGCTAGCTACAAGGCTATATGCGGGAAAAGACCACAGTGCTATCAAGCTGTTCTTAAGTTTGAACCAGACATTGTCTTTTGAGTATGTGTGTGTATAATTTTTTCTAACAGGATTACACCATACCCATTCTGGTAAGTTTGCTCTGCTTCATGAGCAGAAAAATCTTTTGTATGTCTGCATATTGTCCTTTTTACTGACAGCATGGTATTTCATCATGTGGATACACCGACTGATCTAATCCAGGGGATAAATGCAGGTTCATTTCCACTTTCCAGTATTATAATGTTCAGAGGTCTTCTCTTATATATACATCCTGTTTATCTTAATTGTCTTACAAACACAATTTCTTAAAGCATACTCATAATTTTGACTTTGATACATATTGCCAGAATTCTAGTAATTTATATTTTCAACATTGGAATATACTTGTTCTCTTTTTTTCTTCTTCTTTTTTTTAAATCTCTGCCAATCTGGTGACAAAAGGGGTTTCATTCCTATTTGTATTTTTAATTTTTGGGTTATTAGTAGAGCTACATATCACAAAGACATCCACAAAAGACTCAGTATCCTTTTTGTTTCTTTTAAAACAAATTGTCTATTTGAGTCCACTACCTGTATTTGTACTCAGGTGTTCTTCTCTTATCAATATGGGAAACCAACTTTTGTTTTGTTTTGTTTTGTTTTGTATGATACTAATGCTTTTCCACAATTGTACTTTTAGAGTCTCAATCTTGTGCTTTGGGTTTTGTTTTGCCAAATGCTTAAAAACTTACCAAAAAAATCACTTGTGATTTCTTATGACTAAAACTACAATTTATCTGCAAAAAACTGGTATCTTTAAGATAATAATTTCTATTCAAAGCAAGGCATGAGTTTTCATTTGTGAAGTATTCCTATACATATCTCAGAGATTTATAGTTATTTTATATGTCCTATGTAGTTCTTTAAGTTTGTTAGTGTCTTATAGTTATGAATATATGGGAATACATTTTCATTACCATTCATACAGTAATGAATTTAATTGATGTATGCACAAATATTAACTTCATATAATTGTCTAACAGTAAACCTATTCAGTTGTTTCTGTTTTTCTGCTGGCAACTAATTAATTATTTGCAATCTCCATTCCAATATTTGTAATATCCCCCCCCTATTTTTTTAACTGAGGGATAATTTTCAGAGTGAAATGCACAGATTTTAAGTATACTGTATGACAGGAAACAAAAAACATATACACTTATGTGCTCACACCCCAATAAAGATAATGAACATGTCCGTCATTCGAAAGAAGTTCCTTTGTGTCCCTAGTCAATTCCTCCCTACTCGCACAAACCCACATTCAACAACTGTGTTCTGATCTCTATTGCTAATGATTAGTGTTGACTGTTCCTGAATTTCATACATTCTATTCATACAGCCTAAAAGAACGGTCCATATAAGCTACACTCTTTTATGTCTGGTTTCTTTTGCTCAAGATGTCTTTTTTCTTTTTTTAAAACCAAAAATACTGTGTTCCTTTTTATTGAACAGTATTTCACTCTATTAAGAATATCACTATTTGTCTATTGTTTATCCACTCTCCTGTTGATGGACATTTGGTAATTACAAAAAAAGCTGCTATGACATTCATGAACGTATCTTTCTTTGAATGGAAGTTTTCATTTCTTTGGTAAATACTGAGAAATGGGATTACAGGATCAACAGCAGGTATATGTCTAACTTTGTAAGAAACTGCTAAAGTTTTACAAAGTGTTTGTACAATTTATACTCCCGTGAGCACTGCAGAGTGTTCTTCTATAATGTCCAAAATATTGTTAAGCTCATCCTATGAAATTCTTTCACACACTGTGTCACTCTGTTTTTGCATTATGATCTGGTTATTTTTTAGTTTCCTCTTCTCTCCTATATATTTCCCTTTAAATTCTTTAGTGTACATGTGTGTATTTTTAGGTCCCTGTCTACTAATTCCAATAACTGATCACCTGTGGGGCTGCTGCTTCTTACTGTATTTTCCTGCTTCTTTGCATTTCTTATCATTTTCTTTATTGCACAAAGGTCGAGGGAATGAAAGGACAATGGAGACTGAAGTATAAGACTTTGTTCTGTTTCTTTTCTTGAGAAAACAAGACCTTTCCTCTGTCTGGTGGTTAGAATGTAGGCAAATGAACAAGAGGAGATATATCAAACAAGAACAAAAAACTCCGTATCATGTAGGCTATCCGGAACTACTCTTTCCTAACTAGGTGACCTTGGATAAGTTACCTAACTTCTATGTGCCTCTGTTTCTATTCTTGCTAAGTAAAATTAATCACTACTCTTGTTAAAGGTCTGTTATAAATATTAAATGAAATAATGTACTTATATATAGTGCCTAGAAGAGCGCAAGTGTTCAATAAATAATAATTATTGGCAGTACGTGCTCAATAAATGCTATTAGTAGGATCCGCAGTACCCATAAAAAAGAATTAGTCATAATCCTTATTCTAAAATATTCAATCCACATAGCTATGATGGAGTGATTAAATGTAATATGGTGGGTCCTAGCAACATTCCTTTTAAGAACAGAGTTATGAATTTGAATTTTGATTTTTCCCATTCAGTAGCTGAATGACCTTCAACAAGTTAATTCTCTAAAGCCTCATTGTTTTTACCTAGAAACCGAAGGGGAAAAAAAAAGGCATCTACCTACTTTTTCAGGACTGATGTGAATTAGCAAAAATATCAGATAGAAAATATAAACCATAAGATCCATTACAAAGTAGACCATTACTATTATAATTAACAGACACCAAATAAGTAAATGCCCACAGCCATCAATTTTCCCTCAATCTAAGGTATATTATACATTGGATATTAAAGTCTGATTCTCTGTTCAGAAATTTTTTAAATGAGTAATTCTTAGCTTAACTGGGGTGGTAGGCATGGTGGGGAAATGCCTAGAATAAGAAATGTACTGATGAAAACATGCCTTGCATAAAAGGTTGAACTAAGGTTGAAAAAGGTTGAACTAAAAAAGAAAGTGGACGACAGTGTGTACCTGACTCTCCCATTTATAGAGTCCTGCACTTGAAGCAAAACAGACTTACCTCATCGAGTTAAAAATATAAAAGATACAGCTGATGCATAAAAAAAAAATCCAAAAGCACAGCTTAGAACTATGGCTCCTCCACTGTGCCACCTCAGACAGAGACTAGCATCCACACTGCGGTCACAGAAGGAAGTGCATAAGCACTTTCCCTAAAGGTAACCTGCCCTTGTCTCTCCCTCAGTCCTGTGCTTCCCTACTTCAGCACCAACAGACACAACTATGTAACTGCATGACGAAGTCCACTAGATACCATGTGTCTGGGACATAAAGTTACAACAGGACTGAAATGGGTATGACTGAGGAAAGTTTAATGACTGAAGTGAGCGGTCTCAAAGGGAGAATCCAGCTTGTCCTGGAAAGAACTGTGCGGTTGAACCATATAAAACTGTAGTTTTTTGCAGGTCAAAATGGTGAAGTATGATACCTGGTTGAACATATTATTAAAATGTGAGTCTTCCAAATTACCCAGATTTCCTTATGGGAACACATGGAAGGAAGGAATGATCTAAAAAGGCAAGCTAGGACAGCTAGAAGACGCTAGAAGCGATACTATCAAGGTCTGTCCAAATAGAATGTCCATGACAGAGGCACCTCTGTGATCTTGGGTTGCCCTGACTAAAAAGCACTATCACTTAAACACAACCAGCCACAAATCTACATAGGGATTTAACAACTTCTATTTTTTATTTTATTGCTGTTGTCGTAATAAAATCCTTACCGTATGGTGAGTTCCAGTATTTGAGCAAGTCGATCATGAAGCAGATTTGCCTACAAAGGAGAAGAAAAATGTTTAAGAATGGATTTATTTCCCAAATAGCTATCTACTACTAATACAAACGTAATTTAAAGGACAAAGCATGAGTGCAACTATGAAGAAGGTACGAGTGCTTTCATGTTTTGGCTTCCTCTGTACCAGCCACTGGAACTTAATGTCAAGTTTCTCTTTCATCCACTTCCTCGTCTCACTGGGAGAAACAGCCAAGAGACACATAAACAAAATACCCACAGCTAAGTCCCTGAAAGCCACTACACAAAAGGCACCACAGCAACTGCAATCCTCGACATTCAGTCTGGGAGCTGCTGTCTCCATGGGCTCGTACTACACACACAGATCACCGAGGACTCCCGGCCAGGCTGCCAGGGTTTTCAGTCCCCACCTGATACATTCCCGCGTGTTCTGTGGATCTGCATAAAGTGTGGAACCTACCAACTAATGACCAAGAAAATGTCCACAGAATCAAACTTTCCCCACATCCCCTTTACCATCTGTTCACTTACTTTGGATTCACACTGTGCTGCTATTTCTTCAAAAGGTGCTTTCTGGAATTTCTCTATCACAAGACGCCTCTTTTCCTTTTCCTGTTCTTCCATTCCACTGGTATCTATATAAATGTTTACAAAGACCCAATAAAGGGATTACAGATATTCACAGAACCCTGCCAGTGACCTTAAAAGCAAACAGTCTATAAATCAAAAATAAAGGTAATTTATAGCACTAGTTTTAAAAGGAAAAAAGCAAAAGACTGAACATCCCCCAAAATGTTGAGAGAGGCTAGAGAGTAGATACACAAAACATTTTTTTAATCTAAGGGTTAAAGCTACACAGTACAAGATCCTTTCTCAAAAACTACCTTTGTCTCTCTTCTCAAAAAAGCAAGAGCATGACAATTTGCTGCAAGCCAAATAACTTCAAGGCCTCACCTGAAAGATGATTCTTCTATGAATATTCATGCCCTGGTACACCAGATACTAAATTAAAAGTCTGCTGAACTTGATACTGAATGGCACAGCAGAAATAAAGAGCCATTTGGAACCTCCTGTTTTAGCCTTTTGCATTTATTTCCAGTTTGAAAAGACATGTTTTATCTTAAAATGATGTATGGCCTGACCAAAGTTTGTGAGATAGTAAAATAAATGCCTGTCTTGATACTACAGATCTAAGTATGAACGTCTGCTTAAGAATATGGAAATAGACCTACTTTATGGCTTACTTTTTAATGGTCTACTACAACCCCCAGCAAATCTTCAGGTTGTCTTTTTAGGTTTGTTTCCTGGTCAAGAATTTCATAGGATGAAATGCACTGTGTTCAACATTCTTTAACCCAGGCTGCTTTTCAGGTACAAAACTGTAGGTTACAAGTAAGTAGTTTAAAAAGGTGAAATAGAAATAGCAGGTAGAAAGCAAATAGACTATTATATATTTTTCCTTTGAAACTGTGAGAGGTTAACAAAATTGAAGAATTTATCCACTTCTGAATGACTAATAGAGAATTATGATCACCTCTCTGTTCTTCACTAGACCAGGGTAAGCAGCTGAAATGGCCAGAGGCCAGGCAGGACACATAAATGTTTACATTAGGTCAGGTAAAAGCAGTAGGAAATAAGGGAATGTGGACAAGATGAGGCAGATACATTCTGGTCTTATGTCCATTCTGATGATCCTTCCAACTAAATCTGGCCTGCAGGCAGCCAAGTCTGTTTGCCATGTTCTCAAGCTTTTTGGGTTCAAGAGTCCTTTACATACTTGAAAGTTATGAGAAAACCAAACTGTTACATCCACTGATATCTTCCATATTATAATATAAAACTGAGAAACTTTAAAGACATTTAATTCCTTTAACAATCATTCATTTTTGAATTATGAAAGGATTATATGTTAACATAAGTAACATTTGTTTAATGAAAAAATGATCATACTTTCCGAAGTAAAACTCAGTGAGGAGAATGGCAGTGTTTTATATTTCTACAAATCTCTTCAATGTCGTGGCTTAATAGAAGACAGCTGGATTCCATCTGCAAATGCACCCAACCCACTGCAGTGTGTTATTTTGGGTGAAGTATATAAAGAGAATCTAGCATGACAGAGAGATGTACTGGGGGAAAGAGCATTTTAATAGCCTTTCACAGAACTGTGGGTATTTTTTCTTGGACATTACAACACAATATGAAAAGTAGTAGTTTTCTTAAAAGTTAGCTGTAATACAAAATTTGAAATCTTACTAATGAACTTTTTTAACTAACTGGTTATGGTAAAATCTATTGGTCTACTTTACACTTTGAATAATCTGTATTTAGGCATTATTTTGTAACATCATGCAATGATCATGTGGAATACTGATCCAGTGATTTACACACGTACATCTAAATGTGGACATGTTTCATTATACAGTATTTCTTCAATCATATTTGGCAGGTACTACCACTGACTGCATTAGAAGAATCTAACATTCATCTCATTAGAAGTATTTAAATATTTTTTAAATTAACATATAATGTATTATTTGCTTCAGAGGTACAGGTCTGTAGTTCATCAGTCTTACACAGCTCACAGCACTCACCATAGCACATGCCCTCCCCAGTGTCTCTCACCCAGCCACCCCAATCCTCCCACCTCCCTCCCCTCCAGCAACCCTCAGTTTGTTTCCAGAGATTAGGAATCTCTTATGGTTTGTCTCCCTCTCTGGTTTCATCTTGTTTCATTTTTCCCTCCCTTCCTCTGTGATCCTCTGTCTTGTTTCTCAAATTCCTCATATCAGTGAGATTATATGATAACTGTCTTTCCTGACTGACTTATTTAGCACAGCATAAGACTCTCTAGTTCCATCCCCATCGTTAGAAGCATCTAAATATTTGGGTGCTGCCAAACTCACAGCGGCAGACAAAAGTCAAAATTTTAATTTTGTTCAGAGTGCAAATTTTATCATTAGAAGCAAATGCAGTGCCGACGGTTTTGTTTTTTCTCTTGGGAGTCACAGCTTCGTTTATTTTCCAGAAAATGCCTACCAAATACCATATGTTTTCTGTCAGTCTTTTTTTTTTTTCTTGCTTTCTGAAGTAAAAACGGTGTTCCTCATAAAAATCGACTAGTTCTGGGGCACCTGAGTGGCTGAGCTGGGTAAGCATCGGACTTGATTTCGCCTCAGGTCATGATCTCAGGGTCATGGGACTGAGCCCTGTGTGGGGCCTGGCACTCAGCGAGGAGTCTGAGATTCTCTCTCTCTCCCTCCCTTTGCCCCCTTGACTTGTGCACACTCTTTCTCTAAAATAAATAAATCTTAAAAAAAAAACTGGGTAGTTCAGCTTGCAAATCAAGGCAATCAAAGAAGTGTTTTATGTGTACTTCCCAAAGATATGTACTCATGGGTTGAGATTTAATAATTTATATTAAGAGTATTCCTAAATAAAATCTCATTTACAAAAAGCTGTGTGTGTGGTGCTAACGACTATGATCACTGCTAAAGGAGTGTGATGCTGCTGCCTCCTTCACTCGTGCTAATCGATGCAGTATAAAGGCTAACAGTGTCTTTACACTGTTATGCAATGTTATAATGAAAATATTTTTTGCTTGAAGGATCCCCTGAAAGAGCCACCACAGGCTACTGGGGCCCAGAGAGGCACACTGTGAGAACCACTGCCCTAGACTGTAAATTTCCCAACATGTCCTATTCTTGTTGTGACTATTATTTTTAAGTAGGCTCCATGCCCAACATGGGGCCTGAACTCACAACCCTGAGATTAAAAGTCACATGCTTTACCAACTGAGCCAGCCACACACCCCATGACATGCCCTATTAATCTTTAAATGTCTCAAAATATCTTGTATATAATGGGTGTTCAAATTGCTTACTGAATTCAATTAATTTTATTTTGGTAAATTTGACACTGTATCACATAATTTAAAAATTCTCTAATGGATTAAGCTGATAAAGGTCAGATTTTATTTTACGCATGATGGGTGCTAGCACTCTACTTTTCTTGATACTAATTTTCTTATTCTAACAGCTCTGAAAAAAATGAGAGTCATCTTCCACCATATATTGCTTTACCAGTTAGAAATGAATTGAGAACAAGGTATCATTAGCCTGGCAGTAAATTTATATCAATACTTAATTGAAAGAACCATTTAAAAATTTTTAAAAAGAGGCAAATCATATAAAACTTATTTCCATAAGGGCCAAAGGAGAAAAAAATCAGAGTAGTATTTTTGCAGTGTGAACAGATTAGTCAGTCAAATGTGGGTATAAAATCTGGCATCAGCATTTACTAGCTACGTGACCTGAGGAGAGTTTAATTTCTATGCTCTGATGTTCTCACTGATAAACCTGCAGGAGTTAACACGGTCCTCTATCATGTCTACCTGCTAACAATCTCAGCCAGCTCCCTTCTCCTACCCCATTAGAAATATGCTTCTAGGGGCACCTGGGTGGCTCAGTGGGTTAAGTCGCTGCCTTCGGCTCAGGTCATGATCTCAGGGTCCTGGGATCGAGTCCCGCATCGGGCGCTCTGCTCAGCAGGGAGCCTGCTTCTCTCTCTCTCTGCCTGCCTCTCTGCCTACTTGTGATCTCTGTCAAATAAATAAAAATAAAAAAAAATAAAATTAAAAAAAAAGAAATATGCTTCTAATTACACTATTGTGTGCGTGTTAAAAGCTACACTAGGGGCACTTGGGTGGCTCAGTGGGTTGGGGCCTCTGCCTTTGGCTCAGGTCATGATCCCAGGGTCCTGGGATCGAGCCCCGCATCAGGCTCTCTGCTCAGCAGGGAGCCTGTTTCCTCCTCTCTCTCTGCCTGCCTCTCTGCCTACTTGTGATCTCTGTCTGACAAATAAATAAATAAATAAAATCTTAAAAAAAAAAAAAAAAAGAGCTACTCCATTTAATTCACTCAGAATTATTCAGAATTTTCACCCCCCATCTCCTACAGAAGGAAATATGCTATTTCTCAGGTTCGAGCACTCTGCATGTTGGCCATCTTAAGTAAGTGTGGCACTAAAATACACTGGCGCCTTTCATAATTCCAGGAAAGTCACTGTTCAGAGAAGAACGGCCTACGATAAGACAGGACAAGTATAAAAGTCTAAAAAACGTAGCTGAATAAATCAATTACAGATCTATGCAGAAATGCCATGCTGCTTGTTTATTCTGGTACCTCACCAAGTACTAAGACAAGAGATAAGCTAGCAAATCATTAGGAGAGTTAACAAAAATCTCACCAATTGCTTTCTTCAACGCTTCAAAGGTGATTTCTTCAGTGTTATTAACCTAGAGAAAGGTGATTTTAAGAGTTAAGAAAAGTCGATATAAATAATACCTTCAACTAGTTACAAGTCATCTAAGAACGCCTACAATTGTTTTTCTTCTTTGTGCTGGCTGGATCTGGGACTATCCTCCATAGTATCAAATAATCTCCACTTCCTCCTTGGCTGAACCAGTGGCCTACTGCAGGGATTAATGTGGGCCTGGCAGAATCAACCACCACTGAATTACAGAACTCGATCTCCTCTCATGGGATATGCAACAAGGTCTGAGTCCCACTGGCTGATCTAGGCTTCCCAAGTGAAGAGTGCTTTGAGATATTCAAGGCAGAGAAAATATGTAAATATAGTACAGCTATGTAATACATGAAAACTAAGTACTCTATACCCTCTGTAATTTTGGTGCCGTATACAGTTTACAAATAAAAAATAAACCGAAAACTTTAATGGTTTAAAAGCAAGAATCACCACTTCTTTGGGAAGTGTCCAGTGAGTACAGTTAACATCTTAATCATATTCTGGGTCTTCTAAGGTAAACTACCTACACTTATTTTCCAGAAACACCCTTTAATAAAAAGCTTCCCTCCTTTCTTGCTTTGAGATATATAAAAGGTATGAAATCAACAGCTTTATGATAAAAAATCAGTAATAGTTTTTATGGCACCAGCACATTTTCAGGGGGAATAATTTACATAGTTACCAAAGTATCTCTGAATAGAAGTTAAGAAATGATACCTGAGTACTTGCCTGGGCCTCTGGTCATCCCTAATTTTAGCTCATGAGCTTCTTTTGCTAAGTCTAAGGCAGCAAGACTAACGAAAGCAAGACTTCGTGCTTTGCACCTTAGCTTCTCTGTAATACAAAGGCTTTAGCTGGAAATGAAGCAGCAAGAGTTCCACTACCTCAGTTTCTCTACTGAGGGTTCATATTTCTAGTTGAAGTCAGATTAAACTTGGGAATCTTCAGTTGCTTTGTTCTAGATATTTGGAGCAGACATATAGGATTAGGCTCTGGCTCATTAATTATTTGTACCTAGCAGTAGTCTAATACCTCAATGAAAAAAACCCACTGGTTAGGGGTTTTAGACATTTGAGAAACAACTACAGTACAGCGAAAAGAACACAGAAGAACTATGAGGCCAGCCTTCTTGTTACACATAACTGTTAATTATTACCTATTCAATCCCAGGTAAGTGAAAATTTAAAGTTCTTTATTCCAAGAAGTCTTCTCTATTGGTTTGTGTTTTCCCTAATTTGGAGGACCACGATGCAGTCACTCTGTCCCTCTCCTGTCTTGCTTTTAACCTTCTTTCTCAGACTCCCTTTCAGTCACTTCCTGGTCCTGCCCATCCGCTCTGGAACAGGCTACTGCTCTCCGGCCCCTTTCCTTATCTCCAGCCTGGCTACTGCAGGTCCTCCTTATGCAAACTGTATGCTATTAAAAGGAGCTATTAGCTGGCCTCTCTACCTCTGGCCTCTTTTTTTGCAGTTTAGCCTGGCCACACTTCCAAGATTCCTTTCACGAAAGCACTGTCCCAGTAATGACACTGCCCAAATTTCAGTGTTTCCTTACTTCCTGCCAAATTACACACAAAGCCCTCAGGCAGGTGATAAAACCTTCTATAATCTGACTTCAATCTTGTTTCCCGCTCTTTCCTTTTGTCAATCCTATTTAAAAAGGAAAAAAGACCAACTGCTTTATATTAGTGTTCAATGATTCATATTTTTCAGAGTGTAGCTGTTAAATATAAGACATCTACTTTATTTGGTGCCCAACCAAACTACAGTCTGGTTGCCTCTCTAGAACACCACTTGTGTGCTCTGGAGAAATGATGCAAAGGCGCCAGCCTCGAGGAATTTCAACAATCCTTTTACTCTTGATGACTTTTGCCCTTATTCATGATCTATAACTCTAGCCTAGACTGTACAACACCATTGAGCCTACATAAGATCTGTTTGTCCTTTTCCCATCAGGCTAGTTGTTATGTTGCTTCCACTGATATCTTACTAATTTTATAGCACCTAGGAGAGCAGCTTCTAACTAATACTACACTAGACTTGTTTTGTTATTAGCACACATGCAAGCTTCTTTACTCGTATTTGGGAAAAGGCAGGAGTGTATAAATAAATGACAATTTATTGTTCTAGAATAATGACAATTCTTTTTAGCCAACCGGTAACTTAATTTTGTACAAAGAAAAATTCAATATGCACTCAAAATATTTTATGTCTAGTATGTATAGCCTCCCATCCATTCCCCAAAATAATCAAACACTATTACCTTTTAGAAAGAAGAAATGAGTGGTGATTTCAATAGACTACAGTAACAATCCGAGTCATAATTAGGGAAAACAGAAGTTTGCTATGATCTTATCTAAACATTCTGACTTCTAAAAAAGAATTTTATAAGGACTAAAAGCAGATATTGGATATATCTGAGGACTAATCAGCATTATGCATTTAAAATTCCACATAATTTTGATCAAATACAAGAGTACTGTGTTTTTTAAATGAGCAATTCTCTTATATGATTTATTGTTAGCAAATACACTTATTCATAGTTTGATATTTTGTTAAACCATTAGCCGGTGAACACTTAACTGATGTGAATTTCTCCTCTCCATGCTATGAAATTAATTAGTTCTGAAGGTAATGTTGTTTTGTCTTCTGTATGCAAAATCAGATTACATAATGGTGAATGAGTTTGAAACTCCAATATGCTTAAGTAAATCTTATAATAAACTATACTCAACTTCTCAAATGCTCAAATATGTGCAGCATATTTGACTTAGGGCTTACAGCAAAGAGAAAACAGGGTCTTTAATAAGTTAAATAGTAATGTACTTTTTTAAAATTTAATTTTATTTTTTCAGTGTTTCAAGATTCAATGCTTATGCACCACACCCAGGACTCCATGCAGTATTAATGGACTTTTAATTGCAAAATGTACGTTTAAGAATCTTCTTCCTGTATTAAGTCTACATACAAATGTTTTCTTCAGTTCATTTTACCAAAATAGACTGATTTGTTTGCAATAGCTTGAAGTGCTATATATATACATATATATTTTAAATAAAAATAGTAAACAAAAGGAGAATGGAATACCACTCAATAAAATTCTTTGTACTCTTGATAAACTGTAAAAACTAAAGCTTTAGATTAACCCCCTAAAAGTAACAGCAGCAAATTCATAATCATTAAAATAGAGAGCTAGTACAATACTCTCCTGAAGAGTAAAATGTATATAAATTAAAATGGCTTTCAAGAGGTGAATTTAAGGAAGATGATTTTTCTTGAGCTTTAAACTGGCAAGAAACTACACCCACCATGTTTCAAAATGAACACTAACTGCCTCTTAACTGCTCTTGACACTACGCTGATAATTTCTTAATAAAACTGACAGGTTCTACTTACTGGGAGTGGAACAGCCTAAAGGATGTAAGCTAGTCCGCTTGAACCTTGCCACCAAAAAGCTGTAATTCCTGAAGACTGACAGGGATTGGGGAGGCGGGGGGGGCTGTAACACCATGAATTAAGACAAATTCCTTCCCCTTTTCTTAGATGGATAATCTCTTAAATTATTTATACTATACCATGGGAAAGAATGAAAAACCTAGGAAGGCAAACAAGAGATGAACTTCAAGGAGGAGGCTGACGTGACACCCAGGTACTTCCGCATTTTTACTAGCCCATCAAAAACTTCTCTGGTGATTTGTGCAGAGTAACTCCTAGACAATACTGGCTGTTTTCCTCTTCCTAAAACTCAGGTACACGTTTGTGCTTATTAAACAGGAGGAGAGCATCAAACCTCTGACATTTCAGAAAAGTCACAGTCCTTAAAGATTAGTAGGGCACCGATACACTGCAGCCTTTATTAAATCCATTACAGCTACTATTAACAATAAAAAATACACCCTCCCAGATCAGGCTCTGAAAACTTCCATGGAGTTTGTACAGTTCCCTTTATTCTCATAATCTGTTTCATAAATCTTCAAAAATAAATAGGATTTGGAGAGCCACCCGTTTAATAATAGGCCTTACATAACATTTCTTACTATTTTTAAAAAAAGTCTGTTTCGGTTCCTTTTATTACACTAAATTACAATATAAAACCTAATGACCTCAAAACATAATGTTACGTTTATGTATCTTTACTGAGTGCTGACATGAGTTTAGTAAAATAAATAAAAAATAAGCTCAAAGCTAAATCAGATTAATGGCCACTAATAGGACTGTTCATCTGAGGGATGATTTACAGTTACATTTGTTTCTGGTTTGAAAGTATGGAGGGGCAAAAAGTTCTTTTAAATTTATGTCTATTTCACGAAAGTACCCCGCCATACACTTCCAGCAACTTACCACGTCATCAGAAGGAATGCTGTTGGGTAAAATATCCACCTGAATGGATACGGTGTCCACAATACTTTTTCTTCTAGAAAGTCGATCTTCATCTAAAATCAAAATGGTTTTTCCCCGTTACTTGCTAGTTAGAAACGGTATGTCATTTAAAACCTCTACTTATTTCAGATTTCAAAAGATCTTAAAAAATAAAGTTTTCTTTTTGTTCTTTTTAAATATAAAAAGCATTGTGTTCTCAGGCTTTTAAATTTCATCAAGCAGATTAAAAAAATAGAACTGATGGGGTGAACTAAGGTTAAGAGTTTTATTTTCCAAAAAGGGAAATATTACCACTTCCCTAACAGTTTAAGAAAAAATAAAACAAAAGTCAACAGCAAAAGGAGGAATTACATAATCTAAAATGAATATATCCATTTTTACTAACACTCACTATATTGCCGTTATATCTCTCATTTCTCCCCTGAACAGTGAAAGCTGTGCGCTAACTGTGGATCCAGCACAGGAACCTATGTCTGCTAGAGTTTACCACGCACCACATTTGCGGACTGAAAGGATCTGTTGCTTCAGTCAATAGCTCCTTCTCTACCCTTTCCAGCCATTCAACTCCACTGGCTCAGCTTTTGCTTAAGTCAACCACCAGTCCGGAAAACCTTGCTCTTCACTTAAAGGCTCTAGCTAATTTACTTTCTTCCCACTTTTGCAAACGTGCTTGGTCTGAACCAAATGCTCTATATATGTCTCTATCTACTCTTCTTAATCCCTGCAGTTACAATCCTGCACTTAACCACTCTTCCCAAAAGAGTGTGTGTCTTCCCACCCAGTAAAGTTCAACAGCTATTCCTAGGCCCACTTTATGCTTAACCATTTTGTGGAAATTTGAAATTTTTTTATTATAATCTCCTCCCACACATTTTCTTTTTTTTTTTATTTTGATTTTCTCCTTCCACATTCAACAAATCTATTAAGTCATTAGACACCATGTTAGGTCTTAGGGACAAACTGCTGGAATGTAGTCCATACCAGCTTATAGTATAAGAGATAAAACCCAAAATAAACAAATAGTTACACAAGTAATGAAGGTCTTGGAGAAACACAGGGTGCTAGAAAAACACCTCAATAGCTATGATTTCATCTAAAAAAAAAGGAAGTAATACTTTATGTATTCCAATACAGAGAGTCAAGAGATTTATTCAACCACAGTTGAACTTGACAAGTACACTTTCTCTTCTGAGCTCCAGTCCAGTATTTCCAATTTCTTATTAGTCAACTCTACTCAACATGTTCTAAACCCAACTTTAACATCTCTAATAAACCATCTTTATGTCACACTGCCCTACTTTCAAGAGGGCCATCATTAAAATTCTGCATCTTTTTTGCCTGAATTCTTAGGATAGCTTCCTACCTGTTCTATTTGCTCTCTCCCTTATATTTTGCTAATAATGTTATCTCAGAAGTAAATCATTTTTAGTCTTAATTATAATTCTAAACAAATACGGCCCACATACTGATACAGAGAGCCTCTCAAGCTTTTACAATTGGGTTTAGAACACGCCAGAGAAAACTGGAAGAGGCTGCTCACACTGTGGGCTCTGACTGCCCAGCCCCCAAAGAGCTACTAGAAGGGCTAAGGAGATCAGTATGCGGATACATGTGGAATGTTCCCTACAGCAGCTGGGAAGCTCAGCTCTAGAATCTATGACTGACAGCACAGTCACTTCACAATCTGGCAACACCCCATCTTTCTAATCCTATTTTATACAAACTGTGATCGTCTTCTACGGCAGGAGTCAAGAATGAAGAACTACAAGAAGGCCAGCACAAATGGAGAAACTGGTTTCTTACTGACCACTCTTCTACTCACCGTAGCTGTCCATGGTGGTTATTAATGCTGGTGATCAAATATGGTTGTTCACCCTCTTTCAAGGCAGAGAGGCCTGCAGTTGCAGCTTCTCTGTGGTTTAGAAGGACTACGTAACTAGTTCTGGCCAATAAAGTACAAGCAGTATTCAGACAGCAGCTGCTCCGTCAGCCTGGACGATGGAGTATCTGGAATATCATATCTGGAATCTCCATCATTCCAGATATGGATGCTATGAAGCTATGCACGGTTAATTTGAGTAACAATTTACTGCTTTAAACCACTAAGCAACTATGATTGTTTGTTATCACAACTTAACTTAGCCAGGGTTAAATCCTGGCACTACTAATATTTTGGGCCAGATAATTCTTGTGGTGTGTGTGGGGGGGGGTTCTGTGTATTACAGAATGTTTAGCTTCTACCCACTAGAAGCCAGTAGGGCTACTCCACCTCTCCTTGCCCCACAGTGGTGATAACTAAAAACGTCTCCAGGACTGATAAATGTTTGCTGGCATGGGCAAAATCACCCTCAGATGAGAATCACTGACCCAGTCCATCCCGACAATAGCAATACTATAATACTACAATACTACCATACTACCTATATGCCACCATCATTTTTTTTTTTTTTTTTTTTTTTTTTTTTTGCCACCATCATATCTTAAATTTCTTAAAACACTAACCACGTCACTCCACCAACCTACCTACTTCTTGATGAATTAAAAAGCCATTCTGGGGTCTCTGGTCAGATCTTACCAACAGCAATTTCAACCACTCCCTAATTTATCTAATGTTTAAGTAAAATGTGCTATTCTCCCATCTCTGAGCACGCTTTTGGCCTCCTGCCTTCCATGCTTTTCTAGAAACAGAAACCCCTATTGGGAACAGTTTATTACTTGCCCTTCTTTACATCCTCCCACTATATAAATTCTCACATCTTTTAAGGCTTAAATGAGTATTATAATAGTTCCTTAAAATTTTAAATATTACTGTAATTATTTCCACTTATCCCTCTTTCTTCCAGACACAAAAACTTACTATCAGTTATGACTGATTTTCCCCTATCACCCTTCCATTAATACCACCCTTCAAACATTTCCTGGGCCTTGTACTAAGACATGTAATTTAATGCCTTATCTTGGCAATCACAGCAGGAATTCAGTGATAAACTCTCTGCTTTGCACCTACCACATAGGATTCACTTGGATTCTGCTGTAAGAAGGCTGGAGGTATGGATGAATACCTATTCAACTGTGACACATCAATACAGATTGCTCAGCTATGGATTTCAGATTGAAAATACTTCATCTCCTGCTTGTGTCTATGACTACAACCTAGACACTGTGTCCTTTGCTTCCTCGTGATCATATGCTTTGATATAAATTACCAAACATAATGACATCAATGGAGCTGCTACAAAGTAGTATGTGCTCATCAATGCCAACTTGCTTTTATCTTCTAAGCTGGTCAACTGTCGAGGCCTCATCAGAACTCAAAATGAGGAATAATAGCCTGTTTCTCACAAAAAAAAAAAACCAGCATAAAAGGATTTCTAGGGTAACATACAAAGGCTGATGGGTAGCACAGAAGAGTCAGCTTTAAGTCAAAGATAAAAATAAAAGGGGAAGAGAGACATGAGGGCAGGAAAGGAATCACTGGGTGGCAAAAATCAATGAGAACATATTCCAGAGGAAGTAGATTTAAGAAGATTAAAAATTTTTAAAGGGAAGAAAATAAAGCCTAATGGGAAACTCTAATGTTATATTCTCAGAACTTTATTCTTTTGACCTATACAATCACCTGCTTACAGCAGTCAAGCAGAAAAGCCCAGGTACATCTATAATCAGATATCATGGACATCTACTCGAACGTAAGGTTTCTAAAATAGAGCTTATGCACTTAATGCCCTTGGTTCCCATGGGCCACCTATGTCTGTTCCTGACCTGCTTTTCCAAGCCTACTGAATGCAGCCTCCGTGGACTATACCATTCTGCTGTCTAGAGAACTGCCTTGTCACCATCTCAGTGTCTGATTTATACAAGCTCTGGGGAGACTGTTGTTTCTCACCCTTAAAATGGGCCAGGGTAGTCCCAGACACTGCTTGCTGTGCCCTTACCACTTTCCCATCCCTCCTCCTGCTCTGCGTCCTGTGTCTGCTATTCACAATGGTGACCATCATCTCTTCTTATTGTTTCTAACTAGAACCTGGAGTTTAGAAGCAATTCTTAGAGCTATGCTCATTACGACCTCTGAACTCCCACACAAAACCCAACTCTGACTCTTAACTGCCTATGAGGCACCCTACTTGGCTGCTCACTGTCAAAGATACTCAGCAAGAGGCTGATCCCCTAAACCAGCCACTTTTTCCTATTCATCTCCGTTAATAAAAACTCCATCCTTCTATCATCGAAGATCCAAAACAACATATAGACAATTACATCTGTTTGAAATACATTTTTCTTTCTTCACTTAAACCCTGTCATACCACCCAACTCTACCAAAAAAAAAAAAAAAAAAAAGGCAACTGAAGCAGAAAATATACTCAGCTCTTACCCTCACTGGTGTGCCTTCCACCTAAGCATCCAAGGCAGAAACCAAGACAAATCTTTGGTTATCTCCTGCTCCCTCATACCAATCAACTGCTTATAAATTCTTTCTTGTAGGTTTTCCTAGAATCTATCCACTTCTCTGCATTCTCACTCAGTGCAGGCCCTGGTCCTCTCTCCTGGAGATTACTGAAGAGCATTCTAAATGGTTGCTCCGTCTCCACTCTGCTAAAGCACCACCAAAGCAATACTTGAACAATGCTTAACCTGACTTAAAATCATTCCTTGACACCCCAGCGTTGCAGAACAGTACAAACTATGCAACTTCATTTACAATTCCCAACCCTACTCCTCTGATTCAGTCCAAGTACACTAATTTCATACTAATTCCCTGAAGAATCATGTTCTTACCTACATTCATCCTTTCACACATGTCATCACACTTCTGAAAGAAACACCAAACACCTGCTTCAGGCTCCTCCTAGGAATTGTTTCCTTTGGAAGACATCCCGTGCCCACCAAACCTGGACCACATGCTCTCCTACCTGCTGCCTGGGATCCCCAAACTTCTCTGATCATAGCCCTGAAGGTCTGCTTTAACCGTCCAGTTATTTGTCCTATCTGAGACAAACTGTGTTATGAATTAGCTTCTTTGCTATGTATCTGGAATAAAACTAGTAAAACGCCACCACGGGGGAACTGAGAAAACAGTCACTCAGATCATCTGTGCTTTGTGGTCCACATGAGGAACCCAGTTGAGAAAGACTATCAGTTCTGTGAAAGTAGAGACTTCTACCTATTTTGTCCATTCTTGTTTCTATTTGCACAGAAGCTGGAACTGTAAATACTCATAAACATTTAATTATACAAGTTCACTACAGTCACTGACACCTTGATTGGTCTAGCTGAGATATTACTCAGTATTACTGTACCCCTTCATGAAGGAATACTTACCACATGCCTAGACCTACACTATTCATTCAAGTTCTAGGTTCATTTGGGATAAACAAAAAATGCTACACCATCTTACATTTATGGGCCACTTACTATATGTTGGTCACCAACAGTTCAATAAACTTTAGGCAGACCACTCTTCTTTCCCTAGAACCACTACCATTATATTTCAATCATGTGTCCACCTTCTTCACCAGATTTTAATCCTTAACATCTTTTTACACTCAAAATCCACAACAATGCCTGGTATATAATAGGCACTCAGTGAAGGTTTATGGAATACATGAAAAAAACTGGATCTGTATGGATGACTAAACAATCTTTATGTACATGGAAAATAGCAGTGTTACCTAATCAAATTATTTAATTTCCACTTCATTACTCTCATTTTTAAACAAAGATACTACTACTACCTATTAACCTTCAAGGGTTAAATGAGAAAATGAATACAAGTGCTTGTCTCAGTGACTGGCACGGAGCTAATGCATACTAACTGACTGCTAATATTTTCATGATGACAGGTATATGCATGATACACGAGAAACTATGTTTTGCTTTTTCTTTTGATATAGTCTTCTTAAATCTCTTATGTTTAAAAATGAATATCTGATGGTTACACAACAACAACAAAAATTTAATAACCAATCGATTATACCATAAAGTATCACTATGTCTTCAGAATCTTTCTGCATTAAGGCAGGACGTATGTGCCACAGAGTAATTCTAAACTACTGAAGTTTTTAGAAATCAAAAAAGAGGAATTTCTATGCAGTTACATAATTAAATATATACTGATATATTCAGAATTCCTCCAGTCAATGATACAGAAGCACTAAGAATGAGAATACATCTATGTGGGCGGGGGGGAGGGGGTAGAACAAGCCATCTGTTAAAAAAACAAAAAGTACCATAATTTTCATTAAAAGTTGTTACTTGTTAAGAGTCCCATCTGCTAAAGAGTTAAAAGAACAGGGTAAAAGGAAACAAGAAGGGTGAAAATACACTACGGCTACTGGGAAGGTAAAGGGAAATAACCAATGAACTTATAACTACATAAAATATACGGGCCACTGGCTCCATTTCTAAAAGGCACATTTTATTAAGCTATTTTTCTAGAGGAAGGTGAGGGAAGGGCAGGCCAAACTGATACTTGGATTTACCTTTGTGCTTGTGCCTGGGTTTATGAGGTTTTCTGCCTGAAGGAAAGAGAGCTAAATCCAAATTATAAAAATGAAATATTTTTAAGGTCTTTTAAAAAAACTGTTTTAAATTACAAAACTGTGCTACTGTTTTGTTTTTAGCTCTTTTATATCCCCAACAAATTCATGAGGTATAGAACCTTTCGTATTCTAGAATGTAAAAGAAAATGCAAAAGCATTTATTAACATCTCAGAGCATTAGCATTATGAACTATCATGGTAATAAACATGTATGTTTTGGATCCATGTTATAAAAAAGATAGCTATTTACAAAGACTGTGCTATTTTTAGTGTTTAATCCAGAAAACTACCTAACTCAAACAGTTCTCATATAGTATCCCCAAAGCAAGAACTAGTTCTTCTACCAAATTTAATACTTATATGACCATGAAATGACAATAAAGACATAGGACAGAGAAACTCTGATTTTGGTTGTTAAAGTAAACACTGAATGCAAAACACCATGCAGTTTTGCCTTTAAAAACAATGCAATTATTTGAGGCAATGAAAAGAACTGAAGGAAATACATGGTGCACAGAGGAAAACACATTCTTGAAAGGTCTGCAGGCTTTTAACAGAACAGTCAGGGCTCTTTCCAGTGACAGCAGTTACCTGACATTCAGCTCAGTAGTCACAAATCACTCATTAAACAATTTATATGTATTTCCATAAGTCAAACACAATGTGGGTTAATGAGGAAAGATTTCTATGGGCTTCTCTGTTTGAAGTACACTAATATATTAAGTATAATACTAACAATCACTTAAGGACTCCATTTGCTGATGATAAAATCCATGAGATTTACTAAAGTTTTTCAAGAGCAAAATTTTAAAGTGAAACTAAAACCTCCTAAGCATTTGAAAAACTGTGGTAAAGTGTACAAACAATGAATTTTCAATGCTAACTGGGTTAATGGAAAAATTACCGAAATGTAATCACCAGAGTTAGAGTTCCAGTTACCCTCCTCTTACCTGTTACTTGCGGTACATATGGTACTGACAATCTCTCAACACTATAGCCGCTTCCGCCTAGTGACTCTGCAATCTTGTTGGTCAAAAAGTATAAATTTTTGTCATGCTTCTCTAAAGATTTTGGAAGCCTGTCGGGTTGATCAAAACAAAAGTCATTCAGCATTATTTAAATTACTGAGCAAAAATAAGTTAACATGCAGGCATGCTAGATCAAAGCCTAAATATAAATATATATACAATTTAAACTGTAATTAGTGATAGAAAAATCAGTGTATTTTTGGTGACCAATCTGACTATAAAAACACATGGTATATAGTCCCATATGTTAGGCATTCTGCTGTGATTCTTTCTCCAATAACGTTCCAACAGGGAAGTCAGCCTTTAATTATTCCGTGGGTATTCACACATTAAATGATGAAGAGGACTAAATTCAGCTTTAACCTTCATGCTAATTAAAACTCTAAGAGAAGAAAATCAAACTGCAGCTCAGTGATTGCTAATGAAACATATATCAGCCAGTGAAGTGATAGGAAGCACCTGCTTCCTATCCTAGACCCTCACGTGAAGGTCTACTTTCTAATCAAACTCTGATATCATCTTATACTGATGCTTTCACTATTACACTGCTTTTATAGCCCCAAAGTCTGAATAAAGTATTGTTCACATATATATTCTTGTTTGAAGAGCAAGGGAGAGTGCAGGTATAATACCGATTTTCCTTAATACAGTCTCTGTCCCACAATTTTGTGAATGCTGTTACCTATTACTGAAAGTCTTGACCAGGATATTGTATTCTCTTAAGAAATGCTTATTTATATATGAGAACATGCTATATTTAAGAGATATATCTCCATATTAAAAAAAGGTTAAGATAATTTTTTTTCACCAAAGATTGACTATGTGTATACATGAGTCTACACTTATATTGTATAAGAACTTTTATAGGAAGAGAAAGAAGTCAGATGCATTTGACAGAAATACAAAATATATGAAAATATGCTAACAACAGTTTACTCCATTATAATCATCACTGATTGGTTTCTCAAGCCAGTGTCCCTTCCTTAAAATGTAAAGAATTAACATACATGCACTTATCTCTGAAAATATGCTCTGGTAGAAAATAAGGGGCTTCCATAGTTCGGATTTCAATAACCTGAAAGATATCCAAAAACAAAACAAAACAAAAAATCAAAACCCTCACTCCTCAGGATTTGGCTCTGAAAATTTGGAAAACTAAAAACACAGAAATTAAACATTTATAAAATACCAGCACTTTATTTTGGAATTTAAGCTATGTTTAGAGCCCACATGCGAGTTCATTTTATTTTCACACTTATTATTTTAAAAATTCAGAAGGTAACAAAACTCCGACAATAAAATAAAACATGCAGTAAAAAAAATGTATTATATTTAATTGAACCTACTACAAAAGGATAAGAACCTGTATTTTCTCAAGTGCCACTATGTTGGAAGCCCCTTGACAAAGCCCAAGGCCGTGAGCACCCTTACTCTCCTCGGCCACCTTCTGTAGCGTGTGCGTGAGGTCTCAACGTACTTCTGAGGCTGGGCTCCTCTGCGCCACTGTGAGCAACTTAGAGGGGGCACTCTGCTTTTGCAATGGCAGGCATCAGACAGATAGTCACCATTTGTCTAATGAATGAATAAGTTCTATTTCTTGTAATGCACTAAAAGCCTACATTTAAGCATGGACTAAGAGATGTGCTTCAAATTTCAGAAAAATGAGGTTCTCCTTGACCAATAATCTTTAAAGAATAAAAATTACAGTGGACTTTCTCTGCCAGGTAAGTTAGAGGCTCTGAAATGCATATTAAATCGAGCAAGTAGCTACTGAATGAGTTATTGCTGAGGAAACTTGAACATAGTTGAACGACACAAGACAAATCTCTAACAAATGTTTTCCTGTGAGAGCTGGCTCAAGTAGACTGGCTTAAAGCAATAAATGAAATAGTATAAAAACTAAAAACAATTTACATACTGAGATTCATAATGGCTTAAAAGGAAAACAACCAGATAAGAATTCAAACGACATTCTAGAAGAAAACCATGCATTCCTTGACCACTACACAAAAAAATTCTAATAAAGGAACAGGCATCAAAGAAAATATACACACTAACTGTAGCTTTAGTTTAGTTTCAAAAGAGTTATTACTGAAAAAGTGATGCACACTTTTACAGCAGTATCTTTATAATTTGATACAAAATCATAATTTGATAGAAAATTAAAAATACTCAGCAGTGGAGGAAAATCAGCCATTTTTATATAAAAACCAAGTTGAAAGATTTTTTTAAACATCTTACCTTGCTAACATGTTGGCAAAATGCAGGGACAGCTATCATCTGACTTACAAAGTTGAGGTACGCCGCAACCAGAGCCATGATCCCACAGCGATGGAACATTGGCAAATTATCCTCATTGATAATTACACTGTCCTTTAATAAAAAACAAACATGGCTAACAGATCAAGGTCTTAGACTCCATTAGCGTTTTCTCTATGATTATACGGAAAAACTACAGGTCGTTTGAAGTGCTGATAAAAATGTTACCTTCTAAGAAGTTGTTTTTTAAAGAATTCTGAAAGGATAATAAATATCCATTTACAGGAGAGTTCAAGCTCTCAAATAGCTCTTTCTTAGGAAAGTCTTTTGGGAGGGGTGGAGGGGTTACACAAATATACACACACACATGTGTATATATATATATATATATATATATATATATATATATATGCACATGTACATATATGTATCTTGCACTCAAACATATATATGATATATGGTCCCATCACATAGTGTTCTTTGCACACTCCAATGAGATAGCTACATATGTAATGACTATGTAACGACCCTCTTCTTCACTAGACTGAGAGTATGGGTGGAGGGGCCATGCTGCCCCTCTTTAGAGTACTCCCAGGGCTCTGAGCAAATATGACACACAGCTGATGGTCACTCAGTATTTGTTAAGACAATGAGTATGATCATAACCTGAAGTATTTTTCTATTTAAAACTAGACACCTCCCTTTTAAAATTCATGTCCTTGGATAAAGGTAAAACCACTTTAAAGATGGTGTCTAGTTCATTAAAAAAAAGTTTTTTTCACTGAAAGATGACAAAAGCATACCTGTAAAGCAATAGCTAATCGAATGAGATCAATAACCACTTCCTCATTGGCCAATTCAATAGTTATAAGAGCAAGAGAAGTATAAAGTAGTTCATAGTTTTTCTGAACATTGTCTTCCTCTTTACAGCCCAAATATATGTGCCGATACAATTGTTGCCCATTCTGAAAAGGGAAATGACATTGAAAAAAGATGATTTTTGCTTAAAAAGTAGTGCAGGCAGATTTCATACACATATAACCTCTTACAAAGCAGCTCTTATTACAGAACTTAACATGGAAGAGAAACCTAAGCTAATAATCAGATGGTCAAATTGTATCCTAAGTTATCAACATCAATAAGTATGCTAATATACACAACAACAGCTAAGACAGAATGGAAGCATGAACGATAATTAAAAATAGCAGCTGAGAGTTCCAGTGTAAACAATGAAATGCTTTTAGTGATCATCTGAAAAGACAAAAGCAAATTACAGACTGATTTGGGAAAAGGCTGAAATGGCTGGCAGAGTTATGGGAGATACTTCTGCAATACCGCCTTGGCAATGAAAACAAAACAAACATTTGGCTAAGGGGAAATGTACTCAGGCTTTCCTGACTTTGGAGGCAATCTCCTGTGAGGTGGGTGAGGAGCTGTCCAGGGACAGGCACCTGCAGGTTCCACTATACTTGGGCTACAGTGACCAAAGGCAAGCCTAAAGCCTTATGCAAAGGAGTGGTTATAGAGATACTCCAGGGACTGCAAAAGGTTTCCCCCTAAACCAAATTAATCTAAAAATAGTAACACAGAAAGGAAGAGCCTTTCCTCTAAAGCATTCCGGGGTACAGGTCCAACTACTAAGTGAGAACTAAGAGAAATAAAAATGTGTTCTCCATTTAAAGTCACTATGTGACTTCATGTGGTTAATTACTATGTGGTAATTAAATCAACCTCTTGCATTGGTTCTCATCACTAATTGTAAGCTACAATCATTGATCAGCTGGAATGACCACCATGACACCTCCCCACTGCCCACCCTCAATATAATTTAGCTGGTTAGTGGTGAAGCCCAAGTATTTTTGAAGCACAAAGCTCCCCAGGTGATTCTACTATGCAGGCAGGGTTAAGGCTAGGGGCCTATTCACTCATATGTGGAGGGACTTCAGCTTAACCCCCTGGGCCTGTTTCTCAGCAGGTTCACCTTCCTGTTCACTTTAGGGGAAAGGACTGAACACAGTCTTCTGAATCCAGAGTTTGCTTCTCCCAAAAGTGTTTAACAACGGTCTATGTATTAGGCCCTCTCCAACCCTATTCTTGAATCCTATGGTTCCTAAACATCATTACATTAAAGCTTGCACACATGGAAGTTTAGACGTTAGGTCCCTTAAGTAATTCAAGTTGATTTTGTACCTACTACATACATACCCATCAGGTTAGACAACACTAAAATCTAACATTACTATAATAATATAGTGTAAGTTGGTGTGATGACTTCACAAAGTGGTTTGGAATGGTCTAATAAATCTGAGAAACGCATTACTTGCCAAGGCCTCTCCTGTAGGCCTTAGAGAAATGGGAGTTACATGCAGTACACTACGTGTACCAGAGTGTTCCCAGCAGCCTGTCTGCAGCAATTCAAATGCCCCCAGCAGGATAACAGATAGCCTGTGGCATATTCGTGTTATGCAATACTACACAGCTACGTATGTGAATAAATTTTACCACAATAGAGCTAAATGAAAGAAAACATAAAAGATCACGTAACATATGGTTCCTTTCACGCAAAATACAAAAACTGACAAAACTACACTGTATTGTTCAGGGATCGACAGATGTACACTTAGGTGGCAAACTGTAAAGAAAAAAAGCCAAGGAGTCCATTTTCATGAAAGCACGGGGATGACTACCTGCTGTGGATGACATGGAGCTGTGGAGAGGCTGGGCCTACACCATTATTCACCATGTGGGGGGCCTACACCATTATTCACTTCAGAGTAATTAAATAACCCATGCATTTTGTATTTCATAATAATTGGTACTTTTTTTTTTTGCTAAGAGATTCCCTGAATTGCTGAAACTGTTAACAAGAGCCCTTTCATCTGGTGATATTCTGTGAGGATTATAGCTTTGGGAGAGGAGCCCTGCCAGGTGAGACACAAGATACTGAGCAGCAGCGGCTTCCCCTGTACCTGTACAGCTTCATTAGAAAAGAAGATGTGAAGGAGCACCTCCCAGTGTAAACGGTGAGGGCCTCCTGCCCCCAGGACAGTCTTTCAAACATAGACCTGATGTCTATGGTATCCCTTAAACATTCAGATGGAGCAGTTTTAGGCTGGGTAGTACTATCCAAAGGGCAGTTCATCATCCCCTGACTACAGACCCCCAACTTTTTTTTGGTTAGGTCTTTGCTGAAATTTCCATAAGGTGCCAGTTAAAGTTGCCTAAGAAAACCAAACAGCATTTTGACTGATAGGATAAATTGGAATGTAAATGAAAAAGGGTGTCCAATTATAAAGATAAAATTTGATTTTAAAAAAATGAACAGATTGCACCAAAAGAAAAATATACCAAAAAGAAGTAGTTTATACTAACAGTAACAAATGCTTAGCCAGTTATTTCAAATTTTAAAATCGAAGGATAACTAATTTAGAGAACAACTTCAAGAATTCAAAATTTAACATGGAATAATAGTCCAATATTTTGGTTCAACTGGACCCTTTCAAAATTAGTTGGCTAGCAAAATTAAGGAAAGAAAAGGATTATTTCTATCACTGTCATACCAGATAAAATAAAATGAATCCATTCCCCAAATTCAGTATCACGTAATGTCATTATATAAAGTCAAAACCTACAAGTTAGTTATCAGTGAGTTTTCAAATTTCATTCTACTAATCATGATTAAAAGTTCTTCAGTTATGAGAAACAACTTCTTTCACTAACTGGATAATATAAAGGAATACTGAAAAAAATAAAAGTTGGAAAAAGCTAGAATGCCTTTGCCCTACTTATTAACCACTTTTTTCATACACAATTGAGCCAAACTTAAAGAATTATTTTGTTCACATTAATTTAGTAAATGTTATTTTATAAATCATTTTTCAAATGAAGTTTTAAAAGTATGGGGACATTAACTTGAAACACAGCAATCAATAGTAATAGAGGAAAATAAAAGATGGTGACAGGGACAAATCATGGTCTAGTAATGAGCCAAAAAAGAAAACAGATTATAGATATCTGCACCTATCTTCCTATGGGGCTCTCTATCTGTTATTCCTTGCAACCCTACAGACCACGGCTCACTTATCCACCAAGACTGGGATTATCTTGAAACCAGCTGGCATGTGTGTCGTGGATACTGCTGTATCTCTCAATGCTGAGCTCAGAATCTGGCAAATACTTGGTGCTCAAGCTTTGGATGAAGAATACACAGAAAGATTATTCAATATGTTAAATTACTTTAGGTGTCATGATTTTCTAAATTCAGCCACTTGCCAACAGACGTACAAAATTCAACTGATCATAATGAAAATTTGGCTACATATTACGTTTAAGGGCAAAGATCCTGCCTACCTCATCTTTATATCCCAAATAATGACAGAACAATGCCAAATACACAATAAAAACATAAAACACTCATTATATTTATATATTTAATGGTGATAAGTATTTTCAAAAACTTGAAGCCATTAAAAGTAGAATCAGTGTGTTCGCCTGGGGTGGAGAGGAGTGCAAGACAGAAATTACAGGAACTTCTTACTCAAAAGAACTCAGAACTATTGCAGCATCCATCCACCAATGCTTAAACATAGGCTGGAAGAGACACTGTCAAGAACATTGTGGTAATGTGAGAAGGCTAAAGACAGCAGACTGAGATTTCCAATGGCGCAAAATTCAATGGCTTCCTTTTAAAGTCACAGGATCAATATAGAAACTACTTAACAATTCAAATAGCTATAACTTATATCATACCTTATTTTTAAGAAAATCATCCTACCTTTTTCATGAAACTTGTATCTTGTCTACAAATTTTTTCTCTTTTTATCTTTAGGTCAGCTACATCTGGTATTATTCTAGAGACAACACATAATTTTTAATGAATAGCACATTTAATTATAATATCATGTCTTCTTAGGCAAATCATAGTTATACTTAGGAGTTTGAACAATATAACACATTTCAATGAGCATTTGAAATAAGCCTGTATGTAATGATACTACTGAATTACCAAGCTCAATTAAGAGGAATGCATAAATTCATCTTGACTCCTGTCATTCCAAAGTTTAAAGCAAAATCAAAATAAAATTCATGTAACTAGTAACTACTTGTAGATGAGACCTCTGAAAGTACATTAAATGATCTTCAAACATTTGCTATCTTAAAATATAATAATTTATCTAATACCAATTATTATTATTATTTTTCTCTTCCAAAGATCTTATTTATTTGACAGACAGAGATCAAGTAGGCAGAGAAGCAGGCAGGGGTGGAGGGGGGGCAGGCTCCCTGATGAGCAGAGAGCCGGATGCGGGGCTCGATCCCAGGACCCTGAGATCATGATCTGAGCCTAAGGCAAAGGCTTAACCCACTAAGCCACCCAAGCACCCCTATTTAACACCAAATAAATAAAACTTTGAATAAAACTTAAAACTCTTAGATTAAAAAATTACAATACTTGAATACATTAATGTGGGAATTTAAAAACATTATCACTAAGTCTATTTCAAAATGGCCCAATACCTGATCCCTCGAAGTTTTGCCCTATTGTCATGGCGATCCATGAGATTATGCATGACTTCCAAGACTAACTGTCTCAGTTCATAGTCTTCCATGAGAGATGGTGATAACAAAGGATCCAGAAAAGATCCAGGCAGTGCAGTAACAATTGTCTTTGCTTTGTATCCAGAGGTCACCTGATCATGGGGAGGAAAAACGAACAAAAAACCTTTGTCATGAGTCCTTCTTCAGTAAAATTCTCAAACCAATTTATAAAAACCATAAACTTAGAGGAACAGCAAGTATGAACATAAGCCTGAAAGAAAAACAAGAAGGAAAGTTATAAGGTAATGAGGATTTTAGGACACCTGGGTGACACAGTCAGGTTAAGTGTCTGACTCGTGGTTTCTGCTCAGGTCATGATCTCAGGGTCACGAGATGGAGCCCCACATCAGCTTCCATGCTCAGTGTGGAATCTGCTTAAGACTCTCCCTCCTTGTCCTTCTCCTACCCCTCCCCACAGTGCTCTCCCTCTAAAATAAATAAATAAATCTTTTTTAAAAAGTAATGAGGATTTTAATTTGCAAAAACATAATAAAGAGAATAAAATAAAAGCACATATTTACTGTGCACCAGGCACAGTCTAGGTACTGTTTGAATATTAACTTCCTCTTCACCACATCCCTATGAGGTGAGCATCAGTGTATATCTCCATTTTGTAATAGAAAAGAGGCTCAGAGAGGTCAAGAATCTATGGCATAGGTAGTCAGTACTAACTGGACACAAGGTATTAGGTAGCAAATAGTACAGTACAGGTAAGAATTGAAATTTTTAAACTTAAATTGTCAAATTGTTCTTTTAAAGTAAGCAGTTTGGGTTAACAGGAATACATTTTTAATCTGGAAATCTGTACTTTATTCATTACTTGATTTGACATTTATGAATATATCCCTATCCTCTAAATTTAAAGCTTTTAAAGAACAGATATTTATATGCTATTAAGCATTTTAACCATACCACAAAGACATTTATTCAGGTGACTCTGGTACAATTAGGAGAGACAAGATGATTTACTCTGGGTATTTGTTTAATTAAAAGGCTTAGAAACAAAAGAAATTTCAGGTGGAGAGTCTTTATTTATCAGGGTTACAAGCAAATATGAATATTTATATTTGGGCACTTATTACAGGATCGAGGTGATTTTATAAGTGAGCAAGAAAATTGGTTAGGACAATTGCTACCTGCCTAGAAGAATTAAAAATATATCCAAGTCTCACACCACATACAAAAGTAAACTTCAAATATCTAGCTATGGAAAGCCAAATTCTAAAAATTTTGTAAAAAAATATAAGCAAAATGTGCTCATAAGAATAGGCAAATTTGCGACGATGTGGATGGAACTAGAGGGTATTATGCTTAGCGAAATAAGTCAGTCGGAGAAAGACAACTATCATATGATATCCCTGATATGAGGAAGTGGAGATGCAATGTGGGGGGTTTCGGGGGGTAGGAAAAGAATAAATGAAAGAAAATGGGATCGGGAGGGAGACAAACTCTCAATCTCACAAAACAAACTGAGGGTTGCTGGGGGGAGGGGGTTCAGGAGAGGGTGGTGGGGTTATGGACATTGGGGACGGTATGTGCTACGGTGAGTGCTGTGAAATGTGTAAACCTGGCGATTCACAGACCTGTACCCCTGGGGATAAAAAGACATTATATGTTTATTAAAAAATTTAAAAATTAATTTAAAAAAAAGAATAGGCAAAAGTTCTTAAACAAGATAAAATAAAAAAGCATAAAATACATATGAAGGACTAATTAATCTGACTATATTATATTTAAACTTCTGTATAGCAAATACCATAACCAGAATTAAATATGAAACACAAAATCCCTAGGTATGAAATATTTATTTTAAAAAAAACAGGGGGCACCTGGGTGACTCAGTTGGTTAAGCATCTGCCTTCAATTCAGTTATAGTTTTGGGTCCTAGGATTGGTCCCCACATCGGGCTCCCCACTCAGCAGGGAGCCTGCTTCTCCCTCTGCCCTCCATCCACAACCCCCCCACGTTCTGCTTGCTTACTCTCTCTCATGCTCTCTCCCGAATAAATAAAACCTTGTGTTTTTTTTTTTTTTTAAGGGATCATGTACAATAAAGATTTCCTAAAAGAAATTTTAAAGATCTTTAAAGATTTGGAAAGGACACACATTCCAAATAATTAGCTCCTACTTTGTTCTTGGCATTATACTAGATATAGTTAAGATACAGTTAAATCAAAGATGAAAATGATTACTGTAAAAGAACCAGAGGACTTTACATTTTAGGTATGCTTTTCCTTTTTGTCTATTTACAGCTGAATTATTTTCAAAAGGAGAAGTCATTATTTGGTCAGTGTATGAAGGAAATAGCATAGTCTGTACAAAGAAAATGGTTTCCTATCCAAATTCTAGTCTTGAGCTTATTGACCGTGGTGAACCTCTTCCCCTCCTTCCACTCCACGTGTCTGAGCCCAGGCATCTTTCTGTATAAAACATAACACTTTCTATCTTCTATATATGTCAGTCATTATGAAGATCAAGTAAGATACACAAGTGAGGAATAAACAGTAAAAGAATAAAATATTTAAGTATATAAGCCATAGAAAAAAGCTAACCATAAACAGTATCTTACAATATAAGAAAAACCAGATAACATGAAGTTATTCGTTCCTCTTCAATAATGTAAGTTTATTCTTCACTTATTTTATTTTATTTTTTTTAAGATTTTATTTATTTATATGACAGAGAGATCACAAGTAGGCAGAGAGGCAGGCAAAGGAGGAGGGAGAAGCAGGCTCCCCACTGAGCAGAGAGCCCGATGTGGGACTCGATCCCAGGACCCTGAGATCACGACCTGAGCTGAAGTCAGAGGCTTCAACCCACTGAGCCATCCAGGCGCCCCTATTCTTCACTTATCTTAAATGACTTACCATAAGTAAAGATCTCAGCAACATTATCTGAATCCGCCTGGTTCCCAAATCCCTAAGATATATAAAATATTAGTATTATCTTATTGATAGTAATTAACATTGACATTATTTCATTTACTTATATAACTACTTGATTTTAAAATTCTATTCATTTTGATTAGATTGTTTCCATACTAGCTAAAGTCATGGCTCACTTTATACTCATCAATTTCATATGAATTTAAGAGTTATATGTAAGAAACAAACAAAAATTCAAATAAAAAGTTAAAAAGCTACTGGCTCTCAAAGAGAACAGATCTACAAATTTAATGATGTGAAAATTCAGTAATTCAATAATATGAACACACAATGAAACAACCCCAATTTAAAGACGCTGTAAGAATATATTTACCATGAATATAATTGCCATAATATCTATTTAACATTTATCAATATACAGACAATTTAAAAAAAAAACTAACAAATGGAAAAGGGTTATTTAATTAGTGGTAACAGAAATATAAATCAAATAAGACTATCATTTCTTTATGAAATTAAAAACACACAAAAATATTTCCAAACTAAAGCCTTAGCATGTTTAAAATGAGGGAGCCAAAACATATCTTTAAAATTGCTTTCAGTTCTAGAACTCTAGGAATAAGTCAACATTCTGGCAAAACTAAGTTTAAAATTTTAAATTTCCTATACAATTTTTAAGATTTTTATAGGAAGCTTGAAGCTTTACCCTACCTTATGTATGTATATAGAGAATGTCCAGGCCAAAAAAACCTTCAACCCAGTCATTTTAAGACACAGAAAATTTGAGAATTTACAATATATTGAAAACTGATTCTAAAATCAAGCAATGTTGATACAACTGCTTAGCAATGTAGTGCCACAAAAACGATGTCCATAGGATTTTTATTACAAAAGATTAAAAAATTAAAACATAAAAAAAGAAAATAAAACATATTACAACATTAAGATGAAATCTAATCCAAGATTACATTAAGATTCATAGTTTGAGAGCACAGGAAAACTACATATGCATACCCTAGTTGACTGATATCCAAAGTATGGGTGGATGTTCCAAAAACGGGTACTTTCCCCATAATGAACATCATTATTTCTGACCTCTGATAATCTGGTAGGTTACTTCCAAAAAATCCTATGAAAATATTAAGAAAAAGTTAAGATAAATTTTACAAGTTGAAATGTTATTTTTTTTTTTACTTTTTTTTTTTTTTTTTTTTGTCAGAGAGAGAGGGAGAGAGAGCAAGCACAGGCAGACAGAATGGCAGGCAGAGGCAGAGGGAGAAGCAGGCTCCCTGATGAGCAAGGAGCCCGATGTGGGACTCGATCCCAGGATGCTGGGATCATGACCTGAGCCGAAGGCAGCTGCTTAACCAACTGAGCCACCCAGGCGTCCCGAAATGTTATTTTTCCATAATAGTCAATCATAATGTATTTTTAACCAAAGCTTTCAATACGTGGTAAAATGGTGTCTTTAAGTTACATACGTAACTCTAAAGTCCTTTCTGTCCTCCCTTCTTTTAGCTTACCTGCTGGCCGCACGCGCCCCTGTGCTCCTTGTAGCCATGCCTGGCTGAACGGAAGAAATAATGGGCTTTCTGCTCACGGCCAGGTGAGAGGATGCCACACCCGGCAAGCTCAAGAGAAGTAAGGATAACATGAAGTCTTAAAGCTCAGAGCAGCAGATACCTTTATACCTCAGTCATCACAAAGACCGAGAAACTAAAGCCGTCCCTGCCCCCAGGTTTGGCAGTGAAGGAGCTGAAATGAACGTGGCACAGTGATTTCAACTGTATTAAAATTTTAAAAATTCAAAAAACAAAACTCTAAACAGATATTCTAATTTCTTCTGTTCATTTACTCATATATGAGATGTACAGAACAGATTAATACTTGATAAAATAATACATGTCTAAAAATCTTTTGCAGATGGTTTATAAGATTTATAAAAATCTTTTGCATATGGCAAACCATAAAAAATTTGGGTTGGACTTTTAGAAAAGGGAAAAAACAAAACAACCCCTTGGCAGCATTTCTGATGAAACTCTTTTTCACATATCGTGAGCCCAAATTCTTGTTCTGGGAAGGAAGTCAGAAACTGGGCCATATTTTGGTGAATAGGTCAATAATTAGGTCACTATTTTGGCTTCAAATGCTGAAACATTGTAAAATCTCATTACAATGAGCCAGGTTTACCGTCTAACCCAATGGATTAATTGAATGTATTATTCAACTAATGCAAAAAAACCACAAAACCTTATTTACTTGTCATTTTTCTCATGTACTCTTACGTCTTCTGGATATTTTAAATTTATCTGCTCTAGCCTTTAATGGTTTACTTCCTAGTCTAGAAGACCCAGAACATTAAATTTTCACTTACTCAAACCTCAAACTGTCGTTTCTTTGAAAGATCAGAACAGGTATTGAATCATGCTGATTTTGTTCATTTCTCAAAATGCAATATGATCCTTATAAAAAACTCATTTTTAATATTTAAGAATAAATTAGTTATTCAACTTAACTCTTAAGCTTCTATGATTGGAATTAATAATCTATGCAAACTCAAATTGTTCTATTTATCATTGATTGGATCTGGGACTAAAAGTCACTTCCCCTTATCACACACTTCAGTAATCAAAAATCTCATCATCTTTTTTTTTTTATAAGGAAACTATAAACCTCTATCTTTCATGGATACAGATACAAAATTTCCAACAGATTAGCATCTCAAATTCAACAATGTATAAAAATTTTATGCCACAAACATATGAAAAATCTCATGATCCTAACATTACACAATCCACGTAAAGCATACTATTCTAACTAACACTTCAGAAGCACTATCGATGGGGTTAAGAAACTACTTTGTATTGGTATCCTCAAAATAGCCATATGAGTCTAGGAACAATTTTTTATTAACCTCAGTTGCCTCTTGTGGAAATGTGGATTAGAGAGGTTAATAGCTCAAACCAAAAAACCACACAGCTAAGAGGCCTGAGGTGAAGGCTATTCATTTCCAAAGCCTATGTTATTATTACCCTCTCCTTCCTCCCTGTAAGGTACTTTCAACTTTGCAAGAACCCAATTAGATATGTTGCTAATCACCATGCAAAACTAGACACTGATTTTCTGTTCCAAGCAAGCCAGTTATTAGCACGAAGGCATAGGTTTCCAACATAATCAACTGGGAGGAGAGCCCTGAAAGGAATTAATTTTCTATATGTTTGTACTTGAACCTCTGAGTGGAGGTGCTGAAGAGCCCCCCTCACCCTGACTGCGAAGAAAGAAAGAATACTGCAGGGAGCTAGGTTCTTGATTACTGATAAAAAAAAGAATTTGGTCAATAGCCTTGTCCTGTCAAGTGCCAAAGGCATAGCAGCGCTGCTCCCTAGTCTCCTAGTGATATCTACATGATCTAGTAACTACCAGAGTACTGAGAATTTCTAAAAGAAAATACTGAGGAAATCAGAAGGGTGACTAAATAAAAATCTTACTCACTGTGCCACACTGCCCTTCTTTTCTCTCATGTTTTAATTTTTCACATGTTATTTTGAATGTGTTATGTCACAGAAATATTGTTTGAGCCTGTTATATCTATATTGTATATTATAAAAATATATTAATATTAACTAAAATAAATAAATATAAAATAAATTAATTAAATGTTCTGGAGTGAAAGAGTACACTTTATTAATTATAGGTCACGAAAGCAATTTAATTCTCTGAAAACAAGTACAGTTGATTTGATGTCTTATCTTAAAACATCACAAAAATTCCACAAATAATCCAAATAAATTTGAGTCACCATAAAAATTAGGTGTACCACACACAGATCTAATTGTTTTAAGGAATATCGAAAATGTCTCTGCTATACTGAGAGTCCATGGTAATACTGGATTTCCATTATGCTTTGCCTTTTTCACTCACTCCAAAAATCTTAAGCACCTACTATGTGTTACAGTACTAAGTAAGAAACACATGGGGCTTTGCCCTCATGAGGATAATTTCTGTGCACATAAGACTGTAGCTAAGTGAAACAGAGGTATGGCACCAACCAGATCAACCACATGCGTCCAACAAGGGGAGAACTACATGCACCACAAAATCCTAGTATGGGGCCTGCTGAATATAAACATTCAATATGTAAGTGTGGAATGCTAATGTATCATGCATATATATATGCATATCCACAAAACTTTACAAAGAATATAAAAAAGAGAAACTTTGTATTACATATTCCAAAGGACGATTACAAATAAGTAGCCTATACATAAGAAAGTTACGCAGATAAAAGACATAAACTGGGCTCCAAAATAAATTTATGCATGACTCTATTTTTTGCAGAAACTATTAGCACCATTAGCACCAAAAACTATTAGCAACCATTAGAAATTAGGTACTAAGCCCCAGAGATAATACTCAATTTTGAAATTATTGTAGCAATCATAATTCCATTAAAACATGATCTGGATATTCTAAAGATACCGGGAGGGGAAGGTTAAAGTGGAATAGGAGTTTGCTTACTTTAATCTGTATTTTACTTTAATACAGTCAGATCATTTTATTTCCTCCCCAAAATTCTCATGGCTTTTTTTTAAAGGATGTTCTTAACCCTTTTTTTTTTTTTAATTTAACCATGTTTTTAAGAAAAAAAAACATGTGAAATTAAAGCCCAAGGTGGTGGTCTCCCCAACTTGGTTTCTAATACCACTCCCCAGTAAAAGAAACCATAGCACTTTGAGAAATGAGATTCCATGGCTGGGACAGGAAATATAAAATGAGCCTCAAACAGCTTAAACCAGTAAGGCTGTGCTCAAAAGAAAGGGAGGATATTACAAAGACATGACAGGAGTTCCCACTGCCCAAATGTGGGACAATTTCAGCACCAAAATATAATAATAATAAATACAGAATGGATTATGAAGCATAAAAATGAGTCCATAAGCTCCTATCAATAATAAAGATATAAACACTTGCATTCCTACATACATACACAGGGAAGAAAAAGGGACCCCTGCTCTTGCAGAACACAAAGTACCACCTGACAGCTGTGGAGGGAGCGCCAAGTTTGAAAACCATCCATTTGCAACATTAGTTTGGTAAAGAGGTTCAGGAGAGATTTACGAATGGTTACTAAATTCAGGGGGAGGTATGGGTGAAAAGCAGAATATCCACATGGTCTAAAAGCATATCCTCAGAGACTGCTTACTGTTTGCAAGGATAAAAACTGAAACCGCACAACAGAGAAACAGAACACTTTGAGAGATCAAAACTTACATCACCAATGAGAAGCAAAAGTACACTGTACACCTCTCTGTACGTAGTACCCCAAGAGGAACTTTATCACTTATGTGGTATCCAGCCAGAAATGAACACCAGACAAACCCAAATGAAAATTTTTTTTTAAAAAAGGGAATGGTATGCTCCTAAAAACTCCCATATCAGAACCGAAATGTTCCAGACTAAAGGAACTCAAGAAATATTACAAATAAATGCAATTTATGATCCCAGACTGAATTCTGGATGTAAGGAAAAACATGCTCTAAAGGATATTCTTAGGTCAAATGACAAAACTGAAATATGGAAGTCTGATTAATGAATATGCCAATGTTAAATTCACTGATGTTGGTAACTGTATTCTAGTTATGCAAGAATCTTATTCTTTGGAAAAATTCTCTGCGGTAAAGGACCATGATGCATATGCACTTAATCTCGAGTGGTTTAGGGAAAAAATGAGAATATATGTATATACCTACCTCTTTCTATACATTTATATATGCACATATATGTATACATACACATACAGACATGCACACACAGAGAAATGGGAGAGAAGGAAGGAGAAGAAAAGACAACATAAATGATAAAATAAATGGCATAAAATATTAATAGATGAATCTGGGTGAAGGGTATACAGTGTTCTTTGTCCTATTCTTATGTTTGTTTCAGAATATCAAGTTTTTTAAAAGTCTGAGCCATCATTCACCTTTGACTAATGTACTCTAAGAGACAAGTAACTTTCAGTAAAAGCTCTTTTAATCACTTTCACATAATAGTTTGGAAAAGTGAAACATACTCACCTATTGTTTGGATGATAGCATTCTGCACAATCTTCTCATCATTGTCTTTGGAACTTGAGTTTAAATTAACACTGCCTACGGATCCCCCCTGTAAATCATTTGCTTCAAATTCAACACTGAGACGCAGATGCTTCAGGAGGGTGTTAAAGACTTCCAGCACTGTGGGTCCTATAAACAAACTCTAAATGAGCTTTTCCAATGTTATATAATCAAAACCAATTCTCACATTTCTCAGAGATTTTTGGTATTTCCAGAATCGTAAAAAAGTAAATGAGAAATACCTAAGTAAAAAGTCTCCCAGTTATTCCAGCATTTACTGGGCATCTCATAGCAACTGACCATTTGAACCTCTGGTACAAACCACACAAAATGTGTATTTGCATATAAAAATTACAAAAACTTTCCATCTATATAATCTTATCCACTCAAAATAACATGTAATAGGACAGTATTTAACTTGCTTGTTGGATCAGAACCCACAGAATCACAAACCATAGCTCACTGTAAGGTCAGAAATTTATTTTGCATCTTTTGAAGATAAGGGATAATTTGCCTCTGTTATGAAAAAGAAACTAGCCAATTTATCAGATTCAGGTAAATGAAATTTGTTTTCTGCTTTTAGTTCTATAAATATTCCACACCTGTTTGTCACACTATCAGTGTTTTTTATTCCTGCTTCCAACTTTTAATTGCAATCTTCTCCAGGACAGGCAACCACGGTCAAATACTTCTTCAAATGTACAGAGCTTAGTACATAGTACCTCATACAGAAGAGACACTAGTGTGATAATTCAACGTAGTAACTGTTTCATTTAATATTTCAAATTAAGTAACTTTTCAGTTAAACTGATTCCATCTCTTTGAGATAAATTATAAGCAATAAAAAGTCCATATCCAAAATGCCCACTCCTATTTGACACTGAATGAGCACTAGAGTATTTTAGTAGCTAATGTATTTCCACTTTGATTCTGAAGCAAAAAAACCATAACCAGACTCTTCTACTAAGTTTAGTAATTCTATCATGGCCTCTTCCATTCTTCTAAGGACACGCAAGTGAAAAATTGACCTCTGATCTGTCCCGTCCCTTTGTTAACCCTATAGTCAGTCATTATCCAATCCTGTTTACATTCCCATTCCTGTGCTGCCATCAAAGGTCAAGTTCTTTCCCTTGTGCCTACAATGCTGGCAACCACTTGTTATTTCTGAAGTGTCCTACGTTTTTCAGCCAGATGAATTACTTATCCTACAGCACATCTTTGATAAAGATTACATTAAATAACTAAGGATACCAATCAGCTGTAGAATTACATCCATGATTTGGCTGCAACTTTAACATTAAAGCTATTTCTCTGACTTCCTCCACACTACCACACATTCTAGCCAAATGGGCTATGTAATATTTTGCTCTCTTACCAAACCAATTTCTATCCCTGGTTTTCTGAAGAAATGTGAGCAAAACTGCCCTGAACACAGCATTAGGTAAAGTTGTCTTACTTCAAGTAAACTCTAAGTTTCCTGCATGTATATCCTCCCAAATGCCTAGCACATAATTGGAATTCAAAAATCTTTTTCATGTTATTTTTAAATTTAAATTCAATTAATAACTTATAGTGTATTATTAGTTTCAGAGGTAGAGTTCAGTGATTCATCAGTTATATATAAATCCAGTGTTCATTATATCACATGCCCTCCTTCATGCCCATCACCCAGTTATCCCATCCTCCCACCCACCTACCTCCCCTCCAGCAACCCTGTTTGTTTCCTATGATTGAGAGTCTCTTACGGTTTGTCTCCTTCTCTGATTTTGTCTTGTTTCATTTTTCCCTTACCCTACACTCCTGTTTTGTTTCTTAAATTCCACAAGTGAAATCATCTAATTGTCTTTCTCTGATTGAGAAATACCCTCTAGTTCCTTCCATGTCCTTGCAAATGGCCAGATTTCATTTTTTTGATGGCTCAGTAACAGTCCATTGTATAATATATACCTGTCACTTTTTTTTTTTTTTTTTAAGTATTTTTTTAAAGACTTTGTTTATTTATTTAATAGAGCGAAATCAGAAGTAGGCAGAGAGGCAGGCAGAGAGAAAGGGGGAAGCAGGCTTCCGTGGAGCGGAGAGCCCAATGTGGGGCTCGATCCCAAGACCCTGAGATCATGACCTGAGCCGAAGAGGCTCAAACCACTGAGCCACCCAGGCGCCCCCCTGTCACCTCTTTTATATCCACTCATCTGTTGATGGACATCTGGGCTCTTTCTATACTTTGGCTATTGTGGATATTGCTACTATAAACATTGGGGCACAGGTGTCCCTTCAGATCATTGCATTTGTACCTTTGGGGTAAATACCTAATAGTAAAAATTACTGGATTATGGGTTAGCTCTTTTTTTTTTTTTTTTAAGATTTTATTTATTATTTGAGAAACAAAGAAGGGGGAGTGGAAGAGGGAGAAGCAGGCTCCCCACGGAGCAGCAAGCCTGACATGGGGCTCGATCCCAAGACCCAGGGATCATGATGTGAGCTGAAGGCAGACACCTAACTGACTGAGCCACCTGGGCCCCCCATTTTAACTTTTTGAGGAACCTCCATCCTGTTTTCCAGAATGGCTGTACTAGCTTGCATTCCCAGGATTCCCCTTTCTCCACATCCTTGCCAACATTTGTTGTTTCCTGAGTTGTTAATTTTAGCCATTTTGACTGGTATGCAGTGGTAACTCACTGTGGTTTTGATCTGAATTTCCCTGATGCCCAGTGATGTTAAGCATTATTTCATGTGTCTCTTGGCCATTTGTATGTATGCTTCTTTGGAGAAATGGCCGTTAATGTCTTCTGCCCATTTCTTAACTGGATTATTTGTTCTTTGGGTGTTGAGTTTGATAAGTTCTTTATAGATTCTTCATACTAGCCCTTTATCTGATAAGATATTTGAAGACAGCTCCTCCCATTCTGCAGGTCTTCTTTAGGTTTTGTCCACCATTTCCTTTGCTGGGCAAAAGCTTTTTACCTTTTTTTTTTTTTTTTTTTTTTAAAGATTTTATTTAGTTATTTGACAGACAGAGATCACAAGTAGGCAGAGAGGCAGGCAGAGAGAGGAAGGGAAGCAGGCACACTGCTGAGCAGAGAGCCCGATGTGGGGCTCGATCCCAGGACCCTGAGACCATGACCTGAGCCGAAGGCAGAGGCTTAACCCACTGAGCCACCCAGGCGCCCCCCCCTTTTTTAAAAAAGATTTTATTTATTCAATTAACAGAGAGAGACACAGTGAGAGAGGGAACACAAGCAGGGGGAGTGCGAGAGGGAGAAGCATGCTTCCCACTGAGCAGGGAGCCCGATGTGGGGCTTGATCCCAGGACCCTGGGATCATGACCTGAGCTGAAGGCAGACACCCAATGACCGAGCCACCCAGGGGCCCCAAAAGCTTTTTATCTTGACAAAGTCCCCATAGTTCATTTTTGCCTTTGCTACCCTTGTCTTTAGAGACGTGTCTAGTAAGAAGTTGCTGTGGCTAAGGTCAAGAGGTTGCTGCCTATGATCTCCTCTAGGATTGATGGATTCCTGTCTCATATTGAGGTCTTTCATCCATTTTGAGTCTATTTCTGGGTATGGTGACAGGAAATGGTCCAGTTTCATTCTTCTGCATGTGCTGTCCAATGTTCCAAACACCATTTGTTAGAGACTGTCTTTTTTCCATTGGTTATTCTTTCCTGCTTTGTCAAAGATTAGTTAACCATAGAGTTGAGGGTCCATTTCTGGGTTCTCTATTCTGTTCCTTTGATCTATATGTCTGTTTTTGTGCCAGTATCATACTGTCTTGATGATTACAGCTTTGTAAAAGAGCTTGAGGTCTGGCATTGTGATGCCACCAGCTCTGGTTTTCTTTTTCAACATTCCTTTGGCTATTCGGGGTCTTTACTGGTCCCATACAAATTTTAGGATTATTTGTTCCAGCTCTGTGAAAAAAATTGATGGTATTTTGATAGGGATTGCATCAAATGTATAGATTCTTCCAGGAAGCATAGACATTTTAACAATGTTTGTTCTTCCAATCCATGGGCATGGAACATTTTTCCATTTCTTTGTGTCTTCCTCAAATACTTTTTGACTGTTCTATAGTTTTCTGAGTACAGATCCTTTGCCTCTTGTGGCTAGGTTTATTCCTACATATCTTATGGTTTTTGGTGCAATTGTAAATGGGATCGATTCCTTAATTTCTCTTTCTTCTGTCTCATTGTTAGTATATAGAAATGCAACTGATTTCTGTGCATCGATGATATATCCTGTCACTTTGCTACATTACTGTATGAGTTCTAATAATTTTGAGGTGGGGTCTTTTCAGTTTTCCAGAGTCTCATGTCATCTGTGAAGAATAAGAGTTTGACTTCTTTGCTGATTAGGATATCTTTTATTTCTTTTTGTTGTGTGATTGCTGAAGCTAGGACTTCTAGTACTACACTGAACAACAGTGGTGAGAGTGGACATCCCTGTCGTCTTCCTGATCATAGGGGAAAAGCTCTCAGTTCTTCCCTGTTTAGAATGCTATTTGCATGGGCTTTTCATATATAGTTTTTTATGATAGTGATGTATGTTCCACCATCCCTCTGTGGAGAGTTTTAATCAAGAGAGGATGCTGTACTTTGTCAAATGCTTTTTCTACATCTATTGAGAGGATCAGATGGTTCTTGTCCTTTTATTAATGTGGTGTATCATGTTGATTGATTTGTGGATGTTGAAATGCCCTTGCAGCCCAGGAACAAATCCTACTTGGTCATGGTGAATAATCCTTTTAATGTACTACTGGATCCTACTGGCTAGTATCTTGTTGAGGATTTTGGCATCCATATTCATCAGGGATATTGGTCTGTAATTCTCCTTTTTGGTGGGGTCTTTGTCTGGTTTTGAGATCAAGGTAATGCTAGCCTCATAGAAAGAGTTCGGAAGTTTTTCTTCCTTTTCTATTTTTTTGAAATAGCTTCAGAAAAATAGGTACTAATTCTTCTTTAAATGTTTGGTAGAATTCCCTGGGAAGCCATCCAGCCCTGGACTCTTGTTTGTTGGGAGATTTCTGATTACTGCTTCTATCCTTGACAGTTATGGGTCTGTTCAGGTTTTCTATTTGTTCCTGTTCCAGTTTTGGTGGTTTATACATTTCTAGGAATGCATCCATTTCTTCCAGATTGCCTAATTTGCTGGCATATTGTTGGGTCATAATACATTCTTATAATTGTCTGTATTTCTTTGGTGTTGGTTGTGATTTCTCCTTTTTCATTTAAAAGTTTATTTACTTAACGCCTTTCTCTTTTTCTTTTGGTAAGTCTGGCTAGGGGTTTATTGATCTTATTAATTCTTTCAAAGAACCAGCTCCTAGTTTCATTGATCTGTTCTACTGTTCTTTTGATTTCTATTTCACTGATTTCTGCTCTAATCTTTACTAATTCTCCTCTCCTGCTGGGTTTAGGCTTAATTTGCTATTCTTTCTCCAGCTCCTTTAGGTTTAAGGTTAGGTTATATATTTGAGACCTTTCTTGTTTCTTGAAAAGGCCTGTATTACTATACACTTCTCTCTTATGACTGCCTTTGTGGCACCCCAAAGAGTTTGAACAGTTGTGTTTTCATTTTAATTTATTTATTTGAGCTTTTTAAATTCTTCTTTAATTTCCTGGTTGACCCATTCATTCTTTAGTAGGATGCTCTTTAACCTCCATATATTTGTGTTCCTTCCAAATTTCTTCTTGTGATTGAGTTCAAGCTTCAAAGCACTGTGGTCCGAAAATATGCAGGGAATAATCCCAATCTTTTGGTTTGAGTTGAGACCTGATTTGTGACACAGTATGTGATCTACTCTAGAGAATGTTCTACATGCACTGGAGAAAAATGTGTATTCTGTTGCTTTAGGATGAAATGCTCTGAATCTATCTGTGGAGTCCATCTGGTCCAGTGTATCTTTCAAAGCCCGTTTCTTTGTTGATCTTCTGCTTAATGATCTGTCCACTGCAACAAGTGGGGTGTTAAAAATCCCCTACTGTTATTGTGTTATTATAGATGTGTTTCTTCAATTTTATTATTATGATTTATATAATTGGCTACTCTCATGTTAGAGGCACAAATATTTATAATTGTTAGATCTTCTTGCTGGACAGGCACTTTAATTATGATATAGTATCCTTCCTCATCTCTTATTACAGTCTTTGGTTTAAAATCTAATTTGTCTGATATAAGGATTGCTACCTTAGTTTTTCTGTGATGCCCATTAGCATGATAAATGGTTTCCACGCCCTCCAGTCTGAAAATGTCTCTGGGTCTGAATGAGTCTGTATCACTAATTCTCTGTTCTGCCTCATTTATCCTAGCAGTGAGAGCATATTGCATCTCATTAATAGCCTTTTTGATTTCAGCTTGTTCGATTTTAGTTCTTTTATTTCTCCAAAAAGGAATTCTCTAGTGTATCCTATGCTTTCTTCAAGTCCAGATAATGTCTTACAATCGTTACTCTGAACTCTAGTTTCAACATCTTATTTATATCCATAATGTTTAAGTCCCTGGCAGTCAGTACTGCTTCCTGTTGTCTTTTTTTTTGTGGTGAGATCTTCCATCCTATCATTCTTGAAAAAAGGGGTCACTTTTTTAGTTGTAGAATTGCAGCAATTCTTTTCTTAGATCTCCAATTGAGTTCACAGCTGTTCAGAATGATTTAATAGCTATCTAGCTGAATTCCAGGGACCAGATGAAACTAGGGTCCCCTATGCCTCTGCCGTATTCCTCCTCCATCTAAAAATCTTCATTAGAAAAAAGGAGGAGGGAGAGATTGATATAGTGGAAAATGCTTAAGTATACACTAAACAAGTCTGAGAAATTCCAAGAGAAATTGTAGCATATTTAAAAACATTATTTTTAAGGAGTTTTCCATACACTGCTGTATCTACTGAAAAAAATTCTAGAATAGATTAAAGCATTAATTTTTTTTGAGTTTTTTTGTTTTGTTTTTGTGCTGACACTCACCTATGGAACCTTTAGCAGCAATGGCAACGGCCTCTAACAGAACCTGGATGATACCTGCTCGAACCCGCGGAGAATCTTTTTTACGAGCATCAAGGTGTCCTAGGATCTCCTGAATTACATGGTGAGAATACTGAGCCTAAAAGAAGCAAAACAGTACACAGAGATATATGAACAGTTATATGCATACCGGCTGGATTCTTAAGAATGGAAAACCATGTGTCACTTAAATGTCCAACTATAGGAGACTGGTATTCCTGTTACAGAACAATATGTAGCCACTACAAACCCATGCTTTTTAAGACTAAATACGGATACTACAAAATATTTAGAATGCCCTGGATAAAAAAAGCAAATTGCAAAAACTACAATTAATAAAATTTAATCTGTTCTTTAAAACAATACATAGGACTACAATTATATACACCTAAATATTGACGGTGGCTAGGATTCATTAGAAGTTTTATTATCGGGCGCCTGGGTGGCTCAGTGGGTTAAGCCGCTGCCTTCGGCTCAGGTCATGATCTCAGGGTCCTGGGATCGAGTCCCACATCGGGCTCTCTGCTCAGCAGGGAGCCTGCTTCCCTTCCTCTCTCTGTGCCTGCCTCTCTGCCTACTTGTGATCTCTGTCTGTCAAATAAATAAATAAAATCTTTAAAAAAAAAAAAAAGAAGTTTTATTATCTTCACAATTCTTTGTAATTTCAAAGAACATTTATATACTCTTATAATCTGATAATAGGACAAATCTTTAAAAATAAACAGATATAGCACTTCTCTCTTACCCAAACTAGATAAATATTATTTCTCATTATGGACTCCTAACAACAGTAAACAGTCAAAACTCCTATCTCATCAGAAACCACTATCAAAAGGAAAAGGTTATTGGTGTATACTTGATTAAATTTAAATCAAGGCAATATCAGAAGATCTGCAATTTACAAAGGCAATTTTATCATAGATATATAAATCTGATCACAATGAATGATATTAAAACCTAAATCTAAAATAGGATAGCTAGAGAATATTTAACTACAATGAATATATATATATTTTAAAACAGAGTAGCAAAGTTTTGTTTTTTTAAACTAATAATTACACCCAGGAATCATGAGTGGGTCTACTACCAGTTTGTAAAAATCCAGCAACAAACAAAACAGGCCAAGGGCCCTGATCTCCACATCTGTGTTTGCTCTCAGGCCCCACCACTCTGTTTTCAGACTGGTTACCTCTCTCTCCTTTGGAATGGGTAGCCTTTTATTAAAAAGAAATGCCCAACACATAATGGATCCTCTGCTCAAAAGCAGAAAAGAATTCCCCTCCACCTCTAACAACATAACCAAATTCACTGCCAGGTATTTCTGGTATTTCTGTCATAATACAGCTAGTTTTTTTAACAATCCAAGGTAAGCATTTTCACCTTTACTTTCTACAGTGTTAAAACAGAGGAATGCCAGATAGACAGATACACTCGTACACAAAACTTGAAACTGAACTTCTTGCCCAGGAAGCTGTATACTTCTGATGTGTGAACCTCATGCAAACAGAGCTTTAAAAACAGGATGGCAATGTGACTTATTGTCCAAACCGGGACACTTCAGAGTGAGAGTACTAGTAATTATATAAAGCAGGGCTATCCTAAGCAAAGCATAGCACCTGTTCACAACAGCTCAAGAATTCCACCATAGATAAAAAGCACATGGAGTGACAGGAACAAATTGCAATGATGTTAATTATACTTTATACCGAGTTTCTGACAGAGATTTACTAAGCTATTGTGTACCTGTGGTAAAACTCACCCTCACAGTGAAGTTTAAAGCAACAGTAATGATGCGTAGCTTTAAGAAGCAACACAAAAGGGTGGTTAAGTACATCTGTAAGCCCTAGAGTCAGATTTGCCCAAATTCAAATTCAGCCTCCATCATTTAATAGCTTAATAGAGCACAGCTTAAATAAGGACTACTTAACCTTTCTGTACCTCAGTTTTCCTCATCTACAATATTTAGAAAATAAAAAATTATTTTGTAGGATTGTTATGGCACTTAGATGAATTCATTTGTGTAAAGAACCTAAACTTGTGTCTACCACAGGAAATGGCTCAATCTGGCCATTATTACTTACTTTTAAAATGGTGACTCCTGGGATAATATGTTACTACAAAATTAAACACAACAAAAATGACAACAAAAAAACATCTGATTCAGAAGCAGGTGCCAGGCACTGTTCTATACACAGTATGTGTCCAAACCAACAGTTCCAGGAAGCAGCCTAACTCAATCATACTGCGTACGGCACCGTGCAAATGAGGTAGGTTTTTAAGGAACTTGCCAAAGTCATGCATAAACTCTAACGGAGAGCTTAGCCATGAATCTCAGCCCAACCTCAGAGTCCAGCTCATAAATACAATACCTTATTACCTGCAACAAATCAATTTAGCACAAAAGATAAGCTTTAAATATTTTCTCTTATTTTTTAAACTATCTGAAACTATGTCTATGTAACCCCTTAGGGATATAATACCGGTCAGGCTAGTTAATGTTTTGCGAAGAGAAGAAAAAATGTTCCCCAAGAATGATTCCCATAAATAATTTTGATAGTAAACAGCAATTAAAACAAATTTATCAGAAGTTTTAAATGTACTGTGATAGTCCTATTAAACAGAAATTCCCATTCTACTGGGTTCTACCATTTAATTTTTGATCAATGGACTTCATAAAACATATGCTATACTTAAAGCTATTTCCAAAGAAATGCTGTGGACCAGGAGTTTCTTAACATTTAATCAACCAGTATTTACTGATTCTTTAAGTTTCTTTGACTTTATTTATTAGTTTACTTCATCCAAAAAAATTTCATTTAGTAACAAAATCTTAATGAGGAAGGCAAATTAAGAAATACCAGGCTACAGAAGACCAGGAGAACAGTCTTAATTATACCTACAGACTGCAAGATCAACTTCTTAGCTACTAAATTAAAATTAAATTAAAAGATCCTAAGAGTTCTCATAAGAAGGAAAAAAAAAATACTTGAAACTATGTGAGGTGATGGATCTTGAATAAACCACTACGGTAATCACTTTACAATATATCCAATCATTGGGTTGTATACCTCAAACCTAAACAATGTTACGTGTCATTTACAACTCAATAAAAGTAGAAAAATAAATTTTTTTATATTATCCTACCACATCCAAACCAGCTTTATAATAACTAGTACTTATCGAAAACCCACATTATGGTACACTAGCGTTAACTTACTCGTTGATTTACCCCAAAACTTGTGGAACAGAATACCCAGAATTTGAATCCTGACTTCACTTTCTACCTGTGTGCCTTTCAGTGAGGTACCTGACCGCTCTAAAGATCAGTTTTCTGATCTGCAAAAGAAAAATAGTAACAATATCTACTACATAAAATGGGAATTAAAAGCAGGAAAGCAAATAGGTTATGTGCACAGTACATAGTACAGCCAGCACTTGATAAAATGGTACTTCTATTTTAAAATATAAATGAATCACTCAATGCAGGCATTACAGTTTTCTTTTCAGAAATTAAAAACTAGAACCCAGAGGAATAATTTGTCCAAGTTCACACAACCAGTAAACAGCGTATCTACGAAGGGAATCCTGGTATGACCTGCCGTATTCCTTTCTTACTCTACCTTATCTCCTTTGAATTAATGACTTTTTAGGGCATAAAAAAACAAAGACTGTGGAAAAAAAAAAAAGAAGACTTAAAATCCCACTTGTACTAAGAGCTATGTGGGTCTGTTCAGGTTTCAAGGAGAACCAAGGTGTGGTGTGCTGCAGTAGATAATAGTGTCTCATTATAAGGTTCTACTATAGGCTAGGGGAGTTAATACATGTACTTTACATTGTAAAAGCTCAATAAATGCTATTTATTATCAGCTATAAGCTACTGTAATAAATTTCAATTCCAATACCAATTTATCAGTGAAATATATATACACAATAAAAATATTCAAATAAACTGCATCATCATGAAATCTTTTTCTTTTTAGTAAATATCTTTTCATATTTGCAAATAAAAAAATAAGTGGTAAGTAAAAATGGAACAAAAAAATTAAGAACATGTTGTATATCTTACAGTGTTCTACATCTCTGATGACAGAGACGTACAGAATCAAAATTACTTAAACATGATAAATACTTAACCAATGCTTACCTGAATGGAATACATTATAATTTTAAAGCAGTGAACTGCAAATTCATTGGGATCCCATAGTTTGTGATGGTCTAAATGCCTGTAATTAACAAGAAAATTATTTAAGAATTCCCTTTTTCATTCCATGTTCTTCCTGTAGAACCCTTAACAATATGTAAAATTGTATTCTAAAATGTAGCACAGAGAAGCAAAGGAATGAATGATGTGTTAGAGAGCTTAAGAGCCATGAAGTAAAAAGGGAAAAGACCTTAAAACACCTTTAGCCAGGGTTTCAGAAGAACAAGCATCCAATGAGAGTGAGCTCCATTTGAGGAGCCAATGGCTAAGAAGTTTTCTAATTAAAAACAACCAACCAAAGACCAAAACTCTAATCCTCAGGTTTAGGAATCCCATCAAGATAAAGAGAAAGTTAACAGGAGTCCAAGAGGAACAACAACAGCTCACCTCTGAAGGAAACAGAACTGGATTCATAGATCCCTCACCAGGAGCAACCACAGAAGGCAGAAAAGAACAGAATAATACCCTTAGAGTACTGAATCTATTAATTCAGCTTAGTATTATATACTGAGCAAAACTTTCAATGTGGATAAAATAAAGACATGCGATAAAGCCATTTCTGGAGCACTTACTTCAGAAAGAAAGAAATAAAAATGATTCCAGAGTAAAGAACAGAAAGGCAAAAAGGAAAGTTGAGCAACGAAACTGAACAATATAAAGTTAAATACACACAAACACTGAAAAACATAATACCTAATTTGTGAAACTGAAAAACATACTAGCTGGAAGTAGACATTAAGACAAAAGAATTTAACCTTGTATTCCTAAAGAAGAAAAAGAAAATATTAAACTTTACACCAAAAAAATGAGTGTTAAACTTTAAATTTTATGTAAAAATGAAAGTTAATTTCCTAAGAACACTCAAAGCAGAAAAATTATGTAAAAACAAAAGCTTGTGATTTTAAAAACTGACAGCAAACTAGAAATAAGACAGAATTTTCTTAAGCCAAGTTCTCTATCTAAAAAACTCCACAAACATCATGCTGAGTGGTAAAATGGTATGGGATTCATGAAAATGGGGTTAAGTCCCAGCATTCGAATGCCACTTAGGAACTGTCACTTCAGACAAATGATTTCACCTCATGAATTTCAGTGTCCTTACAGGGTTGTTGGAATGATTAAACAAGAACTCACGTAAAAATACCTAGCATAGTATATGGCACAGAATAGGTAATGAATGTCAGTATTTATGGCCCTTCTCTAGATAATACGAATCATTTAAAATGATCATTTAAAACCAATGACTTAGCTCTGGCGGAATTAATTTAAATTGTTTTGGTATCAGAACTTCATTTTCTTACATTTATTTTGTCCTTATTTTAGTTGTTTTCAGGAAAGAAATGGTAAGTTTGGTTGAATAATTCTTTTGGTTATGGTCTTTCAAGCCATTAGTCTATACCCTGGCAGGTGTTTATATATATATATATTTAAATTTGTAACTTAAAGGCAGTGTTGATTTAGGCTGTCTAGGACAAGAAGCAACACATCACTCCTGCCGCTGGAGGGGAAAAGCAAAGCAATGTTACAGGTTCAGTGTGCTTGTTACCTTTGTAAGAAGAGCTCCACCGCACTGGCATGAGTAGCAGTCAGACTGCAATGGGACCAGGCAACAACTAGATACTATTTTTTCTAGTAGTGTGGTAGTAAGGGGAAAGGAAGAGGGAAGGAATTTCCAAATACAGAATCAGTGATTCTCAAATCATTTTTCTCAGACAACATGTATCAAAATCACTTTCGGATTTGGTTAAAAACAGCAACAAGCAGATTTCAGGGCTCTCTACTGTGTCCCAGTCCCAAGAACCATGGGGCCAAAGATTTTACACATCCAGAAATTTTTAAGTACAATTAACTTCTGAAAACCACTATCCTGGACTTACATATACAATTTATTACCCTACTATCTTTCCAAAACAGGTAGGGAGTTTCAGTTTGAGCGGTCTCTGATACACAAGGAAGAAAAAGTAGAGCTATAAACTGGGTGAAATCTTTGAAAGTGAAAAAAAAAAAATGAATTTAACTCAATCACTTCTAAAACAAGAACTGGCACAAAATATATTCAGTTCGAACAAAAATAATTCTAATAATTAGAATTATTCTAATTCTACGGTATGGATGCTAGTGGGAGATCTATAAGCACAGTCAGGCTAAGAGGTCAGATGAAGCATAACATTTTCATCCTTTAAGCGTCTGCCTTCAGCTCAGGTCATAATCCCAGGGTCCTGGGATCGAGTTCCACATTGGGCTACTTGCTCAGAGGAAAGCCTACTTCTCCCTCTGCCTGCCACTCCCCCTTCTTGTGCTCGCTCTCTCTCTCTCTCTCTCTCTCTCTGACAAATAAACAAAAATAAAATCTTAAAAAAAATTTTTTTCACCTTACTATTCCTCTCAGCACAAAAACAATTTCACTTAGATTTTGAGAAAAAGGGAAATGCCTTATTTTTATATATGTAAAAATCATGGAGACACTGCATAATGACATGCAAAATTCTCAATCATTTATAAAATGAAACATGTGACTTCAAAGAAACTTCTGGTTCTTACTTTAAGTTACTTCTAGACAACCAAACATCAAACATACCAGTTCTCTCTGTTGAAAAACTTTAGGAAACATGAAGAGCTTTTATCTTTTATCACAGCTGTTGACATTCTACATCCGAATGTCTAATTTTGTCTCCAAATGTCAAATTTTAATTTCAACAGGATTTTATAAATGTTGAGGAGCAACTTACATATAAAAATTTTCTTATGAAATCTTTACAGGTTCAGAATCAATCAATGCAAAGAATTTCAAAGTTTAGAGCTATGGGCCGCAGCCTTTCATTTATTTGTAAAACAGGAGTGACAGTACCTTCCTTGTACAGGGTAACTGTACTGTGTGGAATAAATGAGATAAAGCTAGCAAAATCACTAAGCACAGTTGTCTGACAATGTACAACATCAACTTTAATCTCAATCTTTATCTCTTTTTCCCTGCTACTCTAACGCCCCAAAATTTTGCCCAAGTATTCAACGAACACTGATGTTACATCTGCTCTAAAAAGTCAGACTAAATTTTCTAGGTTCAAAAATTTCAAAAAAAAAAAAGAAATGAAATCTTGCCATTTGCGACGACGTGGATGGAACTAGAGGGTATCACGCTTAGCGAAATAAGTCAATCAGAGAAAGACAACTATCATATGATCTCCCTGATATGAGGGAGAAGAGATGCAACATGGGGGGTTCAGGGGGTAGGAGAAGAGTAAATGAAACAAGATGGGATTGGGAGGGAGACAAACCATAAGTGACTCAATCTCACAAAACAAACTGAGGGTTGATGGGGGGAGGGGGGTTGGGGAGGGTGGGGTTATGGACATTCGGGAGGGTATGTGCTATGGTGAGTGCTGTGAAGTGTGTAAACCTGGCGATTCACAGACCTGTACCCCTGGGGATAAAATTATATGTTTATAAAAAATTAAAAAAAATTTCAAAAAGGAATTGTGATAACTGAGTGACCATACCTACTAAAATACATCTCTAACTACTAAATATACTGTACTTTAATCCTAATCTATTAAATTTCTCAAAAATTAAAATCTTGAGCTGAACATATTCTGGTTAAAAAAATCAGAGCCATAATTTATAAAATATGAAATAGGCAATCCTAATCCTAATAATTTAAAAAGAAATACCTTCAACTACGTAAAAGTTAAAAATTTCTGCATATAAAAATTGCCATGGGGCACCTGGATGGCTCAGTTGGTTAAGCACCCAACTCTTAATCTCAACTCAGGTCCTGATCTCAGGGTTGTGAGTTCAGGCCCAGCATGGAGCCTATTTAAGGAGAAAAAAAAAAAAAAAAAAAGAAGACGAAGAAGAAAGTAGAAAGAAAAGGCAAAACTATTTTACATAGAAAATATGTTATTAAAATCACATTTGCTTTCGTGCTAATAATTTTTTCTTTCAATGCTAAATTAACTTTAGAATATATGAAAAAGTATGCACTAAGCATAGTATTTTCAATGACATATTAAGTAATTTTTTAAGTAAAAATAAAAATGAGAACAGTGTAGCATATTTTGCAAAATTAGTACCTCACAGAAGTCTTCCAGAAGTAAGAAGGATTCATCTCCTAACAAAAGCATTTTATTTCTAGTTAATGAATGATTACAAAAAGCAGCTCTTAAGTAGAAAATTGCCCTGGGAAATTACTGGCAAAAAATGCTTTAGTGCGACACTAAAGTAGGTTTTTTATTTCAACCATTATTTGATCTAGTAAAGAAAATAAGAGACTTAATAGAAATTTTGAATATGACATTTTTAATAAACAATCAATACAACAGGATACATTTTTCAATATTTAAGAATAGCACATTAAGAAATAATGTTTCCCCCCACCCCCACCCCCCCCAAAAAAGAAAGAAAACTGCAGGTTTAAAGTAAAACTTCCTAAAGTAAGTCATTTAGCACTAAAAGAAGCTGTAAAATTCCCTGAAGTTAAAATGTACCACTACTGTTCTACAAAGTTCAAAATCCAGTTTGCTGAAGAGGCAGAAAACTGAACTTTATTTACCTCCTCTAGCATGGTACCAATTACTCCTGGTTCTTGTACCTTCTTGTCGAGAATTTTATTATAGTAACCTACTAACACACTGGCCCTGGCTCAAACCCATCCTCAGAGCTCATGTGATTAACCTTCTCAAAGGGCAGTTCTGGCCATTTCACACCTTTGAACTAAGATCATCAATTCCTTACAGATTTAAATATGAAACTGTGAGATCTCTATGGTGTGGCTTGAACTACATTCCTCTCATCTTATACCAACGAACCCCCTTTAACTATGACAGTCCAGCCAACGGCGTCAACTAATCTCTACTTCTCAGAGCCTACACTTCTTTGCCTCTGCTCATGCATCTCAACCAGTTAAAATCTACTTACCCACCTAAGTATCAAAAAAGATCACCCCCAATATCCCAAATTTGACTTGAATTCTTTGTTTTGAACTGCTATAGCACTTTTCGCCTTTCCTCAGAACCTACATATGACAATTATTATGCATGTAAATTATCCGTCAAAAGTTTGCTGAGGACTAGGAGAGTTTTATCCATGTATATATTCTCCAAAATACCTAGTATCTTACTGAGAGAGGGCACTTAATATTTAATTAGCTCAATAAATAGCTAACATATAATTAAATATTTAATTAACAACTTAATTAACTAACACCTGATCAAGATTTAAGTCCATTAAGTTCTACATAGTGAAAAGCACAGAGCTTCAGGCTACCCAACTCAAGTAGAGCTAATTCAGGAGCTTCTTCCTCTCAGGATCCCTCTCTAGAATTTTAAGGCCTTATATAGAGTACCTTCCAGCTAATATGAGTATTAAGACAAAAACCTGAAATCTGAGATATTAAATCAGTAGACCTGGACACTGAACAATAAATCTGCCTTTAGTTATATCTGATATAATTTTACTTCCTTACTAGCATTTCCATAAACCCACAGAGTCATTAAACAGTAGACCCCAATTTTTTTCAGGGGGGGGGAATAGTGGAGGAAAATCATGGATCCCTTTGGAAACCTAATGATTCTCTGATTTTTAATATAATTTTGTGGCTTATAGACTCTTATTAACTAAAGCTCAACTCTGAGCCCAAATATTTGCCTTAAGTAAAGAATTCTGGAATATTATACTACTTTTTATATGTGTTATAAAGATGTTACAGTAGGGAAAGGAAAAGGACAAGGCAAATGATTAGCAAAAACTAGCAAAAATGGCCAGAAATTACAGAGAGTATTATACAGTAGATCTATCATGTGATGACTGAGTTAGAACACAAAAGCCTGTGGAGAAACTCAAAGTTCACAAATGTATTTTCCCTGAGGGAAGACCAGATGTACCAATGAGATATTCAATATTCCTGCTCTGACCAGTCAAAGATAAAAGGTGAAATTCAGAGATGTGAACATGCACCAAGGCAGTTCAGCCACAGAAGAAAGAAAGCCAAGAAACAGAAGCCAAGGACTGGGACAAAATGACCACAGAAGCTATTAAAATGAGACACATCACACTTGGACACTGCTTAGTATCTTACTGTGCATACGCATTTCAAGGTCTGGGAGTAGAAATTCATGATAAATGATGCACAGGATATCAAGCACGTGACTGTATTTCATTTTTAAGGGGAAAATGCTGATGCATTGGCTGAACAGTACTCAAACACAGGATGTCAGCCTCACTCCTATTCTCTTCCCACAATGCTACACTTTCCACTAATAACACACTCATGCCAGCAAAAAGCGTCCTCTGCAAGGAAATGAACACAGAATCAATACATCACAGTCACAAATAACCAGGAAAATACCAAGTCCTTACGCAAAAACTGGTCTAACAGCATTGTTCATGTTCCCAAAAGTTGCTCGACCCAGCAGTTCTCTGAAACAGTTTTCGGCCAGCACAGCGGGATTCTCTTCTTTGTCAGTGGCAGGAGGGGAGGGAGGAGGACCTGTGCGGCTGGTCAAAAAAGGGAAATGAAGAAAGCCACATGAAAGAAGTCTAACACCAGTTTTAACAGCTAACAGAACAGACTTGACTCCACAGAAATGTTAAAATGTTTTCCTTTTCTCCCAAAATAACCTAAGAATAAGAAACAAACACAGTCTAACCTTCTGTTTAAAAAAGTGAATAGCAATTACGATCATTATTACTTTGGTTCGTTCTGCCTACCTACGGGCCAGCATCCGGGTCTCTAGAGAACAGCAGATGTTCAGCTGCGATTTCGGTTTCTCACACTTGCAACTTTTAGTATTAATTCAAAGAGCAATTTGGATGCTCAGCAACAAGCAGCAAGTGTAAATTTACTCTAAAAGAAATAAAACCTTAAATGTATGAGTAAGAATCTGTGGTTTACTAAGCCTAAAGATGAATAATTTTTTCAGAAAGGGGAATATTTAAACTCATTCAAGTTTATGAGATCACTATTTACACAGTACTAAGGACAAATTTGCTTATCCTGGCAAGCAAGCACACAAACACTATATAAAAGTAACACACCCTCAACCCAAGGATCTTTATTCCATACCTGTCAGTCTCTTCTATCTTTTGCATGTTAAACAACAGGGATGGAACAATTTTATCCATATGCTGGGGTTCCCAAATGGTAGCCCGAAGTTCATCATTAACTGTTTTGCGAACCACTCCTTGAATACCCCTGATTCCAGCAATTCGGATTCTATAAAAAAGAAAAAACTGAGTCATGAAAAAGGTTAAACAAGTTTGCCTATTTAGCTAAGAACATGGATGCCAAGTAAATTCTGTTATCTCAAGTCAACAAAATGAAAATAACACAAGTGTAAGAAATTAATATCTCAAAAATCTAAGATAGAGATATGGTAGTTCTAAAAGAGATTTACTTTATGTTTTTTTTTTTTTTTTTTTTTTTTTTTAGTTTTTTAATATAATCGCTACCCCCCAGATGCAGGGCTCAACCTCACAACCCCAAGATTAAGAGTCACATGCTCTACTGACTGACCCAGCCAGGTGCCCCAAGATTTACTCTGAATACCTTCTTTTAAAAATCAGTATTTAAGTTTAAAGGGACTGTAAAGTATAATAATATCAAGTTTATTTATTATTTTTTAATAAAAAAGAATTTAATCAAAAGCATTAGGTTTTCCTAAGGGGTGACTATAATTTAAACTAGTATGAACTAGATTCTTTCTATTTCTTGCCTGGAAGTCTCAGAAGCTAAGTGAAAACAAGATCTCACTCTTCTTGAACTCCCTTCAGTGCTTTCTCAGACTTTTTCACTGTTTGTCCCCAAGGACCTCTCCTTTCACTTCCCACAGTCCACAGAGAAGAAGACCAAGCTGGTTCCCATAAAGGTATTGTGACAAATGAGAACTATCAAAATGGGAGTACAGACAACCTCCGCCATGTTTAAACATACAGACCCATGTATACTAACATATGTACACATCATGTATATGTGTGACTGAAAATCCACATAGGGAGAGAATTCTCTTGCCCTATTATCCCATCACAACCCACAACTTCCTCAAGCTCTTCACTCCTCCTCATTCTTCTTCTTCTTCTTTTTTTTTTTTTTTTAAAGTCTACAGGTTTAAGAATGAAAAGAAAAATCATTAGAAAACAGCATATAAAAGCCGGGGAGGAAGAATCTCAAAAGCAGAGCTAACCTGGTCACCCATTTGCCTCCAAACAACTTCTTTCTGGCCCAATTTGATTGTTATTTACTTCCTTTTTTTGCTACTACCAAAATACTAACCAAGAGAGGTTTATTTAGCTCACCCAGCACAGTCTTCTAAAAGTTACAGGTTTTGAAGAATGAAAGCTATGGGGAAGGGCGTGACTGTGTCACCCAAGAGGACATAACACAGGCATTCAGGAATGGCAGATGGAGAAAAAGATAACAGAATACTAAAGAGGTAAGAAAGTGAACAGGAAACAAAGACAGATGTTGCCTATTTCAAAGCTGTGTCTATACATGTCACTTTCTAAAACAAAGCCTTAAGAGACTCTTGTACAACTATCACAAGCTGGCAAAACTAACAATACTATCACGGTGTCTGCTTTGTGTGCCTGCCATTACTCCTCGGGTGATGAGAGGACTAAGCACAAGGTTGCACAGAGCACACGAACAAGATGCCACAAGGAGGATGGCTGATGCCTCATGACACAGCAGGCTAAATGGAGGGCAGCAGACGGTGATGCCCTTGCTCAAAAGAAGGAGGATCTATAGCTACTATAGATAAACAGCTGGCATCCAATTCAGATCTAGATCTGGCCTAACCAATATATGCTAGCCATGAAGGAATTGTGCCTAAAGTACAAGAATATTGTAAGGATGAGTTAATGAGCTAATTCATTACAGTGCTTACCCAATAAAACATTAAACTGGCACACAATTACTCAAAAAGTGTTAGCTGCTCCTGCTATTGTTAATCACTATTATGACAACGATGACTGCTACCGTAACTGAAGGTTGCTTAGGAAATCAGAGTTTAATAATTAAGATTATGGGGGCACCTGGGTGGCTCAGTGGGTTAAAGCCTCTGCCTTCGGCTCAGGTCATGGTCCCAGGGTCCTGGGATCGAGCCCCACATCGGGCTCTCTGCTCTGCAGGGAGCCTGCTTCCACCCCTCTCTCTATCTGTCTGCCTCTCTGCCTACTTGTGATCTCTGTCTGTCAAATAAATAAATAAAATCTTTAAAAAATAATATAATAATAATTAAGATTATGATGTACAGGGCACCTGGGTGGCTAAGTTGGTTAAGCAGCTGCCTTCGGCTCAGGTCATGATCCCGGAGTCCCAGGATCGAGTCCTGCACTGGGCTCCCACCTCCACAGGGAGTCTGCTTCTCCCTCTGACCTTCTCCCCTCTCATACTCTGTCTCTCTCTCTCAAATAAATAAATAAAATCTTAAAAAAAAAAACTTTATAAAAAAAAGATTATGATGTACGATTTTACAGGTAGGAACCATTTCTGCAAGGCAAATATGTTAAGAAAATCTCGAGTTTTCAGCATTTCCTAGTCCCCTGAATTCTATTTGATAGTTTTGCTTAAAAAAAAAAAGAATGACAGATAACTCTGAAGAAAACCAAAAGCACTTTTATTTAAAACAAAGTGGAAAAAAAAAAAAAATCAAACCTTGTATCTTAAAAGCTTTTTAACTTACTCATTTATTTCACTGATTCAAACAAAATGTCATTTTGCAACTTCAAATATATAATTCTGGAAAGGCTCAGAATTAGAAAAAAGTACCATAAAGCCTTTCATTTGTATTTAGAAAATTTCAAGTTTCTTTTTATAAATATTAATGAAAAATGTTAGATGAAAATACATTAAAAAGACAAGATCTTTCACTAGGGGGCAGTACATACCTAAAAATAAGGCATCTTAAGTAATAAATTTTAAACTTTTTTTTTAAAGGATTTATTTATTTATTTGAGACGGCTGGGGGGGGGGGGGGGGAATCCCCAAGCAGACTTCCCACAGAGCATGGAGCCCAATGCCCTGCTCAATCCCAAGACTCTGAGAACCTGAACTGAAATCAAGAGTGAGCCACTTAACCGAATGAGCCATCCAGACACCCCTAAATTTCATAAATAACTATGGATAGCACAAACACTTTTCACCTACACTGGTATATATGTGAAACTCATGGCAATCAAAATTTGAGAAATATCTGTATATTTAGTTATCCTTACGATACTAAACAAAAGAAATACTACATTCAATATATTTGCCATATTTTAAAAGAAAACGAAATTGTCAAAATCTTTAAAATCTATCCTTTTCTTTAGGTAATCTTTATACCTTTTTGCCCCATTAATAGGTTAATGTCAGCCTTTGAGAACAGAGAAAAATTTTTTTATTTCTTTTTTTTAAGATTCATTTGAGAGAGAGAGCGTGCATTGTGTGTGCAAGCCGGAAGAAGGGAAGACGGAGAGGAAGAACCTCAAGCAGAACCTTGCTGAGCCACCCAGGCAGCCCAGAAGAGGGACAAATTTTATAAAAAAAAATTTTAAATGTGCTTTAGGGAGGGAAAAAAAGGATTTTAATGGTAACTGGAAAAAAGAGGAAATTAGCAAGATAGATACACTTATCTCTACCTTTCTAAGGCTCTACACTCATAATAAAGAGTAACAGCATAATTCAAATTGGCCAATACTAACTGAGGGAAAATTATACCTATGACATGTCAGACAATGTGCTTGTATCTGAAAACAACTAGTAAATCCCTTCTCAGCTTTCTTTCTCCATGTTAAAATAACTTTTTACATTTGTTTTGCTTTGTATAAACCAACATTGTAAGTTTGCACACTAAAAGCTAGTTATATTTCTGCACACCCCTTATTTTAAAAGAAAACTAAAAATTACAAACATGCTAAATCTTGACTTCAAACTGCCTACAATAACTCTCTGAATTCAGGTTAGTTTCTTTCTTTTCAGGTGTAGTATCATAAAGCTCAAACTACTTTTTATTTACCAGATTCATTTTGATTTCAATTCCTAACTTTAGTTTCTCATTTCTACATATATATCAATCTATAGACTGTGCCTGCAGTTTAAATATTTGATTCCAGATTACTAACAAGTATCCAGAAGAAATGTTTAAAAACACCCAAATCAGTTGTTAGGATAAACTCAGACTGACAATGATTCAGTAATATTCTTTCATTCATTCAATTTATGTATGTATTCATTAAAAAAGTACTTACTGAGAGCCTACTATGTGCTCGGCACCATTCAAACTAGTGATACACCAGCCCTCAAAACAAGGACCCTGTCCTCTTGGGAGTTCATATTCCATGAAGGAACAAGAAACAGAGATAAGAAGAAGATAAAAGACTAAGCTGAGAAACCAGTCTCAGTTGGGCTACTTCAGCCAGTCCTTTGAACAGTGATAGAAAGTCTTATTTCAAGAAAAAAAGTGTGTATTTTCCCATTTCCTTTGGTAATCGTTATGTAACATACTCTTTATGTCTATGGTAATCAAAACACAGAACTCATTAATAAACTACTCTATGACTTTAAGTCACAGAGTAGGGGTGCCTGGGTGGCCCAGTCGGTTAAGCATCCAACTCTTGATCTCAGCACAGGTCTTGATCTCATCAGGGTCGTGAGTTTAAGCCCCATGTTGGGCTCCATGCTGGGTGCAGAGTCTACTGAATAATAAGTCATAGAGTAAAATAATACATACTCTGTTCGTATTTCTGGATCACTATGACAGGAATGACACATGGCACTGAAGCGAGATACAAAAAAGTCGTAACGTCTGTGATAGGATGGCGTGTCTTCTTCAATATTTGCAAATTTGACAAACTAAAAAAAAAAAAAAAAAAAAAAAAAAAGGCACAAAAAAAACCCCAAAAATATAAACATGTTATCACCTTTTGGAACGTTTGGAACACATTTACTTTCATCCATTATTTGTTACATTAACAAGAACTATCCAAATAAGTAGCAAGCGAAACATACAAAAATCATAAACACTATATACATACAGAAGAAATTTTTTAACAAACTTGAGAAAAATCGCATTATAAATATTAACTTTAACACTTTAACCCAGTTTCTTTTGAGTGAGTGAGCCCACTCTCTAGAAGAAAAGGTCTTACTCTAAAAGCTCTTCTCCAGGGGCACCTGGGTGACTCAGTTGTTAAGTGTCTGCCTTTGGCTCAGGTCGTGGTCCCAGAGTCCTGGGATTGAGCCCCATGTTGGGCTCCCCGCTGATTGGGGAGCCTGCCTCTCCCTCTCTAGCTACCCTGTGCTTGCGTTCCCTCTCTCGCTATCTCTGTGTTATAAATAAATAAAATCTTAAAAAATAAAATAAAATAAAAGCTCTTCTCCATTTCCTAGACACTGACTGTGCTTTAATGATAACCTCAGTTAGTCCCAAACCTGCAGAAAATTTTATTCCTCAATCATGGGCTGTATCACAGATTTCACAAGAAGCAACAGAAAAAGCTAGAGACAGTGCTTTTGTTTTTGTGGGTTTTTTTTAAGATTTTATATTTAAATAATCTCTATACCCCAAGTGGGCTCAAATGCACAACCTCAAGATGAGTTGCACACTTTGCTGACCAAAAGAGCCAGGCACCCCTAGAGACAGTGGTCTAATCATCCACATTTGCATTTTTGTCCACATCCCCTGACCAGAGCATTTGTTTTTATCAGGTGAAAAACATTCTAAGAAGAGATCAATCTAGATATGCTAATTAACCTGAAAGAGAACAGTTCTACTCACAGAATTTGTTCCAAGAACTTGAAGCTTTGGTTCCCCTGATTCTAGCAGCTTTGCTACCATATGAAGAAAGCTTTCCACAAATGGCTTGATGCTCTGAGAATGGCAAGCCATAAGAAGCTGGTCCAAAGCCTCCATAGCAATTAAAACATACCTAAGTGTAAGAGAAAGATAATGTCAAAAGATTACTAGCTCTCCAAATTCTCTTAGGTGCTTCTTCATTGGGATAATTAAATGTAAATGCAGAGAAAGGAAAAAGGCAAATTTAGTAGTTCCTAAGTGAAATCTTACTTCTCACAAACAGTAATGATCTTAGATTATATAATAACCCTCATACTGAAGTATACAGAAACTATACTGTACTACCACCACACAGTCTCCTTTCCAAACTCTTCTAAAGCTTAACATTAGCTTTGTGTATATTTTTCTTTGGAAACACGGACATTTCTATTTTCCAGATTTCTAACCATCTATCTTTGTATCTGACCCAAAAGAGTTACTATAAGCAATGTGCCTGAAGTTTCCAATATAATCTATATGTATTTGTAAATGAGTGTAAAAAACGTCACCAGCAACAACAGAGTCTCATAAGGAAACATCTCATAAAGTTAACCTTACAATTCATCAGATTTTAAAAATTAAAATTGACTTTCAATAACTTTGTTTCAATAACTGTAAGACTTACTAAAAAGTTTTAAGAGGTAACCACATGGAAGTAGAGAAAACCAGTATCACTTGAAGAATGGAGTACTCTAAGAAACAAGGATCATAAAATGAATATGGAAAAGTACTTATAATCCAAATTATCCAAGTTACTATTGTTCAAGCATAGAGAATGGAGTATGATGGCAGACCCTGATTTATAGGTAGGTATACAGCTAGCACAGCTCCAAATCAACATGCTTACATTCTCTGGACCTCAATGTCTAAGCCTAATGTTCTCTTTTATTATTCTACTGATAGGTAAAAACACTAAGGGAGTCAATTTCTATTATTTCCATTAAAGAGATATTAGAATACCAAATATCAACGGATGCTTAAGCGAAAGGCAACTCTGTTAACTCACATGTCTACTCTTAAAACATGACCATCAGAAAAGTAATAAAACTTGCAAACATCTATACAGTATACATATTTCCTTGTAAAATGTTACAAGGTTTTATCTTCCACACATCATCTTTGCATGACTCCATGACAAAAAAATGTACAGAATTATTTAACTTAGGAAGAATTTTCAGAGACATAGTATTAGCAGCAACTAGTTTTCTTACCCAGAACGATGTCTGACAACATCCCTGCTCAACCTTTCTGCTAAGTAAGAACCAATTCGGTCCAGTTTCTCTGGAGCAGATACTGCATAAAATGTCAATTTCTCCATGTCGGCTTTAACAAGGCCATCCTAAAAATAAGAAAAGCAAGATAAATAGGCTATCTATATTTTCATAGTTATTTTTTACTTCTAAGCATTGTTTGCTTCACATGTCCCCTTTTGGGTTTCGTGATTAATCCATTATTTATGCTGAACCTTTCTGGCTATAACCTCCTTACTGTAAATAGTCACAATTCTGGATACAGAATTTCCAGAAAGTTAAAGAAATGCCCTTATTCAGGAAGAATATTTAAAAGTACCTTCACAAGCAACGAATTATTCTAACACCTTCCTAAATAGAGAAACAGCTCAACTAACTACAATATGTAGGGAATGGGATATATTTTATTTATTTATTTTTTAAAAGATTTTATTTATTTGAGACAAAGAGAGAGCGTACAAGCAGGGGGAACAGCAGACAGAGGGAGAGGGAGAAGCAGGTTTCCCATGGTGCAGGGAGCCCCATGTAGGACTCGATCCCTGAGCCAAAGGCAGACACTTAACCAACTGAGCCACCCAGGAACCCCAGGAATGGTTATATTTTAGTGAAAAGTTCTCGAACAAATTTATTTCGATTTTAAAATTTTACACTGTTGTTAAGCCTATTTTACTACTTTATATATGCAACAGTGAACATGTTAAAATGATTCAAAACTTGTTGATATCATTATAAAGCCTTCTTTTAATTAATAACTGAGAGGGTATTAAGAATTGCATGAATCTCTGCTTAGCCAACATATTAAAAAAACAAGAAGAGGACCCCAGTGTGGGATGGGCAAATTTTCATTTGTCTCTGCCCTCTAAAAGGTGACAGGCCACAGGTCTTATGGTACTCCCCACCCTCAGACAACAAATCAATTATCAGCCTAAAACGTTTTGGTCATATATAGTCCAAGTTAACTAAATGCTATTTAGGATTGCTAGAGGAGATAGGAAGGGAGACAGAAAAATTATGTTAAATGATGAATCTACAACTAAAAATTTTTAAAAATCTGCATTTTCAACTGGCCCCTCCCTATTCTCTGGCTATTTTGCCATTGCTCCTTCACCAACCTATTTTTTTCTACTTGGTTTTCCTCAAACTTGCTACTTTGCCACCTCTCTTCCCTCTCTGACATCAAATGAGCTCTTCTCCTTCTCAAAGACGGAAGTCATCAGATTAGGATTTACTGGCAAAAACACCCCTGCTTTCTCAGTGCCCTCTAAACCAGTGGTTTCCCACCACGGTAACTTCACTCCCCCAGTGCAATGACTGGAGACATTTTGGATTGTCAAAGCTGGGCGGTGGGTGTACTAGTATCTGTAGGAGAGGCCTGGGAGGCTAATAAACATCCCACAATGCACAGGATACTCCAACAGCAAAGTAGTAACTGGATCAAAAGGTCAACAGAACCTGAAGAAACACTGCCCCATGCAAAGTCAAAGTGCCCTATTTTTGGAGGACTTGTCTTGGAGAAATCAGTTCGCCTATGTTCTTGCTGTTTGCTTCACATGAGCCAGGATCTGGATCCATCAAGTCAGCCTCGCTCTTTCCTGGTTTTTTAACCTCTCCCTCTGTATTAGTTCTTCCACATCATTACTTAAATATGATGAGCTCTCATCCATTTTTTTTATTCCTAATTTTATTGAGAAAAATTTATACACAATAAACTATACCTAAGTATATAATTTGAACTATGACAGTTGTTTATCAGTGAAACCACCACTAAAAAACAGGATACAAACATTTCTATCATTTGCAAAAGATTCATCATGTCCTTTGCGGTGCATCTCTTCCTCTCCAGGCAATCACTGCTCTGCTTTTCAGCATTATCAACAGCAGCAAGTGACAGAATCATACAGTCTGTATGACTCCTCTCACTCAACTCACCTCTGCCTGGGGATGCTTCTCTAGCTCACCTGGGTAACTCCTACTCATCCTGCAGGTCTCAATACCCTCCAAAAAGCCTTCAATGCACCCTCCCAACTTCCTTTCAAAGCCTGGGTAAGAGGCTCCTCCTGTATGTTCCTTTAGCTCACTGTACTTATCTAGATTATATTTTATCATTCTGTCTCTCACTCATTGTCATACTGTTTCTCACTCATAAGAAAATACTTGTCAAGTGCTAACTATGTGCCAGGTACTGTCATAGACACTAGGGAAGAAAGCGTGAGCAAAGAATTATATTAACTCAATTAATCCTCATGAGAATCTTATGAAATAGGCACTATTTGTAATTTCCATTTCATGATGAGAAACCGAGGTATCTGCCCAAGATCACAAGGCTAGTAATTATTAAGACCTGGTTTGGTCCCCCTCATTAGATCATTCTTTGAAGGCAGGAACTTAACATGTAGACCTCTGTACTCTGGGCAGTATGCCTGATCTATTTTGGATATACTACATGATTTTTTATTGTTGGTCAATAAATTAAAAACAACAAATAAGGTCAAAGGGTTATAACTGCCACATGTATGCAAGGTTTATATAAGTATTTTTAAATCTTACTTTACAGACCTCCATTTGAACAAATCTTATCTAAATACTTGGCGATCAATCAATACTTTGCAAAAATATTCTTTCTATAACCATTCTCTACCTGTCATCACTAATCTAATCTACCTGTCATCACTCCCGTGGTCACAAAATGTTCAAAACTCTCTCACTGCCTAGGAGTTAAAGTAGATAAAGGAGAAGCTTTGTCTGTCACTCACTTTCCTCCACAATCTGGCCTCCACCTTATCTTCAGTAACCGTATGCCTCGGACTCCGCAGGACAATGATCTGAATATTCAGTCCATTAAATGACATGACTGGAATTTCAAATCAGAAATCGTGGTCAACATGATTACCACCCATTACCCTCTACAATGAGGCTATATAAACCTCCATTTGAAGGTTCTTAATCTCAAATGTACCCCTTGCTTTCTCTTGCACGCCTCTGCCTTTTCTCTAGAGGCCCCTCACTTGCAACAAAGAGACGAATCTCACTTCTCCAGATGGCAACAAAACCTTCAAAGCCCAGCAAATCTCATTTCCTCAGAGAAAGCTTCCCAGAGATTGCCAAACCACAGTAAAACCTCTCTGCTTTAAAGGCAAAAACTTTACTGCCCGTTTTACTTAAAATTTTGCTTACAGACTTATGCCTTAGGATTTCATATTTAGTATGCTGTTGCTTCATGTCAGTCAATGGATGGAAAGCTACTAAAGATGGGTACCTTATCTTTGGTCTCAATTTGCCACAAATTATCCAGGCATCTGGAAGCCAACAGTATGTAACAGATTAGCCTCTTCTAAATGGCTGAATATTTAAATCAAATCTGATTAAAAATGAGATATTTCATATATCATGAAATATACAGAAGTTAAGATAGCCAAAAGGTTTCTGTAATTGGCTATATTTTATTTATTTTTTTGGCAAACATTTTTTTAATTTTTAAATAATCACTACACCCAACAGGGGACTCGAACTTACAGCCCAATGATAAAAAATTGTATCCTCTATGGACTGAGCCAGCCAGGTGTCCCAGCTACATTTTAAAATAAAGCAATTAAACCCATCTAACATTTTTTTTTGTTGTTCATATCCATTTAACACTAGACTAAAGCAATCTTGGAAAACCTAGGACAGTGCCAAACAAAATCATTCCAATCCGGTTCCTTTGAAAACAGTAATCTTCCATAATCAAGTAATGGCTATAAAAAATGTACAAACATTTAAATAAAAAGAGAACAAACTGTCTGGGATATTATTCCTTTACTTCTCAATTCTCTTTTGAAAACTGTGTGGCCAAACTATTTACTCTTCAGATCTTAGCTCAGATTTCATTTCCTAAAAGCCTCTGTTCTCCAGGCCCACATTAGGCATCATTCTGACCTACTCAAGAAGCGCCCTGTACTTCATCTCTCTATTACAGCATTCTTTCACACAATATTGTAATTGCCAATTTCCTTATCTGTGAGCTAAGCAAGAGCAGAAAACCATGTCTGTGTTCACAGTTGTATTCTTAGCATTTCGTACAAATAATCTGGCACTAGGTTCATAAATTTCTGAAAAGTATTACTTAAATATAGGAACCATCTAGACAAGAGAACACCATCTGTCCATCATTTCAAATGTACAGCTAATCTGTAAAAAGGATCTGAAAATTCGACAAGCAAGCATGGGTCATTTTAAAGTTAAAAAAAAAGATAAATATAAAAATAGTACTGTACATGATGGGATTTAGGAGTAAAAGTAGAGAAATGAAATTAGGGAAACCTTAGGGAGGTCAGCAGGGGGTAAGGATGGGCCAGCAAAGAGAAGGATCAGTAGATGTAGATCAAATTACTTTTGGATCTTCAGGGAATATGTTGTCCACCAGGCGTTTGTAGCGAGGACGCAGAGCAGAACAGCAGCAACACACTCCTGGTCAAAAAAAATAAAATCACAAAGTACAAAGATTATTCATACTGTAAACCTGACATAGAAATTCAGATTCTGAATATTAATGAGTTACTTAAAATAAAAAGAAAAACTGCAAATTGGCACTAATAGAAAACAGGAATGCGAATTGTATTACCGACTAAGAAATGAAAAACGTCCTCTCCCCTCCCCAAAGACAGCAGGTCAAAGTGAATATGTTAATGAATTATTCTAAAATTCCAAATCAAATAGTTTAGGGGTGTGTGGGTGTGTACAGGTGTACACGGTACACACACACACATACCCCCTACCAAATTCACCCTATAAAGCTAATATCTATTCTGTACCCCCTTCACTTCCTTTCTAATCTCATCTCCTACCACCTTCTGTGTCCCCAGCCTTACATTCTCATTTCCTGGCCCGATCCACTCACAGTCCCAGCCACAGTGGTCTTGAAGAACAGTCTGCTCCCTTATGCCTGGTGAAAACAATTAATACGTGTATCTACATAATGCTTCATATGAAGAACTATACTAGAGGGGGAAACAACCTCAAAGGAAAGTCCGGGAATTTCAAAAATGCTCAAAGGCTGCTCTTTATAGTTTCAGTTGTGGGTATTTTGTAAAGAGCAACGGATTGGGATCCAGAATATCTGGGCTCATTCCAATTCTTTCACTTAAATGACTGAATTGCCTTGGGTAAAAGCGCATCAGCTATCTGGAAAGAACCATGTAAGTGAGAGCAATTAGTTTTCTTGTCCTGCAAACTGGTAACAGGAATGCTGGTCTGGAGTCACTGTAAAATTATTCCCATGATTTACGAAACTGGAGTATGTGTGTCTCTGTGTAAGTGTGCATTTGTATGTATTTAGAAACCAAAATATGGTATGAAATACTGCTTCAGCTAGAAATTAAAAGAACTCCAATCTAAGCAGACTTCTACTACCCTCTCACACAGTAAGGTTATGCAAGAGACAACTTTTCCAGATCTCACTTTGCTCGTGAAGTATACACCATTTTTGCACACAGTCATATAACAAATGTCAACCAAGTGTCCAGCACTGACGAAAACAAGTTAAGACGGAGTCCAGATTTGCAGTGGAGCAGAGTCAATAAAGTGATAAAAACAAGAGAGACTTAAGATTTGTAGAGCATCTTTAGTGATCATAGAGCACTGTGCATATATAACATTTCTACAAAACTAGTGAAGTATTACTACCATTACTTTACAGGAGCGGGAATTGCAGCAGAACTGACCAAGTAACTTACTCAATAGCATTGTCTGAGTGAGAACCCAGTGTTTAATTCTGTAACCCCATGCTCTTCCCACAGCACCACAGATACTAGTGGTCAAATCAGTCAACATCTAACTATTTCATGTGTACTGATTACATGCCTAAGACCAGGCTAGATGCCATAAATACAAAAAAGCTGAGAGACAAGATCTCTGCCCTTGAGTTTATAAACTTATTAAAAAATAGGGAATTAATTTCAGCAATATATACTTGGCACTATGTGCTGATAATATAAAATGCTACCTATTGTTCAGGATGTTTTCTACTTTAACAGAAGAAAAAAATTTCCAAAGAGTTCACTGGAAAATTTTTCAGATTAAGGAACATCAAAACACTTGAACTCTTTTTAGAGTCCAAAAGCAAACAATGGTCCTATTATTAGAGGAAAAGAAAGGGCAGGCGAGGGAGAGAAAAGCCAAGTAAGCAAAAGTCATATTTCTCTGTCTACTACGACAAATATAAAAATACTTCAGATAAATATTAATAAATTAAAATCAAATATGTATTGAGTGGTTATTACGCAGAGCACCAAGCTAGGTAGTGAAATGATGAAAAAAGCTTGCAATCTGGTAAGAAGATTCAAATGAATGCTCTGTTAACACTAATGCATGGCCAAATATAGTACATTCAAATTGCTATCATGGCAAAGAGACCAGTAAGGGACGGAAAAACAACTCTTACTGCTTCAAAGTTCCCTGTCAAAATGGTAAATTATGTTATTTTCAATAAGAAAAGACTCTTAATAGCTATTAAGTTTCACTTACATTGACACTTTCAGAAATCATACATTGCTTTTAGTTTAAAGAGGTTTTAGAAAAGATGTGAACTTAGAATACACACCACATCCAGCTTCTACTTTCAAAAAGCTTAGGTCTACTGAGAGAAACAGGAGTAAAAAGGAAAATACCAAACAGGCAGTATGGGGTTAAAGGAAAGGGTGACCCCAAAGGTCTCTTCCTGTCCAGCAGGTGGGCAGGTTACTTTATCTTACTACACCTATGCTTCCTCATCAGTTATGCCTTCTTTGTACCTACTGGGAAAATTAAAAATAAAAAGGGTAACATATAGCAAGCATTCAATAAAATGGTAGCTACAGTAATGCAATAAGAGATACTAAAAGGGGTAAGCAGAAGGTGTTTGAGGGCCCTAGGGATAATCTTCCTGACAGTAGGAAAATTTATGCTGTAAACGAAACACTTAAAAGTCACATCTGAAACTAATGTAACATTGTATGCCAACTACACTAGAATTAAAAAGAAAAAAAATGCAACAAATTCTGTATATGGTTCACAATAAGTTTTCAGAAATAATATCAGTACCAGTTTGGGGGGTGGCAGTAAAATATCATATTCTGAGCATGATGTGTGTACCATTATACTAAGTATTTTCCGACATCCCTCACTCATACACCAACTCTCTGAAGCAGTTACCATCCTCTCCCTTTGATAAATGGGGAACAGGCTTATTAGGGAGGCCATCTGTCCAACATCACCCAGCTAATAAGGAGCAGAGCCCAGCCCACATCAGATGACTTCAAAGGGTAACTGCCATAACACATGCAAGTACTAGACAATTTCTAAACTAAACATTTTAGCTCCCCACAAATCACCAATGACCACGACTGCAGGAGTGGGTCTGACTCACTGACTACAAATGCACTACCATGCAGGGAAGTAAATGACGACAGTGACTTTCTCCAGAAAATCCAAAATGAAACAGAAACACCCTCCTGACTAGTTATTATGAATGAAAAGTTACCAACTATAGAAAAGATACATGAAACCAGAATTAAAATCTTTCATTTTACTGAGATTTCTATAAAATGACCATATATTGATGATAATATAAGGTTAAAATGACTGTGGCATCAGTAATCACGAAAGAAACACTATCAGCTACTTTAAAGAAGAGAATTCTGTACTTGTAAACATCTTAAGAACAAGCAAAATGAAATCATTGGACCTACTCAGCCACAGAAATGGGGTTGACTCCCTTGTTGAAGTCAATTCATAGGGCTTGTCGAGTTCTGATGCAGGAACTTGAATGTAGTCTTTCATGTTGTAAGACTATTTTCTAGTCAATCTTCCTGCTTCTAGATCCTTTTCCTACTGTTCAGGAAGTACTTAGTTCACTTCATTTGTAATTAATTAGCAGAGGGTACTAATGGACTGTAACTTATCTAACTGGTTGCTGACATCAAGGGTAAAGCTATCAAGAACTTGATAATATCCATATCAAATTCTGCTGCTAAGATCAAAGAGCTTAAACAAGATACTACAAAAATGGATGTTGCTGGTTTACTAAAAGCAGATTTTCAGTTTAATAAAATAGGAAAATAAAGCTACTTACACCTTTTTTCCTTAAAGCATTCCTTCAATTCCTCCTCATCCCTGCTTCTAATCCCTCCCAACAAACTCATTTGAGGGCCAGACCACCCTATTTTCGACCACTTCCCAACTTTTTCTTTCCGAAGGACTAAGCATATCACAGAATGCCTCAAGCAACTGGCAAGCCTGAGCGATCAACAGGAATTCTTCCATTACATTTAATTCTAGTATATAAGGAGAAGGAAGTCCACTGTTCTGGACTGGGTGGAATTCAGAGCTTTGCTTATGATATGTCAGTACAAACAGCAATTCTTAAGTGGGATAACTACAGAAAAATGGAACATGGGCACCACTGGAAACAGAAAAATTAACCCCAAAAAAGTAACAAGCTACACATTAAAGTAATGTAGAGGCAGGCCCACGGAGCACTCTCATTAATGGGCCTTCTGAGTACTACCTCTCTACCTACCTTTCAGCGTTAGGGGTCCTAAATCCATATACATATGCAGTGCCTACAATGTAAAAGCCATCTAATGCACTTCTTTAGCAAATTTTGCATATTTCTAAATTAACCATTTCTTCTTTAAAGACACCCAAGATAATTTCTTCTCCGTAGTTCCCCTACCATTATTCTCATGGGGATTCATCCATGTCTCCTGGTCCTCATCTCAGGCAGGAATGAGCTGTACTGACCTCTGGCAACCTCCTCCTTCTTTGATGGTAAGGTGCTAAAATTAATTTCCATCCCACCCTGGCCCACAGAGGCATTCACAGTAGGAGCTGAGTAGCTGCACAGAAAACCTCACAGCTGAACTGAAAGTATGATGAATCAGGCAGAGGAGTGCACAAAGGTGCTGGGAGAATTCTGCTTAATGGGCCAGTATTCTAAGTTGTTGGCCCACTGGTGAGTACTTCAAGTTTGTGATAATATTTGCTTTCCTATGCAACTCTGTGAGTGTGGGGGGTTGGATAATTAATAAAGACTCCTTTTAAAATAAGCTACTTATATTTTCAATAAACTATATAATCTAATCATAAGTTAAATCTGACTAGAAATATTAAAGTCTCCCTTATTAAACTATTAATGTCTCTATTATTTAAGACCAATACAGCATTGGGTACTTGGGATAAAACTATCTTCTGAAACAAAAATAAGTTACTAACACTGTCACTGGAGTTGAAGAACACTCAGATCTATTACGGGAACCAACTGTATAACTTTAAATTTGGTTTATTTTATGATTTATAGAAAGAATATAACGGTATCTGTATCTTCTACACAGCAATTATATTATCTCAATTAATTCTTACAAGTAATATACTGGGAATTCATTGGCGTATTTAGGGCTTACTAAATTTCATACTTTTAAATGGGAATGACT